TATTGCTAGTATTAGAAACTATTTAGTATAGTAGTGCGCAGTGCCTAATACTATATATAGTCTATATTGCTAGTATTAAAAGCTATTTAGTATAGTAGTATACTATTTAGTATAGTAGCGCGCAGTGCCTAACACTGCGCGTAGTTTGTACTGCTAGTATTAGAAACTATTTAGTATAGTAGTACGTAGTGCCTAACACTGCGCGTAGTTTATATTGCTAGTATTAGAAGCTATTTAATATAGTAGCGTGCAGAAGTTAGGGCTGTAGTTAGCTTGTGCTGCTAGTATTAGGGCCTGCAGAAGTCCCTAACAATATAATACTCCCTAAGGTTAGGACTGCGTACTCTGCAAGTATTACGCCTAAAAAGCAAAAGTAGCTTTTTTTATATATAGCTAGAACTATGCACTCTGCAAGTATTATACTAAAGAAATTACTAATATACTTGTAAGTTTAAAGCAAAAAGTTTATTTAATAGCTTTACTTTTACTTTACTATTTATAGATATACTTAATACTAAATTATATATAGTAAAGTAGCTTATTATCTACTTTTTCTTCTTCCTTTACTTTTACTGTAGAAGATGTTAAGGGACAATTCTGCAGGTATTATAGTTAGTAAAAAAATAAGCTAAGAAGATTTTGCAGTTTTAGTAGGCTTTATAAAGCTACTATAAAATTTTATATAACTATTAGGCTTTAGTTTAAGCTTAGAAAAAGTGCTTACTTATTATCTTTATAATTGCCTAAACAATATTATTTTTTGCTATAGTAAAACTAGCTTACTACTTACTTTGCGTTTAGTAGATTGTATATTTTCTACTATTAATATATAAATAGAAAGTAGTTAAGTTAATGCAAAGATTGCAATATATATAGTATTTACTACTATTTATATAAAAGTAGAGTAATAAGTGCAAAAGTATATGTACTTTAACTAAAACTTAAGCTTATATTATACTGTGTTTTCTTAGCCTTTAACTTGTGTTCTATTACCTGCTACTATTATTATTAAGAGCTACTTTTACTGCAGCTAAAAATCTAGCCTAGTCCTATAATAAAATAATAATAGTAAATATTAACTTGCGCAGCTTAGACAGCAAGTAAAACAGTAGTATAGATAGCAATAATAAATATAATATTAAACTAAGTAGTTGTACAAATAGTAGCTGTAAATTAGGCAAGATATAAATAGGCTTAAACTACTATAAGCGCAATAAATTAAAACTTAGTATAAAAGTATAATGTATTACACAGGCAAGTTAGTTGCCTAGTTAAGTTAGTTACAATGCTAAAACCCTACTAAAATTAGTACTATGCACGACAGTACAGTACTATAGAAAACTATAGTAGTAAATTGTAATAAGCTAATTTATTTAGAAACTACTTCTACTTCTTACTTGCACGTTTGCGCGTTATGCCTAGCCTTACTATAGCGTCTACAGCGCCTTTAAAAAGGCTTACCCGCTTTAGTATACGCCTGCTTTTTTACTTTCTTCCTATTACTACGCGCCCTAAATTCCTTTAGAATTGTTAATTAAAGACTATTCTCTACTATAAGGGTCCCCTTTTTTTATACTTGCTTTTTTTTATACAATTTTTGTTGCGTAGCGGCTTTATTAGCTGCTTAAAGCTTAGTAATTTTGTTCTACGCTAACACAAGCTTGTGCGCGACTATAGCTGCACTTTTTAAAACTTTTTTAAAAGCCTTAACTATTAAAGTAAGGGAACTATTTAGGTGCCTTTAAATCCTTGTCTTAACTAGCGTTAACTAAGACCCAAATTCTAGGGTATTACTTAGTATTTTTAACTTCTAGGGACCGTCTTTAATAATAGGTAGTAGTAGAGTATATAACTAGATATTAAGCTTTAATATTACAGCTTTAAGGTTAAAAGGAACTAGACTAGCGCCTCTAAAGCTACCTAAGATATTGCTTTTTGTAATAGCAGTATTAAAAACTAGTTTAAAGCATAGTAAGAACTTAATTTTAGTAATATAGTTAATGCTATTGCGTATTAGCTTTTTAGCTTAGTACCTATACGCCTTCTTTAAAGGCGCAAAACAACCTATATTAAGTAGCTATAGCAGGTGCGACAAATGCGGGGGCATATAGAAAGTAATAATTTTCTATTCCTTATAGTACTACTAGAATTAGACTAATGCGTAGCTCTTATAACTGTTAATAATAAGCAGACGATAGGTACTAACAACCCTCCCCTTAGTATACTTATTAAAGTGCTTTAACTACTTAAAAGTAAGCTTATTTATTATCTAGCTGTTCTTAAAAACTATAATAACTTAATTATAAGGCAGGCTATTTTCCTTATACTAGGCTAAGAGGTAGTTCTTGCCTATAAAGATAATAAAAAGTAGGATAGCCTACTCTATTACGTTAATGCCTTAGATTACTGTTACCTACTTTTAATTACTCTGCTGCACTATCTTTAGCTATCCTTAACAGTTAGTACTTAAAACAATAGTTCTATATAATATCTAGCCTATTATAAAGCCTGTCTTGTTAAAGTTGTATATATTTTTATCCTAAATACTATACTTAGCCTTTATATTTTCTATAAGTTAGAACTAGCTTTATACAAGCTTAGGATCTTTATACAAGGCTTTCTAGTAGTTATACTTTTAAAAAGTCTTAGTACTAAGCTATAAATATTATCTAACAAATGTGCTAGCCTAGTTCCTGCTAATAAGTAGTTGCCTATATTTAGCTAGCAAAGTATTAGCTATATCGTTTACAGCGGCTAGTTAAGGCAGAAATCCTTAGTCCTTAAAGTAGAGTATATGCTAGGCAATTACTTCCTTTTTTATTAAAGAGAGCCTTATCTTATTAGGCCTAGTATTGTATTATAGAAGCTTTCCTTTTAGTTAATTACTAAGTGTTGTTTAAGAGACGCTGTAGATCTGCGCAGCTTTTTATTAGAAAAAATTTGCGTTGCGTTTTAAAGCCTAAACTGCAAGCTATATTTAGTTTTCTTTTTAAGAAAATTGCATATTGTTATATTAAGGCATCGCGTTTAATAGTAAAAGACTACTAATTTTAGTAGGGTCTTAGCATTGTAACTAACTTAACCGGGCGACTAACTTGCCTGTGTAATACGTTAGGGCAAGCAAAAAATAATAAATAAAAAAAATATTAATAATAATAATAGCAAAGAGCATTATAATTATAAATAGAAAGTAAGTAATTATATTTGCAAAACTATACTTAGCTTTAAAATTAATACAGAAAATGCTAAGCCTAAGTAAAAAGTTTAATAAGCAGAAGTTAGAGCTAAGTATTAAAAGTATTATTTTTATTAGTAAGCCTATATTTATAAAAAATAACAGCTTATAAAAAAAGCTTAAGTAAAAGAAGAAGAAACAGTTAGAAAAAAAAAAGCTTAAAAATAATAATTTAGGGAAGAACCTAACTAGCTTAAAAAATAAAAATGCTAATTTACTTAAAAATCTTATACTTGCCCTATCTATCCCTTTTCTACTTAATTAGAATAGCTATACTACTACTATTAGTATCTAACTTTTATACTACTTTTTTTATTACTAAACTGCGCCTTACTTAAAAATAATTACTAGCCTTAGTTGCTTTTTTATAATAAGGCGCATTATATTTATATAGTACTAGCTTCTTTTTATCTTTAAGCAAACGCTATTAGAGAACTTTAACAATAATTTTAGTTTTTAATTTTTTTCTACTTTTAATAATATTTATATAGAAAATACTTTTAAGTTAAGTAAATAGATTTGTAAGGACAGTTAGAAATTATAAAACTAAAAGTAAGAATTAATTAATATTTTTTTTAAAACTAGCTGCGCTTGCATTTACTAACTATAAATAGCTATTTTAAGTATTTAGCAGAGCTTCTAAATATAGTTGCTATACTAAACAGTAAAAGCAATAATATAATATAAACTAAGCTTATAAAAGGGGTACTAAAGTTTAAAAGCGCGCAAGCTTTGCAAATTTTAAAATATTAATTTATAGCTATGTATAATATAAGCTGCTTATATATACTACTAAAGCTTTTTTTAAAGGCTATTTTATTTTAGCGCTAGTATTAAGTACTGCCTGCCTACCTACTATATAGAGTTTAGCGCTAGTATTAAATACTACTTTTTATATAAAAACTAGCGCTAGTATTAAATACTACTTTTTACTTAAGTATTATTTTTACACGCAAGGCCTAAACCTGCCTATATAATCTAATGCTAGTATTAGGTACTGCTTTTTGCTATTATTATAGTATTTTTAAGCATATAAAAAATCTAGCGCTTATATTAAAGTCTACTTCTTGCTATTAACGTGGGAGACGCATAGGGTCTAGCGCTAGTGTTAGGCACTGCCGCAGTGTCCAACAATGTAATACTCCTAGGGGTTAGGCCGGTAGTGTTAAGCAGGGTTAGGTTTGCTGCTGTGCTAAGTCGCGAGGCGCGTCGCCATCAAGATTTCTAGTAATAGACTGCGCTATTAACGTCGGACGGACAGGGCGCGTCCATAGCGGGCGAGCATTCTCCCTGTAGGCTGATCGACAAGCTGAGAGCTGAGAGCTGCGAGCTGACAGCGGGAGCGCTTAGGGGGAAGCGCTGTGCCATTGTAGATGCCGGATTTGCTGCGACTAGAACCTCTGCGCGCGGAATACTTCCAATCTTAGCACACGGTAGTCATTTCTTCGTCCTTTACTTTCCTACAGCACCTTGCGTCTTCATGCCCACAAGGACAATCTTCACAAAGCACATGCGCTTTGCTCGAGCTCCAATCGACACTGCGTGTTGCGCTTCACTAATATATTCTGGTTTCCGAAACTCGAACCCTTTCATTCAACTGCGCCATGCCACACCCGCCTAGAACAGTGCAGGTCAGAAAGACACGAATTGATAAAGGTGTTGTGGCGCAGCATCCTAGGTTTTGTAACCTTCCCTTCGCCTAGCGCACTAGCAAAAACAACGCACTTCCGCTCATTAAGACCCCAAGACCTGTCATAGCAGCGGTCGCTTATCCTTCAGAACTAAAGCCCTAAAAGTACAGCCAGCTCTCCCGTATCAATATATGCTTCCATCACGCTTTCGCCTTCCCTCCCTCTCTTAGCCTTCCCGAAACCATCGCCCTTTTCAAAGTCTTGCAACGCGCTCGAATCGAATTTCAATGGGCCATGCAGTATTCGGGCCTCCAGATCCCCGTACCAGCTGAACGGTTAACTCAGCTTCAATGCTCCTTCCTTGACTATATGCTTACTCTTCAATTTAAGAAGAGGGTCATAGTACCCTTCGAGTGACTCGGGGGGTGCGTCGTAAAGGCTCACGAAGGTACGGCCTTGGTCCGAACTTGTGTGAAGCTGGCTCGAGTCATCTTGGTTGGCCGCGCCGAATGGAACAACGAAGGCTTTTACGTTTCCGCGGATAGTCGAGATGTTGGTGAGAGATCCGTGCGGGACGGCGGCCCAGATTTCGCCCGTCGTTGTGTGTATGTCCGTAGTATGGTTGAGAGGCTGCATGGGCTAATACACGGTCGTAAATTCGACGTGAAGTTTTCCAGACAAAGATGAGACAGAGATATTTTCCGGAGTGAGAAGTGGTCCTTGGTATCTGGGAAGTAGGAATACCCAAGCAGAACCAATCTCGTTCTGTACCTTGAGGTTGCCATCAGCAAGGTAGTATCCAAAGATTTCGCCAGTAAGAGAAGTGCTGAAAACATCATGCGTGATGAGTGGATCTTGGAAGCGTGCGCCAGAGTAAAACGTATCGCCATGTGAGGTGTGTGTGAGTAGGTTGTTAATTTCCCATTCGAGAGAGCCCTCGACCCATAGGTCTAGAAAGTTGGACTGCAACTGGAAGAGGTTTAAGGTTCTTTTTGGCCAGGGACGAAAAGAAACGAGCACCTCCATGTCTGTGCACATGTCTTCCTGATCTGTGGATTCGTACTCAACCTCGCCATTGCTGAGCAGCCGTATTCTCGGCAGTGATGTTATACCCAAAACTTTGCACCGAGGATGCGACCACGTTGCTACACTTTTCATATTAAGCTCTGGGGGTTGACTGTTGGTATCCGTGAACTATTGGAGTACATTCAAGGTCATAGTTCCGTCTAAACCCGTACGCTGTGATGTCAAGTCGTGCTCGGATCCAGGGTAAAGTTGCGAGAGCGGCGCAACGTAGTCCAGCTTGTAGTATTCGCCGCCAGGCGATAGAAAAACGTGTCTTCACGCTGCGTTGCTGCTCCTAATGGTCAGCTCCTTCTCTCTCAGCATACATCGCAAATGACTGACCCTCAGGTAGTTGCCATCGTCTTTACTCATAGTTTGGGTCGCGCTAGTTAGGTGTTTGCTCCTGTTCGTTCATGCGACCGCTATAAAATTACGAGCGAAAGATAACGTATAAGACGCTGCGTAGTCGATTGATGTTGAAACGTTGAAATGTTGAAATTCCGAATGGACGCGAACGAGGTTGGGTGGCAGGAAAGAGCTCTGAACCTCGAAATGCTCACCACGCCGCACAACAGCATGGCTGCGCCACCAGGCGTTTCAGATTTATCCTCACGATAAGCCTGACGAGAATAGTTGACGAGACAAACTGGGCCCAAACTAAGTATCCAAGACTAACGTCAGGTTGTGCGGCGCGGGACAACGGCGATACGCCTGGCTGACCCTTGCTCACGTGGTTTTCACCCACATGTTGGATGTAAGCAGCGCGATCTTCGCCACTCGCATGCAGCGTGAGCGTTATTTGGAACTCCGCGAACGACGAGTAACGGCCATTCTGTTCGGTCTCAGATTATACCTCGTTCGAAATGTTTTCAGTGATCGTGTCGAGGCTCAGCAACCCATGGCGTTATAGAACACGCGATCTTAGCTGCGTGTTTACGCATGTCAAGTGGCCTGTTTTCAACAGCGCTACACGTACTGCCACCTCGATTGCTCATGTATGAGCCCTCTCCTGCGTGCCGCTCCTCGTTCCCCGACCACCTCGATATTGTGTCGAACGAAGAGCGCCGGGCGGCTATAATGAGCTCGGCGGCCCCGCAGTCGAACCTTATTGTCTCTTTGCTATAGCTGAACCTCAGTGCACATATTAATGTGGCGCAGGTCATTCTTTGATGTTGTCCGAGACACCCCAGACAAGGCTCGGGCATGGCGTCAGGAGGATGCGAGTCTGCTAGTGCCTGGCGACGGTGAACGACGAGCATCCACCGTCAGACAGCGTAGTCAACCAGAGCGTCTACGGACCAAATTCAGACTTCAGGCTACACATTTGCTTCATAAAGCACCGATGGCCTTTGCTTGACGTTTCCACCGCAGCGCGCAACCTTGTTTCTCGAGTATGCTCTAGACTGCAATACGAAGCACGCCGCTATCATGCGGCATGCGTACGGAACCCAAAAGCACCTGTTTGAAGCCAACGATGCGGCGCAGAATCAGTTCGCCGAGTATGCCTTGAAGGGGCGCCACAAGATTTACTTCCAACGGCGTATATGTTGTTACATTAGCTGTTGCGGCATGGTCCTCGAGTAAGTCTCAAAGACCCGCCGCAGAATGGACTTTGAAGTGGCATTCACATCGCGTCATGCACTAAGCCGCTAACTCGAGACAGATCCTACCGCCACCATGGATGTGCTGCGGATCAAGGCCGGGCAACAATGTACTCCTATGAGAACTGGAATATAAGAGAACAGAAGACGTGAAATGTGAGCAAAGCCTACTTTTATTCCCTTGCGGCTATTCATATCTATGTATTCTATAGTGAGCTTACAAATTATAACAATGGATAACAGATCACACTTCCACTAATCCTGTTAATTTTACGTCCCGACTACTCGCGCCTACAAAAAGATGATAGGAACCAGGTTGAAGCTCCCATTGCTGAGCTACAACATCCCAGATACTCAAGTCTCTTCTTGTCAAGTCGAACTTCACTACTACAGTCTCACCAGGTTCAACATATACCCTCTCAAACCCTCGCAATTGACGAGCAGGGGCGTTCGGAATCTCCACGTATAGCTGTACCACCTCTGCACCCGCGATCTCTCCCGTATTGGTCACTGTCGTGTGAACAGTATAGAGAACTTCCCATAACCAGGGATGACCACCCTGAACGATGGGAACTTCACTTGGTGGGAAAGGACGAGTATCCGCACCAGTAGATGATACACTGATGTTGGAGAGCTGAAAGCTTGTATACGATAGACCGTACCCGAATTCAAAGCGGGGAGTGATATTGTGCGCGTCAAAATGTCGGTAGTCAATGTACAGTCCTTCGGTGTAGTCGTCTTGCGGGAAGTACGAAAAATCGATTGTGGAGTTGAGAAAATGCCCGTAATCAGACTCCTTTTTACCGACAGTATATGGTAGCCGGCCGCTAGGATTCATATCCCCATACAAAACATCGACAAGGGAGTGTCCGCTTTCTTGTCCTGGGAGGCCTGCGAATATGCAGGCGGTGATGTTAGGGTTGTCAATCCAGGCATCAACAACGCGAGGACCCGCGGAGTGAACCACAACAATCGTGTTCGAACAGTTTGATGCTACATTGTTTACCAGCTGGTCGCTGAAGTCATCCGTGAGACTAGTGCGATCGAAAGATTCAGAAGCGTAAGCGTTGATGAAGACAAGGCATGCATCAGCATTAGCGTATACCGTTGGTGTCAGTCCCCAGAAATCCCAACGGAGGATTCCACGGTCAGCGATGATGCGGTCCTGGATGGCTTTGAAAGGGCTTATAACGTAGGGTGGAGTACTACCCCCAGACCCACCAGCAGTGATCATTGTGCCGTTGAGCGTGTTCCACCCAAAGTTTTCCTCGTATCCACCACCGTAACGGGTAGGATTATTCCAAGGGCTTGCTTTGACGTCTGCGTCATATCCAAATATGTTCAAGAAGCGAGGTTTCTTGAGAGGGAGAGTATTATTAACATTCTTCACGAGAACGTGGCCCGCAGCGCCAATCTGTCGGATGAGTGTTGCATGGTCATGCCGAACATCGTTAATGGGATGCTCCACATTGTATGGATATACACCATTCTCTGGGAAATCCTCGTCTTGACCGATGAAGTAATGCGCAGCGAGAAGCCGAGTAGCCATATCTTCCAACCTCTCAAGGGTCACAGATCCATTACCCACCGCCGTCGTAAGATTGGCTCCCCAAAAAGCGGCATTCGGCATAACGACGTCTAGACCGGCATTCGCAGAAGCGACTCCCGAGTGTTGCGCTCCCCAATCGCTTACAATAAAGCCTTCGAAGCCAAGCTCAGTTTTCAGGATTCCGTTCATGAGCTTAGAGTTCTGGCAGCCGTAAGAGTCGTTTGCACGCTGGTAAGAGCACATCACAGACCCAGCGCCAGCTCGAAGCGCGTTCATAAATGGCCATGCGTATAATTCGTGTGTAGTTCGATCGTCGACGTTGGAGGACATGGCTTCGCCCAAAGAGCTCTCACGGCGTCGGAATTCTTGCTCATTGAAAAGCCAATGCTGCAGGAAATGTGTTAGTGATGATGCTAATCGCTTCTCTTGTAAAGACATACCTTGGGAGTGGAGATAACTCCAGCATCCTGTATACCTTTCGTGATCTCCCCACCCCCAATTCCGGCTAGGAAGGGATCAGACCCCAACCCTTCCCAATTCCTTCCTCCTCTTGCGATTCTTCCAATCGGGCCGATGAACGGACCAAGCGCGACATGGATACCTTGACCGCGGTACTCATCTCCAAGCGCCTTTCCGTAAGCATACATCAATTGGCGATCGAAAGTGGCCCCAAGGTGGATGCCAGCCGGAAACGCAGAGACGAATTCTTGCCCACGGATGCCGTCAGGAGCGTCGGCGAAGCATAGTTCGGGGACGCCCAGACGAGGCACTGCGCCGGTCTGTCCTACACACGGACCAGTGTGGCCGTAGGTAACGTTGGACTTCTCTTCGAGTGTCATTTGAGAGACAATGGAGCGCGCTTTGAAGTAGGCAGCTGTCCATGCTGGTGATGTCGTGCCATTTCCTTCCGCTGTTTGAAAGTATTAGCCAACCCGTCCTACTCGAATGATGAATGCCTTACGTGAAGGATATACAGGCGGACTGCGTCCATAGAAAGGAATCTCGGAAACATTGCTCTGCCCTTGCACACCCGACACTGAGACCAAAAGCGATGATAACGTTGGGAATAGCATATTCGGTATGCTTCCGTTTTTGCAGCTCACAACTCAAAGTCATCCAAGCAAAGTGCTCACTAGTGATTATATACAATGAACGGGTAAACTTCGGGATGCCTCTTAATGAAGCCATTGGGTCATTCCGTTAAGCTATACTTAATCACACGTTAGTAGGAGTATCATTGCCGTTGCAAGCGCCGTTCCGCTCTCGGCATCCCGAAATGGAGGGGAAAATGTGGTTCAAAGCACGACTTTGCTTGGCAATGCGGGGTGGAGCCGTTTCTCGCTGCAATGAATCGCGAACTTCATCCTAAGTTAGTTTTGCGGAGAACTGGGTCGGAAACTTTGGACCGCCGTCGCCAGCCATTCCCCATTTCCGATCTCCCTACTACTGTGAGAGATGCGCTGCACATCATCCATGCAATAGGTATCCGCTATGCCTGGGTCGACACTCTGTGCATTGTTCAAGATGAACCCAAAGACGTGGCGACTATGCACAAGGTTTATTCCAACGCGCTCTTTACGTTGTGCTCCTGTGCCACAACTCATGCCACAACTCATGCCACAACAAAGTTGCTCGACCAGCGTGAGGCGTGGACCCAAAGGACAGAGCCCTGTCGACTCGGCGGGCAGTGGCTGATGACCTCAGACATGTCTCTCAATGAACTGCGTCTGAGGTCGCCGCTCGCAGAACGTGCTTGGACACTCCAGGAAGAGAGGTTGAGCCCTCGAATGCTGTACGTGTCTAGCAATAGGGTGTATTGGTCTTGTGCCAAGGGCCAGGAGATGGAGTTGAAGCCCATATGCAGACAAAAGGCCACGCCGACCCAAAGACCGGTATACGCGGCATCAGACCACGACACCCAGATGCCGCTGGCGCAAGAGTTTCTACTAGCCTGTTATTCGGGTACAAGCGACCTCCATCCGTATTGGGCGGACATCGTGAAATCGTATGCGTTGCGAGACATGACCAATTTATCAGATCGATTAACGGCTTTGTCCGGTCTGGCCGCAAAGTATCTCAGTGCAAGTAGACTTGATGAATATCTGGCCGGACTTTGGGCAAACAATATGGCAGAAGGACTCGGGTGGCGAGTAAAACAATCAGTGAAGATTGTCAGTAACAGAGTCGACCCCGTGGTTGTGTCACCACCGTGGCCGTCGTGGTCGTGGGCTGTGCTTCCGCTTCAGACTGAGATCGAAATGACTGACAAGAGCGCGAGATCTTCCTTCTTTCAAAGGGTTGAAGATGGTCGCAATGAAAATTCCGGAGCTCGGAGTAGCGCTGAGGATGCTGTCAAACGTGGAGAACACGTCAAGGAGATTTGCGTGTTCGGTCGCATGCGCACACTGTGGAAGCCATCATCTCGCTCTACTGACTGGTCAGCTGTCAGCGTACTAGTAGACGGAGAAGAAAGGTTTAGTTTTGCAATTAACCCTGAGCAAAATATGCATACACTAGAACCCGAATCTGGTCGCATCCTGGTGTACGAGGATCGAAAAAGAGGAGTCGTGAGTCAGGTTGATTTCCAGCGGGATGTTGGAGTTGCATGGGATGTCCGCGAGGACTACTTTGCCTCGGCGCAATGCAGGGCCTTGATTCTTCTTTAGATAAGAAACTGTATGATTTACAATCGAAGATCTTATCGGCCTTTATAGCATCAGATGTGGATCATCAGTCCCAGTTCGACGCTATCTGAAAAGGAATGACATGGCGCTTACCGCTTGCGCCGTTCAAGATGTACGAAGACAAGGAGCTGGTTGCCGCTGGAATTGTAGATTCGCAAATTACGAGCCAAATCCTTACAATAGTCTACCCGATTGCCTCCCTTTACCTCGCGAGATTAGCTCCAAGTTCTAATCAACTTTCCAAGGCACGAGCGATGCGTGTCATGGTGCTCAGTCGCTGTTTTCGTCTTCGGGCGCGAAAGGCAACCCGGCGCCCTCGTCTGCCTCCATTATATCGGCGCCTGCCACAAGCGTGGATTTCTTGTGAGCCCTCACTTGGACGTTGGCTATGGGATCTTTGTCGATGTAGTCAAACAACGGGTTGCGACGAACGGTGCTCTCCGTAATAAAGCTACGTTGCTATTAGTTTTGGGCTTGTATTTAGGTTCAGATTGCTTACATGAAGCTGGTACCTTCCATAAGCATGTCGCGTACGACACGGCAGCCTGCAGCGGCTTGAACGAGGGCTTTCAGTTCCGCCTTTTTGGCAACAAGATCGTCGCCGCGAACAACCACCTTCGATATTCGTAGACTTTCCCAGTGCTAGATTCATCGGCGTTCTTACTGTCCACAGTACGTTCTCAGTCTTCACCATGTTGAATTTGGTATCAGTTGTTGGTTTTGTTGTAAAGTGTTTAATTTGATGTGAGGGTTTGAAAGTGTAGCGCCGGTATTGGGACTATCGGCTTGCAGAAAGTTCATATTAGGTGAAAGAAAAGTGGGGCAGCTATCTAAAGACAGTGCACGTGTAAGAGGATTTTCAAAGCGCCTACGCTCGTGTACCTGGCCAGTTACCCATGGAGAAGTGAAGTGATACTACTTAGAAACTTCCCTCCGCCGTGACTGTCGTGCTGTCACTGATTCCAACCTCTCGCAACGTGACTGCCCATTGCAGCTTCTTTGTGTTGAATAAGAGGAACGGCGGAATCCTCAGGAATTGGTTTTGATCTTACTGCCCGTGCATCATGTACCTGAACGCTCTCTCTACCATTTCCACCCTGTCACGCCGACAAGTCCATATGTAGAATGTTTCGATATCAGGCCCACACATATATTCAAGCTTGCAAAGAAGGAACTATGAAACATTGCCGCTGCTAGCCGATTCTACCGTGTTAGCTCAACTAGGGCGTGGGCGCTGATCACATCTTTCTTTTGTTCCGTGTACAGGTTTTCGAGGGGGGGTGCAGGAATCTTGGGGAAGCACTGCTCAGCTGCGACCTGCAAATTGCTTCGGAGGTACTCGTTTATGCACTGGCGTTCGAGTTGGATACGGTTCGCGCGCCTCGCACCGAGGGAATCATAAGCCGCGCTGCTCTGTCACTAGCTATTTTGAACAACGTGCAGAACAAGGCGCAGCTTTCGCACCCATTTTGCTGTTCCTCTTTCTTGCGATCATTGGTCAGCTCTATCCTCACGATCTCCAGCTCTGCATCCGTGATATCACCGTCAGGCACATTGCCGCCCAGCGATGTCACGTTCTCGTTATCCGTGCCGTGAAGTCGTACTGGGACGGTCCATCGCTCTCTCGTCGGCGCAGGTGCAGGTGCAGGTGCAGGCGGCTAATGCGCCTATCACAGATTTGACGTTCTGGTCCGATCGCCTTACACAGAAGCCGACCAACAGGCTCATCTTGATGTTGAACCTCGTCCAGTTCCATCAGGCAATCTTTATGGTACCAATGCCCACACGCCGTGCGAGCCGCTCGCACGCCGGCCAGATCGGACAAGCATGGTGCAAATAATGCTTTCAGTAGGCTGGAGCCAAGTAACATGAGTAGGGGCTGACATGTTGGAAGGTTTAGAGAAGAAGATAGATTTGTAAATGTTGATGGTGAAGCTAAGTATATGCCGCTTGGCGTGCAAGCCTAGCTAGCCAAGCGAGGAATACCGGTATCGCAAGATATTTTTGTAAGCCAAAAACGAAAGCTCGCAATTTCCAACCGACTCATGTCGGTAATAAGTACTTATGGTGCATTCACCAGTTTACTGCGTCCGCGCACCCCGAATCGCACCCCCGATGCCCTCGTCCATCTCACCAACTCCACCTTCCTCGCCGTCAAACTCTGCACGGCTTCGCTTGCGCGTACGAGTCGCAGCGTGTGGGGTGTTCTCGACCCAAAGGATACCTTGGTCACCCGGGCTGGCGTCCTCGGCCCAGAGATTCCGGTCGGCCTGCTTGAAGATGCCATAAGTGTTGACACGGTCTTCGGGGAAGGAGATGTTGTTCCGAATCAACACCGAGGTCGATAGGTTCCTGCATGATGCCGTCATGTTACGTGATCCTGCGGGTGAGGGGCCTCAACCGCACGGTTGAGATAAGATTTAGTTAGATGTAATGGGGGAAGTCGCAAAGGTGCTACCTGATTTCGTACGATGACGTGCATAGGAAACAAAGGATGCAATTGGTGGGCTCTTCAAAGCCCACATCAAACTATACAACAGGATGGAGTAGATGTATGACCTAACTCTGAAATCACATCAGGTGTTCGATTCGAAATGTCTTTATCAAACCACGATGAAAAGTCTTACAAAGCCTTCAAGTATTGGCAAAAGCTTACTTGCGCACGTATACACCTACAAGCGTTTGAAGTCAATCTCGCAAGCAAATCTTCCTTCTCACGGCAAGCATATTTCAATAAAATCAAATACAAAGCGGACATTATCATGATTACTATGCTGGACCTTTTGTAGAGACCTTTGATGTCTAAGCTAATTATGTTTATCTATATCATCTCTTTGCTTTTGGTCTAAAAGCCTAGTCCGTATCGCTCGTAATGTTTGACTTAGGTTTGCTTCTTTTGTAGCAGCGACCCACTGCTTTGGAGCCTCTTGGTTGAATATGCACTCCTCCCATCCCCAAATCCGCTCGACTTTCCTCTTTGTGGCATCGTTCCCTTGTCCAGTAAGAATAATCGTGCACTGCACCTGACTTGCCTCCGCCGTTCTGCAAACATATACCAGGAGATCAAATCATGGAATCTTCCAAGCTAGCAGTGGGAATTCGATACGGAGGGACTTAAGGTTGGGAAAAACTTGAACCTTTCGCTGGATGACATGCTCGAGGGCCGGGATCAAACAGTTTGGAACAAACTCGACATCGGCTCCTTCGTCTGCTATGCTCTGCTGATGCGCTCTTGTGATCCAGAGTTCCTCTAGGCTTTCAGCAAGCGCCTTCCATGCCATCTCCTTTATGGCATGTCTCTTCAGTTCACTTACGTTGTGAAAAGCCGGTGTGGCCCCAGATGAACACCGGGGCCACTTTGAGGTGTTTGAGTGTCTTGAACTGGGTAAATGAGACAGGAAAAAGCTTCTCATGATCATTATCGAACTGATAGGGGTAGAAATCTGCATGGCTAAGGCCCAGAGATTCCAGCGTGTTGTGATGTGCTTCTAGACTCTGCATTATGGCAGGGTGTTCAACGTTGCACCCTGCCCAGGTACATCCGATTTCGTAATTGAATGTCTTCAGCTTCCCAGGAATTGTAGCGTTCATCAAGAATTGCAAATTATCTTTGTGCAGTTTCGAGGTTCGGAGTTCAATGTACTCGACGGCACATGAACGAGGCTTCAATTTTGCGAAGGGGCCCTTGATCAAACCTGGCGGAGATTCGCTGTCGCCCATCTTCCATGCATATACTGAGCGAAGGTAGGGAAGGCTGAAAACAGACCAGATATTCGGGATCGTTGGGGTATTTATCGTTGAATCCTTTGACCATTACATCAATAGGAACCGAAAAGGCGGTCGATTCCAATGAGCCGAATGTCTCCACTGCAGGAAGTTTAGTTGGGTCCCATGGAATCTTTCCAAACGGCTTGACCCGTTGTGCCACGCGCTCAAGCATGGCAATGAAGAACACGTTATCTGTGGCTATCCCAAGGTTCACATCTAGCTTTTGCAGATTTGGAAGATTTGTGAGGAACAATGCGAGTATGGCGTCCTCTTCAGTGCCAGGTTTGATCTTGTCGTATAGCTCACGAGCCTCGTTGTCGTCAATGGCGTACTCGGTGCACCTTTTCCTCAGCACATGCTCCAGATCCGGTGTTCCGGAGTTGGGCCATGACCGTTTCCCGGGCTCAATTCTAGCGGGCGCGTCTTCTCCCCATATATTGGGCACGACAACAGATTTTACAAGAGCGGCGTGAGCTGGTGATGCAAAGACCAGGTATGCAACTGGGAGGAGATACTTTAGAAGCCCGTCTATGTTGACTTTGTGGGCCAAGAATATGGTAGAGTAAAGATGGGGAATGGCGATTCGTTAGAGCTTCTTCGAAGTGAGACACAAAGCAGAAAGAGACCGTGGACAACACGATGCGATGATTGCATCAACAAGCTCTTCGGACAGATCGTGTTCAAGCGAAAATGACATAACCGAGATATCGTGCGAAGATAATGACAAGATTGATTTGTTCGGTTGGGATCTATCTTGAACGAGGGGTGACCTTATATGGCTTCGGGAAATCAGGCTGCGGGTTGTGCTCCATGCTGCGGCAACCTAGCGTTCGCCTAAGTGGATGTATCCTCCAGGGTTGCTGCGTGTCGCGTAAGCGCGGTGGCAAAGAAGTGACAAAGCTAGTACGCCGCGGGGTAACAACGCGTTCTAAGGTCTCCACCAAAACGCTATCGCTACGTAAGAAGGTGTGGCTAGGAAGTCGATGTACACTGTATAAAGAGGGACGAGAGTGCTACTGATTACTCAGAGAGGGGTATTCTTCTTCTTCTTCTTTTAAGTGAGTGATCATGCCAACCAGTTCATTAACGCGCGCACCAGGCACGAGGTGGCCTCCCAAAAGTGTCAAATAGATGTCACAAAGATTTTACACCCTTGCGTCTACAAGATTCTTATCGCGAGAGATTAATACGAAGAGACTTCTTAATCACTTCCATGAGTAAGCTCGAGAAATCATGTTGGTCCTGTCTTCTGTTTCTCCCGGAACAGAGATCAACTCATAGGAAGTTGAAGCTAGGAACCTATCTTCTGACTTGTTTCTTATGAACGAGCCGACCCAATCCTCTCGGCCGACGCGGCCTCACTCGTGACTTGGATCTCTGTTGTCTCCAGGATATGAAACTCATCTTCCCTCATTTTCCCTCTCGCACTGAAGTCCCTCATATGATACGAATTTCCACCCTTCTCGCTTCCTGAACGGCCGTAGTACAAGGAGGTCGATCCTTCTGGTCTGTGATTCGGGTGGAAGATGCGATAGAAAGCCTGGAAAGCGGGTCGCATAACGACAAGTGTTGCGACCCAGATTCCAACATCCATTTCGACTACGGCTAAGCAGTTGGACATGATGTGTGCGTATTGCGGCTCGGTCTTGGTGTGGGGGTCGGGGTAGAACATGATGACGAAGCGTGCGATAGTTAGGCTTGTGTGAACGAGACCAAGGAGGATCAATCCGAGCAGCTGTTTTACTTCGGGACGATGGCCCTTGAACTTTATAAGGGTGGGAATTGGCAACGTAATCACCATAACGGATGTGATAAGGTTGAAGACTGCCGTACTGCGTATGTGATGACAAGGTCAGCCAACGTTCCAAAAGATAAAGGGTGAAAGGATGATATCGGCCAGGTACGTTCGTTGTGCTGCCGTAAAAAAGTATAATCTTACTACTCAACGTCAGTCAGATGTCTCGCTGTCATATCATCCCAAGCTTACCCTCATGCGGAACTCTACTAAATTTATGCAAGTCCCATCGACCTTCCTGTTCCACGTCTTGTTGATAGGCGTACACTGGAAGATGGTGATTAGGAGAGCAGAGCCATACGCCCCAACGATAAGTAGAATTGTACCCCAGATAGCTACTCTTGTGATCCTAATGACCGTGTCCGTAGATTTAGAGCACATGAGGCGATACAACAAACATAGAGATAGTTTGGATAATGGCGTGGTGAGTTTGAACAACATCTGATTGATGTATGCCAACTTTGACGGCCACAAGGAGTTGCGCATGTGTGCAGGAATGTCTGCCTTCGCTTTGCCATAGCCAAAATTGAAGACGAGGATAAGTTGAATGGCACTCTGGAGGATGGCGCATATCTGAAGCCTTGTGTCAGTATGATTCAACACCATGTAAGCGCATCTCGACGTCGTGGAATGTGAAGACCTACCATAGCGGCTATCAAGCAGAGATCGGAAACATCGTACTTCCTATAACGCGCCCTGAACCACAATCGGATTACCAGCGTAGAAAGCGCTACAAATCCAAAAACAAAGGTGGTGATAACCAACTGGTACCCAATAGGTTCCAGGTCGGCCATCTCAATGTCGGCGCCGGAGGCGTGTACGGGTCGGCCCTTAAACCGTTGGTGTCGAGGGCGAACGTTCTATAACGCGGTAAGCATGCATCATGTTCTCGCTATGCCTCATCATATATGTTTTCACCGACCACCCCATGATATGGTTTTACCGACCAAGTTGGCAATATCATTCTAGCGACCGCCGGAGATTACCCGAATCCTACAAGCCACTTTGATGCTACTACATCCCGCAGTTGTTGAGGCCTTATTTGATTGGTGTACATGCCCGGGCGGGCAATTGGGCCTTCCGGAACCTGCGTGCGGGAATCCTTCGCCTTCTATTTAGTAGTAGTCAGTCCGAGGTTGACGTCCCGCCCTTTGATAGGGATACCGTCGGTCCGAATGCTTTCGACCCTAAGCATGCTGATGTGAGTCACGCTCTCACCCATCGCGGCCCCAGCGATCAGTATATCGAGGAAAGTAAAGGTTTTCTGTGAATACGGTAATCTCGCATGTTTGTCGAAGGGTGAAGATATCGGCGCACCGTGTTCTTGGCCTCCGGTAGCTTCCAAGGTTGCCTGGCGTGATTAAGGCCCTGCGCTAGTGTTCCCCTTGCTATCCCGCCAAGCCGCTGCCGCGAACAATCTATCTCTTGCCTCTAGTCTATTCCACGTCTCGAATCATTCAGCCCATCAATTTTTTCGGTTCTCACGGAACGTCTCCAGATTGCGGCTCTCAAGCGCCGGCGCCGAGCCGCTTCGGTGATCCCCATTTGGTCGCCCCATCTTGAACGCAAACCTGGCCAGAGTCGTCCTATCGAGTCATGATACCTTTGTGACCGATAAAACCATTGTGCATCCATGTCGATTGGTAGTGACATCGCTCCTTTCCTAGCCATTATGTTTGTGCCTCTGTTGTCAGCCTCGTTTCTCGCGTTCTTTCAGGCCGCAGCGGCAGCAACCTCTTTCGAGTCAAAGTGTCTTTCTTTTAGGCCCGAGAAATACATTGATGGGGCGACGCGCAATGTGCGTCAGTTCGTTACAGCCGGTACGACGCTGACGTTCCCGGACAACGACGCAACCTGCAACCGTGCCAGTCAGGCTGTATCATCCGATATGTGCCGAATTGCGCTTTCCATCAGGACGTCCCGAACATCGAGCATTGCGTTTGAAGCATGGTTCCCGGAAAATTGGTCAGGCCGCTTTCTGGCAACTGGGAACGGGGGGATTGATGGATGCAAGTTCAGGACCTGTTCATCAAACACCCAAGATCATCATTGCTGACCAACTTGCAATTTAGGCATCAAGTACGAAGACCTTGCATATGGCGCACTCAATGGCTTTGCCACCGTTGGAGCAAACAACGGTAAGAATGGCACGTCGGGACTGGCATTTTTGAACAACCCTGAGACCGTGATTGATTTCGCCTGGCGATCGTACGCATGCCCTTTCTATTACTTTAGGGTCACCTACTTACCACTTCCTCAGTCTACACACCAGCGTAGAAACAGGCAAGAAGCTATCAAAGAAGCTATACCACGAGACTTACACAAAGTCATACTACCTGGGTTGCTCTCTCGGGGGACGACAAGGTATTAAGAGCGCGGAGAAGTTTCCCAAAGACTTCGATGGCATCGTCGCCGGCGCCCCGGGCGTTGACTTCAACGACCTAGTCTCTTGGCGCGCCAGATTTTACACCATCACAGGGCCAAAAACTGGTGCCGACTTCATCCCCGCAACAGCATGGAAGACCTGGATCCACGACGAGGTACTGCATCAGTGTGATACTATCGACAAGGTCAAGGATGGCATTATCGAAGACCCTACCCTGTGCAAATTCGACCCCTCGACTCTTCTCTGTAGTCGCAACAGCACTACCAACTGCCTGAACCAAAACCAGGTTCAGCAAGTCAAGACTATCTTCAGCGACTACATGTATCCGAATGGCCAGCTGATTTTCCCCGCCATGCAGCCAGGCAGCGAGATCAACGCTGTGGACCGACTATACGCTGGCACCCCATTTGCCTACTCCGACGACTGGTTCAAATATGTCGTCTATAACAACGCGCTGTGGAATGCATCTACGTTCGACTTCCTAAACGCACGCGCAGCAGAATTGCTCAATCCCGGTAACATTCGTACCTACCCATCCAAACTGCCCAAATTCGAAAGCCGCGGAGGAAAGCTGCTCATATACCATGGCCAGCAGGACCACCAGATCACAGCGTTCAACACGAATCGCTTCTACGAGAATCTGCGGGGTCGTAGGAGCTACGCCTCTATGGACGAGTGGGTCCGGTTCTTCAGGGTCTCCGGCATGTTTCACTGTAGTTCTGGACCAGGCGCCTGGGTCCTTGGCCAGGGTGGAAATGCTGCACAGAACGGCATTATGTTCGATAGACAGCACAATGTTCTCAAGGCCATGGTGGATTGGGTTGAGAAGGGCGATGCGCCCGAAGATATTGAGGGCACTAAGTTCGTGAACGACACTGTTTCGCAAGGTGTGGATTTCACACGCCGTCACTGCAAGTAAGGGAAACGCTGAAATGAGTGTGTGTAGAAATGAGCTAACATAAGCTATTAGATTCCCGGCACGCAACACTTACACTGGTGGCGATTATAAGAAGCCTTCAAGTTGGAAGTGCAAATAGAGCAGGGCGGGATAGACTTTACTTTACTGTAAGAGCGCTTGTTACAATCAAGACCAATCCGTCTGTCAGATTAATTGATATCATCTTTACGAGAAATGGTCGTAGTCAACCTTTCCTTAGCTCTAAATGCTCCATGAAAGACTCAGCCATTACTCCCCGCTGCTGGAGCTTGATCTCCAATGCTCAGAACGCGTACTGGTATCCAGAGGCTTCGCCAGGCATCTTAGCAATATCTATTAGCCCTGCGGTGAAAAGTTGGCGGCTCTTGTCTAGAATATGATCGCAATGTCTCGCCCACTTAGTGTCTTTTCATAAATGTTCTGCACGGTATCCTCGATAGTTTAAGTTGGTCAATGTCCCTTACTATCTACGCCCCGAGTTCTCCGGATCTGAAAAGCCTCCATCAACTCTTAGTCAGCTCAGTCCTACGCTCGCTATACATTCCTTTATACCTACTTCTACAAACTTCTGTCGTGATATGGATGGTACGCCAGCCAGATATTTTGCTAGGGATCCCATTGTTTCCTTGACACCGTACGGACTGGACATGCTCTCAATCATACTGGATTTTTCGAGTCTGCCCCAGACCGTCTTAGAGCTGTTTTGAAGCACCCTTAATTCGACTATTAATTTGAGAGGTAATTCGTCAAGGTGTTTTTAACATGTCTGTAATCAAGTGCACTTCTATGGGCTAATTCTCCAAGATTTTGAGTTGTTTCTAGCCACTTATCAAGAATATGGCTTGAGTTAGTACTCGTGAGCTTAGCCATTTCGTATTGAACATTCTTTCCACCCCTTAGCGTATTGGCAAGCGTATGACAAAGCCCTCGCTTTATGTACAGAACTTAATATGCTCTATCTATTGTTAATAAACATAGTGCATTTTTAGGTTCGGTTTGCGCACGAGCCAAATCTCTACGGCTTCTACTTTTAGTAGCAAACGACCTCTCGGTTCGCTAATCAGACCACCACGCTGCACATTTCAGGCCCCCAACGACGCAAGTCTGCACAAAAACAACGCGAATCTACGATGAAGCCCCTAATGCTCGATCCAAACCCCGTCTGGACGCCTTTTCTCTTGTTCCCTTGCTTCACTTCTGTACTTCCGGTCGCGCCAAGTACCTTGAAGAGACTCGGCTCGACGGTGCTCTCTGATTTCCGCTATTCTTCAGATCCACAGTTTTCCTCCAGCGGCTGCATAAAAACGGCAAAAATTAACGGACTCTGGGTCTAGTGGCTGAAACCAAGACTCACAAGAACCCAATGACCTCTCACGAACACCAGCCACGCGAGCGACTAGCTAGTGGATCGTGCACTTTGGCATAGCCTGGATCAAGACGAAATACGAGCGTGCGGCTGAGGCGCGTTGCGTCGTGTCTGCCCTGCCTTTTGATGCACGATCCGCAGTCCGCTACTGCGCTGGGAGGCTCAACGCTCTTCACGATCGCTTTCTTGGTTGCGACTCCTAACGATGAGATTCCTAGCCAAGAGCGCCGCGTTACTGGCGTCAATAGGAATCGCCAGAGTAGGAGCCGGCCCTGCTCCAGCACCTGACCCGGTTATTACGCCAGCCGCAATTCTACCTCGAGACAACAAACAGACTTTAGGATGGTACTCAGATGGGCAGACTGTCGGGCAGACGATATGTGCGCTTCCAGCTGTATCGCGACGAAGAACGTAGAAGCGCTAACAAGCGGAAGATGCGCCATGGGTCTTCGACGCGGACACAATAACCTACACCTCGTCGGGCAACTACTTGCGAAGATGCGCAGTATCGTCAAGTTGCATCATGTATACGAGCTGTTCGAGCGGGTACATGATAGCCGCGGGCACTTCCTCATACTGGTACGCGAAACAACTCGAAGCTTCGAACAGCGCCTTGTACTGACGTTGCCTAGTGGGATCAGCGGCGCAACTGGAGGAGCATCGAGCAGTTACTGCAGTAACCACGTACTGCTTCCCACATTAAGCGCAAAACAAGGAGGACAAAGCTGGTACTGGTGCGACACGGCGCCGCTTACAGGACATCTTTTCTACGCGAAGGAGCCTCCACAGCCCAGTACGTATTGTGACCTCCATGATGCGAACCGTGCCTGACACCCATAGCACTTATCTCGGCCTCGATCACTCGCCCAACGTCCGATGCGCGGACGACGGCCTCGGACAACTCTCCTCCGACCGCTACATCCACGGCCCCTCCATTGGCCTCGACCCTTCCATCAAATAACGGCGGTAGCAGCACACCTGTAGGCGCGATAGCAGGAGGTGTAGTCGGCGGTATAGCTGTACTAGGAGCAATAGCCTTCGCCATCTTCTGGATTATGCGCCGGGACAGGAAGAGGAGAGAAGCGGCAGCGTACCAGGCCGCCCCTCTCATTGGTCCGCACACATCGTATCAGCAAAGCCCAGGCTACTTACCACAGGCCGAGTATTTTGCTACTAGCCCGTACCGGGCCAACGAGCAGAAACCGCAACCCTTCGTTCAACACGGCCAATACCCGCAGTCGTATCCTCTTGGACCGTACGATCCGCACGTCTCACAACAATATGCTGGAAGTCCGCCGCCGCCACATGAATTAGGTGTGCCAACAGAAATAACGCCGCAAGAGCTGCCAGCTCAGCATATATCTCCGAAGTAGACCTCCCCAAACACAACGCGCGGTATAAGGTGCGGAAGCGATGTGCAAAGAACGAAGCGATCACCCAATTATTTTGATACGAGTTATGTCGGGAAAGGATATCAAGCCAAACGTAGTTCTGAGTCCTTCTCACGTCATCTCTACAATACGACTCATGATTACTAGCATTGTACATATCAAGCTTATCTAGCTTGAACTTGTTGATACTGCTTTCTGGTGTACACTTATCATTTCACTATTTTTGTATGAAAGATAGTCTAAAGCCATAGCAACTCACCCAGAGAGGGAGAGGGAGCTTCTATCATCTTGAACACTGTGTGTGATTCCCATAGCAAGGCCTCCAGTACGGAAATGCGCACTTCCCGGGATCTCTGCCATCATGAACATCTATTCTATTTCGTACTTGAGTTTCCAATTCGCCCGCATCTGCTCGAGTCATGTCTCGTAAGCTTACGTCCAACCCCTACACGCTACCCAAAACAGGAAACATTCTGCCCCGACCCCACAATCCTCCCCAGCTGTTTAACTCTCCGAATACACATCTTGCGCAACCAGCGCATCCGTATTGTTGGATCGGATATGCTTAGGATATTTAGGTGGGCTTAGCAATCCTTCCTTTTCACAGAGCAATCCATGCCTTCCAATGTGGACAAGGCGGAAACTGCGATACTGTCGATCGCATCCGTACGTGTGTGCTTACTGGACAGGTACGTAGTTCACCCGATGGAGTAAAACATCTCCTGCACCATAATCCAGTTATGAGCATAGCATTGCGCTGTCAGGACCACTTTCCAGCTCACGAACGGACCAGCTTTCTCGAATGGACATTGCTGCCTATACAGTAACTTTTGACCCCTCACCGGTGAGCCTAGACGATCGTATATGCTTGTGGACATTAGTCCCTAGCACAGGACTTTTGGCGAACACGTGCCCTCAATCCTATAAATCAGTGCTCGTGGCATCGCGTCAACTTCGCGTTGTGTAATCATCCTGTGCTGTTATTTTCAACTTCGCGGATCCTTCACTCCACCTGCTCGTTTCTCCAATTCAAGTATCATGGCGTCTGAATCCAACTTCCTGTCGCAGACGCTTCAGGCTATCACATCCACCAAAAGGCGTGAGCAGGAAAGGCGCCGCAAAACCTTCGAAGCCAGCAAGGCAAAACTCCTAGAGTCGGTTGCTGCCGCCTCCGATGATCGCGCTCGGCTTGAAGTGATGCTATCCGGATTTAAAGAGTTGTCCTCCAGCAACAAGGGCGTCTCCTACGTTGATGATGACCGTACTGAGCACGCTCGTAACGTAGCTCGATACCTGGAACAATCATATCGGGATCCTTCCGTCTCTTCCGGTATTATCCAGGGTTTCTACCGCAACTTTCGTCAAAAAGTGGACCAGGAAAGTCAACGCTTCGACTACGCAGATCTTTACTATCGCCTACTCAGCGAATGGACGGATGCGAGTAGTAAACCACTGGAACAGTCCGAGCGAAAGGAAGAGGAGCTAGATGGCTCGTTCGAGCACGTTCCGAAGTACGATCTCCAGAAGCTCAAAAACAAATTTGCGAGCGTTGTCTTCACGCCTCGTGAGACAGACGAGGTTGAGATCGATACCTACTTAAGCGACTTCTTCCAGGATGACCATGGCACGAGCCTTCTGGAAGCCATCCGAAAAGCAAATGTTGCATTCGCTCGTAAGCTTAAAGAACGGGCTACCCCATTTGACAGCGAGATCCTCAAGCAGTGCATCAAGGCGCTGCTAGGCAATAATCTTCTTAACGATGATGCTAAGAACACTCTCTCTGAGTTCACCACCAACGAAGTCGTCCTGGACGAGATTGCGGATGTGCTCAATCTACGGTTTGCCGACCTTGACAACTGGTCGTGGCAGGCCGATGAAGGCATGTACTACGAGCCACGCCGCCAAATCACCGGCAAGTATAGGATCATGATGGATATGGATATTCTGCAGGCCATCTTCCTCCACTATATCGCCGTAAGCTGGTGCGGCCATCTCAAGTCCGTCTTCGGCACCTTGCCAAACGACAAAAGGTTTTGGCGCGGCCCTAAGAAAATGACCGAAGAAGAAAAGGGAAGGCACTATTACTTTATGGGTTTTCATCCCACTTCTGGTGTCGTTGGGAAACTAGATAAGAACTTCTGCGATACGTTCTTCTTGTCCGCCTTGCCTTGCTCGCTGACTGAAGGCGGTGATCCATACGGAGAAGACAAGGATGCTGAAGCTGCCGCAGACGAAACGAAGACTGGCCTTGGTATGCGGCAAATGTTCCTGCGTCAGCTTGCCACGGATGTGATCACCCGTCGCTCGCTACATGGCCAAGTAGCTGTCGTACAATCGGATCTTCAGTGGTACGCCACCGGCCTTCCGCACACTACGCTCTTCGCTGTTCTTCGTTTTTGGGGCGTGCCTGAGGATTGGATCTCACTTTTCAAAAAGTACGCTGAAGCACCGCTAAGGATGACAGCAACACCTGGCGAGGACGTGCGCACCCGGAAGCGTGGTATCCCGATCACAGATGCCTTCGAGACACTATTCGGTGAATGCGTCCTTTTCTGTATGGACGTTGCGGTCAATCGTCTGTCCGGAATGACTTTGATTCGCTTTCACGATGATCTCTTCCTGTCTGGTGAGCCTTCACAATGCGCGAATGCGTGGGAGGCCATCCAGGACTTCGTAAAAGTGCTGGGACTTGATATCAATACAAGTAAGACAGGCTCCGTCTACCTTTGCGATACTGAAAAGGACGGTAACCTACTCACAAAGTTCCCCAAAGGACCTGTGTGCATGGGCATGTTGCAATTGACCGACGAAGGCGAGTGGGCTATCGATCAGAAACAAGTCACAGCCCACGTCAGGCAGCTTCAGAAGCAACTTGGCCAGTGCAGCAGTATCATCTCCTGGATCCAAACGTGGAATGCTTGCATGGGCAGATTCTTCCAGGACACATTCGGCAAGCCAGCCAACTGCTTTGGTCAGGCACACGTCGATGCTATTCTAGAAACACACGCCAACATGCAACGCCAGCTCTTCCAAGCACACAGTGGTAGTGTAACTAATTATCTACGCGAGCAGATCCATGAGCGCTTCGATGTCGCCAAAGTCCCAGATTCGTTCTTCTTCCTGCCGGAAGATTTTGGTGGTCTGGGTGTAAAGAACCCGTTCATCCCATTCTTCGGAGTCAAGGACCAAGTCCTCAAAAGCCCACTTAGTCGTATCGCCCAGTTCCGCAAAAAGGAGAAACGTGCATACAAGGACGCATCCGAAGCTTTTGCTGCTCTCTCCGACTCCGACAAGCAACGTCGACTCCGCAAAGGTCTTGGCGAGTCTTCAAAGCATACCCCCATCCAATCAGAGCCCTTCGTCTCCTTTGAAGAGTACACTGCGTATCGCGAGGCATACTCCAATGAGTTCTTGTGTGCATATGCTGAGCTCAATCTCAAGCCCAGAGTGGAAGACGTGCATCTCGCGAACGACCTAAAACCTTGGTTCGATGAGCTGTTGCATAGTCATGGAATTGATTGGTACAGTTTTAGTAGTGAGGACAAATGGATCATGCATCTGTATGCTGAAGAGCTGAAGCATCAGTTTGGCGCGCTCAGTATTGTCGACAAGAATTTACTGCCCAGTGGGGTGATGAAGATGTTGAAGAAGAAGAAAGTCACATGGCAGATTGTAATTTGGGAGTGAGAGAAAATGTTTCCACTCCAAGCTGTGTGTAGGTAGCGACACGACACAGCCTTGCATACCAAATACAAGTTGCAAAACTATTACCGAGGCTTATCAGCCGATGAGCTACTCCACCCGATGAGCTACCTCAACTAAAGTCAGCCATCCGTAAAAATAAGGTTATAAAGCTACTAATAAAAGTTATTATTATAAAATTTTTTAAAGTATTAGTAAACAAAAGCTTGCAATTAATTTATACTATTTAAATTTTTATAAAAAGTTAATTTAGCGGCTGCGCGCAGTAGTTTTAAGCAAAAGCAGCAATAGTTATAATACATCTAAACTACTACTTTTAGCATCTATAATATAATAATGCTTTACTATATTTAAATTTGCAAAATATAAAATTATTTACTTATATTTATTTACTTTATTATAAAATTTTTATAAAATTATAGTTTTTTTTTCCTGTTACTTTTGCGCGCGCGCAGTAGCTTGTTTTTAAGCTACTATTATACGCTTTTCTGTAGCGCGCTTTTTAGCAAGCAACTGCACTACTTTTACTTTTTTTATAATTTTTTTTTTATATAATATTGCTGCTGCTTTTAGCTCTTTTATTTCTTTTTTTTAAAATTATTTAGCTTTATTTTTATATTATTTTACTATATTGCGCGCGTAAGCTTTTTAAATAGTTTTTAAACTTTAAAATACTATAGCGCTATAAAACTTTTTGCGCTATTAAAAATTTAAAAGTTTACTTTTACTTTTATACTTTTTTTTAGTTAAAAGCGCGTTGCGGAAACTTTTATTTTTATAGTAAAAAAGCTTATTTTATACTTAAAAGGAATGTAGTATAAAGCCTAACTATTTAGCTTTAACTTTTATTTTATTTTTTATAGTAATTTTAAATAAATTGTAGAGCTAGTTCTAAGTATTTCTATTACTATTTTTTTTATTTATTAATTTTTAATCTTTTTATTGTAGTTATGTTTTAAATTATTATAGTATAATATTAGTATTAAGTAGTTTAACGCTTATAGCTTTAAACACTTTTTATATATTTATAAAAATAAATATAATATTATAAGTAGCTTAAAATAATAAGAAAAAGTTACTTTTATTTATAAAAATAAGGCTTTAGCTGTAATAAAAGTAGTACGCAAGCTTAGTTAAATAAGCAGTTAAAAAAAGTAAAAAAAGCACTATATTTAGAAGTTATAAGCTATAAATTAAATAAAAAAAAAATACTATTAAAAAGATCTTATTAGTATTGCAAAAGTTTATAAAATTAGTAGTAAAGTAGCTGTTATAGCTATTAAAAATAAAAATTTTATAACTTGCTTACGCCTTACTTTTTGTACACTAATTAAAAACTTATTTAAGCTAGGCTAAACTAATATTATTATTAAACTATTTAAAAAAACTTATTATAAAAAAAATTTAATATTTTTTAACTTTTATGTCGCGTAACTAAGCATTGCAAAGTTTTTTTTTTTTTTTAAAAATTATACTTAAATTTACTGCGCTTTTATTTGCACAAATATATACTAAAATTATTATTTACTTTTAATTGCTATTTTATAAAGCTGCTATAATTTATTTTTACTTTTAAAATTGCTTTAAAAAGACCTATTTAAAGCATAAAATAATACTAATAAAAAAATTTTTTTTATTTATATTATAGATGTAGCGCGCGTTAACGTTATACTCTTAAATTTTTAAATAAAAAAAGTTAAAGTATAATTTATAGCTATGCTTAGTATTAGCAAAAAGCCGTTTATAATTAATTTTAGTAGTATATTTAAAAATAAAAATATCGCAATATCTTTTTAGAAATTATAAAATTTATATATTAGAAATTTTTTATTTTAAAACTTTAAAGGTAAAATTTTTTATTATAACTTTTGTAAGTGCAAGCTTATATTTAAATAAACTTTATATATACTGCACAAGTTTTAATTCTTATTATAAATTAAAATATATTTATTATTAAGCTTCTTTTATATTTAATTGCGTTTTTCCTTAGTATTAGCGTGCTAAAGTAGTTTAATTAATACTAAATATTTTTACAGCTGCGCAGTATAAAAATTATTTTTTAAAATTTTATAAATTAATTGCTATAATTATATTTAAAATTAGATTATTAGTAGTAGATATATTGCGGTTTAAAGAAGTTGTATTTAGTTTATTTTAATATTAAGGTAGCTTATTAGGTAGAGTGGCTTATCGGCTGATAAGCCTTGGTATGATGTCATCGCTTGGCCTGTTACAAGCCTCGGCTGCATTGACCTCTTAATCCACCAAGTACCCAACCTCGACCTGGACGTAAGCGCAACAGAAAGGATAGCACGAACAAAAGTGCTGTTTATACAAGCTTAGTCACGCATAATGAGGCCGTGACCACTCCGTACCCTTGTTGTCTCCCCTCAACTTGCGCATACCAACGCGCAACGGTGTCAATACCATGACATCCCTTCCAACGCGGAATGAAACCTCCCCTCTCCTTGATGAACACCCCAGTCCCGTACTCAATGAAGACGCAAACGACAATGCGCAAGCGGCTTCTATCCTCGGTAGAAACAATATCTTGCAACCCTCAACATTGTCGAAAATGGACGGACGCCTTGCCTTCAAAATTGCAGCGGCAATGTATTCATTCTCCACACTCGGTCTCTTCAACTCTTCAATCGGCGCCGTTCTCCCTCTACTTTCGCACCATTACAACCTCACCGACCTACACGTCTCCCTCATTTTCCTTGCTGGACCAATTGGCTACGTCATTGCAGCGCAATGTAGCGACACTGTTCATGACCGCTTTGGCCAACGGGGGGTCGCTGTCGTGGGTCCGCTCTTGCAGCTTGTAGCTACAGGTATTGTTGCTGCACATTGGGACTCTTTTGGAGTCGTCCTGTGTGCGTTCGCTATCCAGGGATTGGGGACAGGGTTGCTGGATGGAAGTTGGTGCGCGTGGGCGGCGACCATGCCGAAAGCGAATACCATCTCTGGTCTTTTACACGGGTCCTACTCTCTTGGGGGGGCAGCAGGTCCCTTCCTAGTTACGGTTATCACCACGCAGCGGAGGGCATGGTGGGTTTGGTACTACGTTTTGGTAAGGCTCGAATACGTGGATTTAGATATCTGATGGCAAGAGTTGTGCTGATGAGTCATTAGGCCGGGGCATCCTTCCTGGAGTTTGTGGTGCTTGTCTCTGCATTCCGGAACGAGACTGCATCAGCCTACCACCAGACCAAACAGTTCAGGCTAACACACACCAGTAAGATCAGCACCAAAGCTATCTTCAGGTACCCCGCCACCTGGCTCTGCGCGGCGTACTTCCTCACATATGTGGGCACCGAGACTGCCATTTCTGGCTGGATAGTGTCGTTCATGTTACGAAATCGTGGGGCGACGCCTTACATCGCTGGACTCTCTTCGTCTGGGTATTGGGTGGGAATGGCCTTTGGACGTCTTATTTTAGGGTTTGCGACAGACGGGATGGGTGTGCGACGAGCAACGGGCTTGTATTTCATCTTCGCCTTAGGTATCGAGGTACTGTTCGCGGTATTGTCATCGGCAGCCGTCTCTGTGGCTCTGATGACACTATTAGGTTTTTTCATGGGGCCATTGTTCCCTTCTGGCGTCGTTGTCTTGACACGTCTGTTGCCAGGAGAGCTACATGTTGCAGCCGTCTCTTTCGTCGCGTCGCTTGGTCAAGTTGGAGGTGCTTTCCTTCCTTTCGCTATCGGCGCCGTTGTTCAGAGTCTAGGAATCGGCGTGTTCCGATTCGCTATTCTTGTGCAAACGTTTCTCGCGCTACTGGTGTGGTATGCCTTCGCACGACTTCGTCAAACGGTGCTGCCTCTACTGGCCGCACGAAACGAAGACTAAGATGTCGTGTCAGATCAACACACACCTATAGGATTGGTAGACCACGAGATGCGTCGGGGCTAGGCCGAAACCCACTAATGGCAAAGTACAGCAACTTAAGATTTGACAATACTACAACTTGCTCAAACCACGTACACGAGACTATCATAGCAAATATCCCGAAGAGTCTTATAGACCCTTATAGAGCTGTGATCCCCACTGCGGTAAGTTCAACTTCGTATAACCGTAAAGTCGACTTGCTTCCTAACGCCAGCCATAGGCCTCAACTCAGTCTCACTACCCCAATCGTTGCTTTCCTTCCTTCCTCTTTCGTTGCTCGGCAGCCTCATGACGGGGTCATGGCTCCACCTGTTTCCACTCAAGGCACGTTTCGCTTTGCTCTTCACGCCTGATCCACTCCTCTGCGAAGTACCGTAGACTTGAGGTCCCGACGGACCGGGTGTCGTTCTTCCAGCCCTACTGTTGAGCAGGTATCTGAATGCCGGGAGTGTGGCTACGATGATAGACACAGACGATTCTATGTGGCTCCACATGCTCAATAGCACGGGTCCGTCGGCGATGGACGTTGGGTCGGGATTCGAGGTGGCTTTCGTGACCTGTACAAGCCGTGCGAAAGCGAACGCGATGATTATAGTGCCGAGCGAGAAGATAACGGCGAGTCCGAACTTTTGTTGTGGCGACACTTGCAGTTTACGGAGCAGATTGAGCGGGAGGATCATGATAGCCGCGTCGGCGACCACGTCGGCGCTGGTTGCGAACTTGATCGAGTTGTCGGCTCGTCGAAGATCGCCTGGGGCGCTACATCCAGCTGTGATTATTTGTCAGCGTGTCCAAAATATTTGATGGTGTAAATTGACATACTCGCGCTCCAGTATCTCGTCAAAGGGTAGCATGTCAGAAAGTTAGATGCCATCGACGCAAGGTAAAGCAGGAGGACTAAGACAAAACAGGCCCACCATGCTTTGATGTATGCAGGTAAGCCTTTCACGAGACGTCGGAAGAAGAAAAGGATGGAGAATTTGGCTGAGGATTTGTCAGTAATGCAAGTCTACTCGTTGAGTAGTCACGGCTTTCTTACCCGCCCATAAAGTGGTCCAAAACAATAGCATCTGACTGAACATGAGTTTCAATGAGGTTCGAGTCCTTTCGACGAATTCATCTTGCGGTAGTGGTAGCGGCGTAAGCGGGTTCTTTGTGACCGCCTTTGAGTACTCTCCAGCAAGAAAGAAGTGTGGCAGAACGCAAGTGATGACGGCGGTTAGGCCAGTTAGTGACATGAACCCGAATATCACGAAGTGATCATCTGCGTAGAGCCTGCGCTGAGAATGCCATCTCAGAAATCCTCTCAATCCTGTTAAAGTGAATGAGACGCCCCAGAGAACCCATATGAGTATCTATGCGTGATTAGATATGTCAGACCAAGGCGTGACAGAAAGATTACCATGAGCTCTGTGTAGTTCAGTGTCATCGTGTAAGACAGTTGCAAAACCTTGAACAAGAGGCATATGATGCCGTAAATTTCAGCGCAGCACTACACGACGGTATATACTAAAATCAAAACATGCCATGCCTTATCAAATTGCTTTCCTATGCCGCCATTACGCTCTCGAGAAACGGGCCCCCATCCCCCAATCTTGCATAGCCGTGCTCATTCACTCGATGCCACTACACGTTTCCTGTATCTCTCACATTAATCATCAGAAGCCCAAGACCCAGCATTCCAGAACCCACACGAACGGGACACGCAATCTTACAGATGATGTAGGGCTTTGCGAGATCCTTTCCACGGGGATCCTTCCGTTGGCTGCTGTAGCTATCGATGCTTTTTTAGAGTTTGCGCTAGACGTACCTCATACAAGCACGGTCGGGCGTCGTCTACAATCGGCAGGTGGCGGATCCTATACCTTGCAGCCACGTTGCCGCTACATCTTACTTAACAGTACTATCTTCACAAGCCTAAATCTTTCAGAAAGATCTCGTAGCGGAGTAAATCCTATTGGTGCGCCTTGTGCCGTAGTCGTCCGTTCGGAACTTAGAGCGCTAGTCGCTCGGCTGGGCCGTTTATTTGGAGACACGGCTCACGAACGGCTCACAGGCGGCACAGTTACGCGTCTGCTTTCACCGCCTTATCAATCTGAAGTAAGGTAGAGGCACATCGGCACCCACTTCCGCAGTGATCCATGGGGGCAGGTTTTCTCGATGGAAAAAACATTATATTGGCGCATCATAAGACGCTTATACATCTACAACATGACGTCGTAAATTAAAACTTGCTCGCTTATGCATTGTCCACTTTCCATCCTCCAGGCAGCAAGTTCGTGTAGATCTTGAAAGGATCGTACTTGGTACGGATTGCCTTCAACTTCCTCAGGTTGGCAGCAGGATAACTCTGGAAGACTGGCTGGCCCTTCCCTGCATCATTCATGTATAGGTACTGAGCGTTAAAAGAACGCGCCTGAAGCAATTGATTGATGTCTGCGGTGATTTGATCGGCAGCGGTGCGCACGAGTGTATCATCACTAGCTTCAGTCCATGTCCAGTTCTCTACTATCCAAAAATACGGCGCCTTGGTTATGTCGATGCCTTGCGGATTGCCTCCAGTTTTGGCGCTGTGAGAGAGAAAGTCCTTGGTCACTGGCTGGAAGGTGAAGGAAGCTTGAAGATTTTTGACGGTTGATAGCTTCAAGTTTACGCCGGAGAGGAAGGTATCGTGGATGATTTGAACGGCGTCTCGGTGCACTATAGACGATAGGGTGCGGAATTCTTGACGTAGACCAAGAGGCTGCAAGGCATCTGTCGAAGCGACATAATCTGACAACGGCTGTAACGAGTAAGATTCAGCTACGGGTGTGAGTTTTGGGGCAGTAAAGTTCTCGAAGGCGTTTGGACTGTCTGTCTGGGAGTCGTAAAACTTCGCTGCTACGTAGATTGTAAGGTTCGAGGCAGGGAAGGTTAGAACAGTGGGAATAATGGCGGCTTTTGGATCCGAAGGGGCGCCGTATTTTCCGAAGTTATAAACCCCATCCAGATGGCCTGCTGCTTGCGACTGGCCGAATTGCGCGATACCAATCCAGACTTTGCTAGATGGTACTGTCTTCAGGTCGAATCGGGTAACGATGCAAAATGAGTTTCCACCGCCTCTCAGAGCCCAAAAGAGATCGGAGTAGGCATTAGTCGCCGTTGCCTCCACAACGAGACCGCTGGACAAGACACACTACGTACTTTATCAGTTCATCATACTGGGACGCAATCAAAGTCACGAACCTGGTACTTGACAACATTGTCAGACGCGAAGCCGTACTGGGAGGAGTAGAACGATATACCTCCACCAAGCAGCAAGCCAGGGACACCCACATGACCCACGCGGCCTCCAACAGCTGCGAGGTCCGATGGCTTAAGATAGCCATAAACGTCTCTCCAACGATTTCCTGGGCCAACAGATACGGTGGATTTATCTGGGGAGAGGGACAACGCAGTAAGGTTCGAAGACGACAGAAGTATGCCGGAACCGTCGATTCCATTATATCCAGGAATCGGCATGTGACCGCCACCCCGGACGGCAAATTTGGACAGGGTGAGAGTTATTGTGGTGACCGCATAGGAAACCTGCTGAACGTCTTGTGGGACAAAGACACACGCTGGTGAGCTGAAGGTTGTCGCCGACCAGTAAGCTGCAAGCCGTTAGCACATGATTCGACCGGTATTGCTCAAACGTACATGTTCGTGTTTCGTATGCGTAGCCTGATGTGCCGGGGAAAAATGTGTACTGAGGGTATCGAAACTTCAACTTCGAGCATGCGATTGCTTCACCGCCATATAAGCTAGTAACAGCTGCATCTATAGCGAATGCCGGAGTGGCAACAAGTAGAGCCACGATACCTGCAAGAACTGCCATGTTGTTACCGGCGTGGGCAGCTCAACGAACAACGATGCGTGGGCAGTTGAGGATGAAAGCTCATGTTTGTGAGGAGCCATAGACATGTATGGCCTAGTGGTCGCGTCCGCGGCTCATTTCCACCGCTAAGAATCCCTGTTCAAAGCACCTAGTTGTGCATGAACGGGACTAACCCCCATTCTTGGAAACCATCCCAGCGAAGGATTGTGCCTGCCTGCTAACCATACAGGTGTCCCGCGCCGAAGCTACAACGAATTGCTGATAGAGTACAGATAGGCGCACATACCCATCGGAAAACGCAATTGTCTTTCTACGGTCTGCCCGACCGAAACTTACCCTGTGACATTCACCAGTTGTGCGAGGCAGCATTAATGAACGAACAAAATGCCTACCCACAGGACATTGATTAAGGGATGATTTAGAAACTTAAAGGGTGCAACAAAATCTCGAACCCTGATCAGGACAGAAATCCAACGCGCTATGCTATACAACGAAATACTCTCTGGTTCTACTCCTCCTCCACAGAGACTAGAGTATACTTATGCAGACGGACGGGCACAAAATAACGACAAGAACTAATAACAACTCACCGCGCTATGAAGCAGTTACAAGCACGTAACTCGTAATAGCATCCATCCTCTCCTTGGTCAACTTCAACCCGACCTTCAATAACTCTCTCGCAGCCTCCTGGTCTTTCTTCTCAAGCTCATTGAACTTCTCCCTCGTAAGCAACCATGCTACACTATCGTTTTCCACTGCCACCGTGCCCGTGCGATCCGTTTCGCTGAAGAAGGGCAGCTCGCCACACGTTGTGCCAGGTAGGATGACTTCGAAGAAGCTGCCTTGGTCGAGCTCGTATTCCGTACGAAAGCGACCCTTTTCGAGGATGTAGAAGCCGTCCGGGTCGTCGCCGCGCGAGTAGAGAAGTGCACCAGCGGGGTATTCTTTGCGCTCAAAGTAGGGTGCGAGGACGTGCCAGAAATCCTCGTTTTTGGAGGAGACGTCTTCGAAGGTTTGGAGGATGATTTTGAGTGGTTGGGCAAAGTTCTTCCATCTTGATGGCGTCGATTGCACTGAGGGTGTGTGACTCTGAGACGAGTTGTCGGGTATTGAGAGAGTGTCATCGCCCGTCTCACGCATCGTAGAGCGCGCGGCAACGAGGCGGGCACCACGACGGGGCGACGCGAAAACGGGATTCAGCGAGCTGGCGCCGAAGGATGAGGTAGGCGAGCCGCCTGTAGCTGTTTGGCCGTTCACAGATAGACCTTTGGAAATAGTCATCGGTGGTGTGTTGTGTTGACTCCTCGATGTCTGCATATTGCAGTGCCTGTGGAACACTTCCAAGAGCTCATTTTCGCAAGACTCGAGCGCTGTATTCAGGTCTTCGAAAACCTGTGGCGGCGGGCAATCATCATCGCCCTCCTCTTCATCCAGTAACCCGACGTTCTGAAGAGCTTGACCGACATCGTTTGCGAATGACACACCCGAGAGAACCATCTTGACATTTTTGCGATTCAAGATGCGGTTGATACGCTGGAAACCTTCCGAGCTGGAGAAGTCCACAGCATTGACATGCATAAAATCGACAATGATGAAGCCAATGGGATGTTTCTCATAGTTGTCGTCCTCGATCAAAGACCGCATGTACTCTTCGACAGATACAATCGTTCCGAAGAAAAGGAAACCACCGAGTTTGATGACGCGGACTTGGCCTCGTACCTTATTCAGGTAGCGGGTATCGGCTGGCGGCCGTCGAACAGTTGACTCGGCGACCACGCCGCTGTAGGACGCCCGAATGGCAGGATGACGTGAGCTCTGTACCACGTAGCTGACGCAGGCTAGGACGATACCGACGAAAATACCAACAACGAAGTCATGGACGCCCATGATAAGGACAATGGCAAGAATGGTCAGATACTCAAGCTTGTGGCACTTGCCCCATGTATCCCATAGGGCCTCTTTCATGAGATCGATACCAAGGAGAAAGATGAGAGCGCCGACTAGACAAATTGGAATATAGCCTATCATAGCGGGACCGGCTATCCACACTGCAGTCGTTGCAAATGCAAGCAACACGCCGGCGACCCGACTGTTGCCGCCATTGGCAATGAACATTACACTGTTCGCATAGACCAAGTAGTTCTACTATCGTGTTAGCTATTCCGATGATATACTTAGGATAGGCTTAACATACCTGAATACTACCGAAAAAGCCAGACAATGTATTCGAAATGCCGTGGGCTATCAGCTCTCGATTAACATCTAGGCTGTCTTCTTTGACCGCAGCACCCAAGGCTGGAACATTGATAGGCACATGGATGATGCCGAAGAAGGATAGCGCAAACATGGTCGGTATGGTACTAGCCAAAGCTGATACGTCGATGCTGCCAAACTCTAGAGAAACATTAGCATATCCCCATCTCATGGCAGGCGAGTGGGGCACTTACTGAAGTATGAATAGAACCGGTAAAACTTGACGCCGGCCTCTGGTTGCTCAAAAATCCATCCAGCGTTGCGAACAGGCTCCAAGTCCTTGTGCAAGATACCCTTCACGATAAGGTAAAAGGTAGCGAAAACAGTGATGAAGAAAGCTGGTAACAGGTATGGGCTCACTGACGGGTGCTTTACCAATCGTTGTAGTACCATAATGATGATAGCAAGACTAAGCGGAAGGATCCATAGATACCAAGTGTCGGAAGAAAAGAGCTTGTGCAGAGTCGCGAGATCATAGTTGAGGTTACCCTCGATACGCGCTGATACCTCGATACCAGTGACAACAAGGAAGAAGCCTACTCCACCAATGCATCCAATGAGAATGTGTCTAGGAAAGAAACTGACCAGGTTGCCAAGTTTGAAGCCGCCGAGGGCTAAGAAGATGAGGCCGGTGAGAATTGAGCTCAGACAATACGCGACGATTGTGGTAGCGATGACGGCCTCTGGGGGCTTGTCTTCCATTTGGCCCATGATCGAATATGCCATCTTGTGGAAGAAGGGTACAACTTCGATCATTTCAGATCCAACGCCGCCTTTGAAGACTGAGAGCCCAAGGGAATAGCAGAGCTGCGAAACAATGCAGCTCACGAAAAAGATGGAGATGCCATCCGGGCCCGTCTGACTAAAGATTGGCGATCCGAGAGGGAAGAGGATGTAACCATACGAAAGTGCATCCAACAAGTTCAGAAGTAAGCCTAGGAACACAGCAGATATGATCTGAACGCTTCCGAGGGCGCCGGAAACGAGAGCATCCTTGGAGTAGTTCTTTGGATTTGCTAGGGATCTACCGAGGCCAAGCACATGTTCTCGGCCGGATGTGAAGGTCTCTTTTATGCGAAGAGGTAGGGTTGAAGAAGTCGATGAATGCGACGACTGGCTGAGCATGGGTTTCTGCTTAGACTGTGGGTCTAAGCGTGACAGTCTTGGTGCAGGCAGCAGAGGCGTCCGCTCTGTATCCTGAACGACTACATCTGGTACTTCTGAGCTTGGTGACCCCTCGTGTGAGTCGCGACGCTGCGCCTTGTCTACCCCCAGCTTTGGGCTGAAGAAGCTCCTATCTGCGTGCTGAGGTCCGATAGTCGTCTCAGGTGTTTCTGCTTCGCTGTCTTCTTCTATTGTATCCGTCCAGAGGGCCGAGTCTGGCGATGCTCGTCCTCCGTGGTATTCGGATAGTAGACCAGCATGTCTGCCTGACACGGTATCCGCCTCTGCAAAGCTGTGTCGTTGCGGGCGGTCTTGGTATTCTTCGGAATCGAGTGCGTACGAGGCCAATTGGGAGCTCCTCTCGCGGACGCCTTGCGATGCGTACTGGGGGGTTTCTATGGAGTCATCAGTGATTGCCCGTGGATAAATAATCCTGCTGCGCACCTGCAAAGCCATGGGACGTCTGGTGTGCGAAAGACCGGACGGGATTGCGCGTATACGATCCAGGGAGCGTGCCAGAGGCGAGAGACTGGGCTCTTATCCGGCGCGGGAGGGTTTGGGCTCCCTGCTCTGCCTGCGATTGATCGTGTGCGAAGTCGGCGTCGTGGACGGCGTCGCCTGTGAAGGGCAGCTGGTGCTCGAGGGAGCTCGAGTCGCGAGAAAACAGGCGCGGAGCCATGGCGGCCCGACTCAGAAGAGTATGCGTATCCTGCTACTCAAGGTGCAATGGCAACATGCTCAGGAGGAGGAGCTGCGAGATGGAGCAGGCGGCCAAATTTGTTGGTAGATAGCGGCAGCGGGAGAGCTAGAGGGACGCGGAATGGGGAGGGGGGTTCAGGGCGCGACCAGCAACCAGCAACGGCAGAGCAGCGAGAGCAGCTTTCTTTCACGATACGAGGACATGATGGTGGAATATGGGATGGCCCGCAAACTATGGGTATGCGGCTAGCTGTGGAGCATGGGGCATGCAACTGGGAAAAGTCTGCTCATTGCCGTGCAGTCGAGACTGTGTGGATGCTCGAATCTGGGCGGGAATAGTCCCAACCAACGTCATGGTGGCCTGCAGCCCTGCCAACGTTAATGATCCTTTCCCTCTTTCACCACCGAGCCACCAATTGCGCTCCCCTTTTCGCCCTCTGCTCCACATCTTCACGAGTATTCCCGCTTCATCCTCGCCCTCTCGCCATATCGCGTCAACTTGGCTGCAGCGTGGGAGCATTGCTTTGCCTTCGCTTATGCCCCTCCACCACCGCGCCGCCCTCCACGCGTTCGTGCATCGACCTATGGACGACAGAGAATCCCGCTGAAAAGTGGCCCCTTGTCCATATTATTACCATATTTGCTGGTCGCATAGCACTCGACGTACTGAATACGTTGGACCACACCACCTGGACACTCGCCAAGAGCCATTTTGCATCTTCCCCTCTTGTAAACGAGGGAATCGTTTGAGCAAAGAGTGGCCAGGCTATATTGACCCCCTCATTCTACTTCCTCTTCCAGCTCGCTCGACGGGACGCACCCATGGTTCGCACCTCGGATGCCGTTCGGGGAAATGGCCTTCGACGTGGGCTGATTGCTGCTAATGGTGTTGAATGACAAACACACGTAACAAAAGATCCTCTGCCGAGGAAGAATTACATTTCTCTTACACATATCTAAAGCGTTCAACGAAGAATACTAAGCCGTAACAGGCTTGCCAATGCCCAGTCCATCCAAACGTTTCTAGGACACAATCCAACTCACAGATCTCTTACTTATGTGGAAGATGCGGTGCTGATGCCGGGTAATCGCCTGAAGGGAGTTCACTCGGTGGCGCAGGAGGCAGCTCGGCAAGATGGGCAAACCCTTGAGCATGCTGGTTTTGCCCTGCGTACTTCTCCGATCCGGGCCCGGTGTATCCTTGACCTGGGTACTGCGGCGGGTAGTTATTCGCCGGGGCTTCCACATAGCTCGATGACCCTGCTGTCGCTGGGGCTTCCACGTAGTTCGGTGTCCCTGTAGTTGCTGCCTTTTTCTTATATATCGCGGCTCTTCGAGCGAAGAAAATGGCAGCTGCGAGCAATGCTAGGCCAGCGATAGCACCGATGACAATGCCAGCAATTGCGCCTCCAGAAAGCCCAGACTTCTTCTTGGTTTGTTCGGGTGTCGCTGAAGTAGTTGTGGCAGATGCTCCTGTACCTGACGTTGACGCTGAGGCCGACGCTGAACTTGCAGCCGCTGAGGCCGATGAAGCGGCTGAAGAAGCTCTCGAAGTCGCTCTCGAAGTCGCTGAGCTCACGACACTCGACGAAAGTGCACCGCCCAGGACCTGTGCTAATTTCACAACCCCAACATTACTTGTACAGCAGGCGTTGTCACCACCACAACACCACCGATCGCTATCCGCTCGTCCCGTACACGGTGTCAAGGGCGTGTTTCCAAAACTATTTCTCGATTGGTCGCATACGTGGAGGCAGTTGCTACTGTTAGGATCACTATCGGCGCAAAAGTCTATCCACCAACTAGCTTCAAGTCAGCACTTTTCAACTGCGTACAAGTTTTCTAGCTTCACGTACGATGTCTTCCCGACACCATTCGTTGTAACGCGGTTTTGACAGAGACCATTGGGTAGGCATTCGTCTGCCGTAAAGCCTTTGCCCGGATCACCGCCAGCTGGATTGGGTCGGTTGGTGCCGCAACAAACCCTTGACGGACCGGATGTGCAAGGTTGGTACTCGTTGTAATTTCGTTCATCGGGAAGCACTGTGCCATTTGGCCAGAAGCACAAGCCAGACTGTGCGAGGGTCGTTCGAGCGAGCAAGACAAGGGCCAGGCTAAGGGGTGACAAGTGCATCGTGATCGTTGTGAAAATTACACTTCGCTCCGATGTCACTGCACCGCAAGGAAAGAAAGCAAATGGCTGACGAAAAGTTACAGAACCCGGTCCAAGGCTACACGCTGCCTATGAAGCAACCATGGTGACACGGCCCCCGGCCCCCATTTGGGGGCCAAAAGTCGTCACTAGCAAAAGGACTGTTTACCCGCATTAGTCTCCAGATTACTACCAACCATTCGTTGACAAGAAATTAACTCCAGCTTCCATCCGGCTAGCGTATAATACCTACGCTCGGCATCCATGCTTGTATCACAGCACGGCAGCAGTGACATGAAGGTGTGTGCGCAGCCTCCACGAAAGCTACCGAAATGCTGCCGTCCTCCAACAAATTTTTCCGCGTCTAGATCCTCTACGATCGTGGCTGGAGATGAGATGCGGGCACGTCCCGTCCCAATTACCAAGATGGGGGACTCTTGTGGCGTTGTGATTTCCGCCGGTCGCGCTATAATCTATGACGTCCTAACGGATGTCTAAAATGCTTAATCCGTCAACGCATTGTCAATGTATTGGTTTGATCCTTCATGCATCGCAGCGGGGGTCGGGAAACAACAAGTATCAAGGATACGACGTCGTAATCGTTGTCGTTTCGCCTCGTGATTAGTCTCGATCAAACCCCGCGTTGGGTGTGGCGTGGTGCTCGTCTGCAAGGGTAAGCTTAGTCGATGTGGCGTATCGACGACAGTTAATAGCTGAAACAGATTCCGAACTGCGCCCTGCTGTTCAGCCACCTACGGTATAAAGCTATGAATTCTTTGTAGCAGATTCTACTCGCCAGTTACAACGTGTTAACTTTCCTGTCTTTTGGAGACGACTACTGCTTCTGCGAAACAGCTTAGGCAGCTATTCGATGACCTCTTGCGGGTTTGGCTATTACATGATATATTAGTGGAGATTAGGACTTACGGCTACCATACACCATGCTACATGCTGCTTAATTTACATCGTGCTATCAATCGAATTCAACTCAAGTGAGTTCCTGCGAACCCCATAACAGGATACATAATGAAACTAGTTTCATGCCTCGGACACTGCAGCGAGTTGATAACGGCATGCACCCTGGCAGTGCAGCCGCTATCAACAGCTATCCAAGTCATCCTCCTGCCACCATCGATGGGTCAAGACTTGGTCTATGGTAGATCTAGCCATCGGGTCTAGATTCGTCATTCCAGATATCATGTCCAGTGCCGCGGGACCCAGGCCCTCCCCCCACTGCTCGAATCTTAGTTCAGGCTGTTCCTTGACTGTCTCCTCAGCCATTGCTGACGCCCCTTTCAGAGCGTTACACCAATCCTCGTCGTTGACCTGCTTAAGGAGTCCTTCGGGCACTGGCCCAAAGAAGGTAAAGTGTCGAGTTATAATCTCTTGTTCCAGCTTTATCCCATGCTTTAAAAGCTCCTGGTAATTGTTCAAGAGCAGGAAACTCCCACCCCCAGACGCATATATGCACTATAAAGAGAGTTTAGCGTGAATTCTAAGGCATGAACGTGATTCGCTTACCACTAATCCAAACGAATACACGTCTGACGCCTTTGTCACGCCGCTTCCCGTCTGTCCTTCTGGGCTTCGCCACATGACATTTCCGATTGCATAAGGGGTCCGAAGTGAGGCTCCACTGTCTAACTTGAAAGCGATGTCAAAATCGCCGAGGGCTACATTGGTGACTGTTTTATCACCCTCTTTATCGGAAGTCCAATTGACCAGGATGTTATCAGGCTTCACATCTACCAAGCAAAATGATTAGTTAAGGATTCTGAATATCAAGCATTACGGAGATTATACCAATGTGTATCCAGTCTTTGGCATGGAGTTCTTGTATGGCCTCTCCTACATGTCGCAATATTGTCTTCTGTCCCGCCAGAGGAAAGTCTGGATCTTCCTTTATCAAAGCAAGTAGGGTGCTTCTGAAATAGGGATAGACTAGAATGCATTCCTCTTGGTTGCAATCGACGTGCATTCGAAGGCGACGGGAACCTGCAAACTCGGCTGCGAGGCGGAGGGACTGGTCGTAGAACGGCTTAGATACGCGTTTAAGGACAAATGACTCATCCCCGGACCTAAATGAGAGTGGTTAGAGATATGGCTGAGCTGTGAGAAGGGCATGGGGTTTAAAACGTACTCAGCTTTAAAAATGCTCAGCTTCTGGTCTTCACGATGATGCTGCAGCACCTCGCCTTGAACGTACACGCGACCGGATCTACCCACTATGGTAGATGCCATTCTGATGCTTGTACGATAGCTAAGCCGACGGAAGGGTGAACTGCGGCCAAGACAATTGAAAAGCATCGAAGAAGAAACCGGTCAACTGGGAAAGCACGATGGAAACAATCATCAAGGGTTAAGCGATGGACAATTCGTCTTAAATGGGGCTCGCAGTAAGGTGTCGGCGGTTACGGTGTCGGCGGCTAAGGTGTGGTGTACAGATGTACAGAAGCGTTATGTTGCAGAGATTAATCAGCAAGCGCACGTTCCACTTGAGGCCTATTCCACACGATCAACCTACTTTTGAGCATTTTCGAAACGCCATAACTACCAAAAATAGGAATTAGAGGAAGGAGGTTACCGGACTATTAGACTCCCAGAAGTTTCTTATCTACAGTTTTAGGGAGAGGCAGCTCAGAGTGACTGGTTGGGTGTGGATCCCCAAATCGTCCCCCATAGGCGCCTCAGCCACCTTTTAGGAGGTATATACCTGCTACCTGATCCACCGCAGCGCTAAACCAGGTGTCTTTCCTATCTACTTAAAGCCGTTCTTGCTCATGCAGTGACACCTATCAACTGACCTATAATCCCTATCAACCAATCATCCACGTATTCACTCATACTCAACCCTTATTCCACGTTATATACAACCTCCAAGATGGCCGGCAGGATAGTTAGCAGTACTGGTATCAAGACGATCGTGAAAAGTGGACGGCGCATCAACGTCCAGTATACGACCGAGACCGATACGTGGAAGCGATACCTACTCTCACAAGCTATACAAGACGATTTTGTCAAAGCTGTAGAAAAGGCCGATATACCTGCCAATGCTACGACGGCTATTATGACGTAAGTTACTCTTCTATGTATATATTGCTTGTTAACCCAGACCTTAGTGAAACCCAGCATCCTAGCAAGATGGATCAGTATCCACACTTCACCACTGTCTATCTGGATGCCAATGGAAACCACATTACAACTAAGCATGTCTACCCTCAGTAGTCATGTACCACACCCCTGGGAGTGTAGAACATTAGGGAAGGGGGATAGGGAAGTCGTCTGAGAGATGCGGGAGTGCAAATGTTGGGTCGGAGAGTGCCTTAAAACTTCATTAAGTTAATTCAGCACATTTCTATAGCAGGCTCGGAAATAAACGAGGCAATCCAGGAAGTTTACCAGTGCTGCACGAGTTACGGGTCCATAGGAATTCGACTCCATCAGATTAGCTTAGAGCGAGGACATTAGTTTCAATATTTCACAAGAAGTGCTTTAACTCCAAAGGATAATGCATTAAAATTGTTAGCAACAGGAGTCTTATCCTCAATCTATCATTTCCGCCGTTCAATGCTCCTTGAAACTCAATTTCTCTTTCTCCTGTTATAATTACATTTACAAAGCTCGTTGCCCGAGCTACTTAATTTTCCCTTTGATAGTTAATAGAGTGATTAGTTAATAGAATCCGCTATCTGCGAATGCATTACAATACTAACCGCTATATGCTAGACTTGACAATTGCTGAAATCTTTCAGTACTTTATAGACTAATACAACATAACCTTCAGAGAGGTCAACGTAATCGCTCTCTATTGTTATCTGGGAAGCCTGAAAATGCTAATACAAGTGCGCATTAAATTTATTTCCTTTCTACAAAGTTAACTAGCGGTTATATTAATAAGTTCCCCAACAAATCTCGGACGTACATCCCTGGCTACAACGGGGGTATGTGCTAGAATCGATGGGGAAAGATAAGTATTGTTGCGTCTTATACCCTTGATTCGCGGACAACCAGCTTTTTTTTTCTTATCATTTTTGCTTTATTGTCGGTTCTTCATTCAATTGGGAGGTGAGAGGACAGGAGTCGGTGTAGCAGCGGGGAAGCAATCTAGAATATGGCTAGCGTACTTGCTTAATTTAATTAATCTTACACGGCGGATAGTTCCAATGACGATCGCCGCTCAGGCAACTGTGTGCGAGTCGGAGGCTTACATGGATACGTATTTCAAGATTGTATTCCTAGTGCTAGGGGCTGTTGTCGATGCCGATTACAGGATAGAGGAGGGTACAGGCTGGAGGACATTGACAGCCTTAATAATAAGCTCAGCAAAGCTTCGCTGTTGGGAAGCGGGCGAGCTGCGAAAAGCAAATCCGTAAGATCTGGATTTGGTGGGGTGCATTAGTTCAATGACATTTTGTACGTATCGCAAATCTGCAATTGCGCCTACATCCTAACACAGAAGAACTTGGAATAATCTATATTTCTCCATATGTACTGCATGCCGGCCCGTCTTGAAAGGGTATAATGTATCAGTTGCGCCATTTTAAGAGCCGTGTACCAAGATGTGTGATGCCAAACGCCTGAAGGAAATTGCCGAAAGGAAACCAGCTAACTAATCTCGACGCATGTTGTTATTGTCGAGATGTGCCAACTAGGACCTTGTCAACGGCGACGGTCGCGAGATCCTGGACTTCTTGCAAAGTTCCCTTGACATCCACAATCTCGACATCCTTCAGTTGCTTGCACTCGGCTTCGTCGGGTTCCTCGAGAGCGGCAAATTGACTCTCAACCATGGCATCCTTCATGTAGTGGCCTTGTCTGGCGCGGACGCGGGCTAGCAAGGTCTCCTTATCGGCGCGGAGGTAAACAAAGTGGACATTGGCGTTCGGATCCTCGTTATAGAGTCTGGCAGTGCGGATGACGTCCCGGTACTTCTTTTTGAGTGCGCTGCAAGTGACTACCACGCCCTTTGCGCCGTCCTTCAAAGCAACCAGTGCTTGGTCCCGGAGGAGAATGAGCCAGTCCCATCGGTCTTCGTCGTTCAGCGGGATTCCAGCGGCCATCTTGTCAATGTTTGCTTTCGGGTGGAACTATTGAAGGATTAGAAAAAGTAGAGTGTAACGCAGATTAACCACTTACCTCATCGCCCTCAATGTAGTCAAATCCATACCGATCAGCAAGATATTTAGCGATTGTACTCTTGCCACATCCTGCAGGACCAGTGACGATGAGGATATGGTGATGGTCAGTAATCGACATTTCGGCGGCCTTTGCAGAGTTGAGAGAAGATGAGGTGTACGAGGTGTTCGGGGTGTTCGAGGTCGAACCGGTGTTGGAAGTCGGAGGTGTGGGCGGCGGCGCATAATGTAATGGCTTGAGATGTGATTGCTCGACTGTTTGCAGCATCATGATGGAGTTAGATGGCACAAACGGGAGGACAGGGCGCTCTTTTGTGGTAGCTGAAAGTCAGGCGAGGCGCTAGTAGCTGAAGTTGGGTTTCCAGAGACAAAGAAACGGGGATACGTTCCGGTGAATATATAGTGTTGGGAAGCGGATGTAACAAGCTTATGTAGAGCAATGGTAAGCAATAACGAATAGGCCAATTCGAGCTGGGGCAGTGCGCATTTTAAGACGTGGGCGCCTCGTCTGGAGATTCCTCCCGGGGCGCATGACGGCAAGGGTGGAACATAGTTTGGGACAAACTTTCTAATAGCCAAGCACTGATGTCACCGCAAAACGACGCTGCGAATGCAAATAAGGCTAGATTTTGCCAAAGACTGCAACCGCCGGCAAATTCGCTCTGCTACCCGGCGCCCCCCTGACTCGGCAAGCCAGACGGGGAAGAAGGAAAGACTTCGACATGGTCGTCGGCGTTTGAAAGGCAACCAGTAGCGCGTGGGATGATGCGAGTGGCGGATCAAGCTAGCCCCGCACTTTGAAACCCCAGTTCACGTCAGGTACTGCTGCATCCTGCAGGCTTCAGGGTAGCCAAGTGCCAGCGCAGACGCTCGACGCGGTGCCCCGGAATCCCCGCATTGAGCACATGGTCTTGGTCAGAAGAGAGCGGTTGCGTTGCTGTAGCCTAGGACAATGAGTGAGGTTGAAGCCAACGCTGACCAACTTGCGCCCTGAGAAGCTGTTGATAATGGCGCGTGGGGGTCACGCGAGCCGACTGAATTTCTTCGGCCCGGCGAAGGTCGTCGAGCGAGCTTGGATGAAGGATGCTGAAGGCTAGTAGCTGAACGGAAGCCTCAAGCGTTCTCCCTGTACGCCCCGGTGTCGCAGATGCTCGTGTACAGCTCACCGCTGGATGAAAGAAGCACACACACACTGCATGTCCTGTCTGCATAGTGCGGTCATCTCCGTTGCGCCTGTGTCTGATGTTTGCTGTATGCAAACTGACCGTGTGACCAGTTTATTGTTATACGGCGCCCAGGACGCGGTAAGAAGTGACGTGGGCCCATGAAGACCAGTATGCCAGGGACAAGGCGCTGTGAGCCAACTGAGGCACGATGATGCAACAGGCTGGGGTGGGTGGCCATGGATATGGTTGATGATTGATACTGGCCAGGAGATGGCACGTGACCTCCCCAACTAGGCCAAGCGCATGGATAACGGCAACCTCAGTCGAGCTCCGCCGACCACCGACGCGAGCGTTGAGTTGACTGCTTGCACTGCATCCATCCAGAAACGCGCCAGCAGTCCGGTAGCTGCCGCCGCCCACCATGTCATACTTCTTCTCCACCCCGGTCGACATCGACGTCGTGCTCGAAGACCTCGATGACCGCTCGGCCGTCGACGTCAAGCTCGACAAGAACCGCAAAGAGAAGGTCCCGCTGTACCTAGATGGCGAGTCGGTCAAGGGCCAGGTTACTGTCAGGCCCAAAGATGGCAAGCGACTGGAGCACACGGGCATCAAGGTGCAATTCATTGGCACGATTGGTGGGTCACTCGGATAGCTTTGATATGGCGAACCGACACTGACATGAGGCTCGCTAGAGATGTTCTTCGATCGCGGCAACCACTACGAGTTCCTCTCCCTCGGCCAGGAGCTAGCATCGCCCGGCGAGCTGCAGCACCCGCAGACGTTTGATTTCAACTTCAAGAACGTCGAGAAGCAATACGAGTCGTACAATGGCATCAACGTCAAGCTGCGCTACTTTGTGCGCGTCACCGTGTCACGGAGAATGGCCGACGTAGTAAGGGAAAAGGATCTGTGGGTCTATTCATACCGGATACCCCCGGAGACGAACAGCTCTATCAAGATGGACGTGGGCATCGAAGACTGCCTGCATATCGAGTTTGAATACTCAAAGTCGAAATACCACCTCAAGGACGTCATTGTAGGCAGGATATACTTCTTGCTAGTTCGGTTAAAGATCAAGCACATGGAGCTCTCCATCATCCGGAGAGAGACAACAGGTACCGCGCCTAATCAGTACAATGAGAGCGAGACTCTGGTTCGCTTCGAGATCATGGATGGTTCACCATCGCGAGGTATGTATCATCCCTACTACTTCTAGAGCTAGGCTAACGGGCTTGTAGGCGAAACCATACCCATCAGGCTGTTCCTCGGTGGCTTTGACCTTACGCCCACCTTCCGAGAGGTCAACAAGAAGTACTCGACTCGCTACTACCTCAGCTTAGTACTCATTGACGAAGGTATATCACCCGTGTAGATTTTACTAGTCTGTGACAACTAACCAATGTCTAGATGCACGGCGATATTTCAAACAATCCGAGATTGTACTCTTCCGACAAGCGCCCGAAGGCCTGACTTTGGCTCAAGAGCAAAACAAGTTAATGGCAGTGTCATGAGCCCTATCCGCGACGGATTCATTAATACAAGTTCGGGTAACGAAACGTCGAGCCTGTACCTTCTCTAGCATTCATCAAGTGCTCGGCGTCGTGGCTTTCATACAGCCTATGGAATGCGCATGGGCGTTTAGCGAGCAACATGACCGTGGGATAGGGTCTGTTGCATCTCATCATACTCCCCGCAACCCCGTAGATACCAATCTCAAAATAGAAAGTTCCAAGGCAATTATTCGGCGAATGGGGCAAATCTCTCCTTTCACTCACACTAAGTTCTCAAGGAAATGTGGAGGCCCGAGTTTCCGCGAGTCACTGCTCCTTTGGCAGTGGCAGAACAACGCCCTACTTGCTCTACATGCCTAGTTACTTGCCTGAAACCTGCCGACCGTTCCGGCGATATGGGAATGTTCAATAGTGGTATGCCACGTTGGGAACTCATGCTTCGATCTCCCGAGGTCGAGTCAATCGACTAGTCTTATGCAGGCCGCCCCAGCAGTGAGAAATGAGCTCCGGGACTGAATAAATGTCGTCAAGAACGCGCGAATCGTGGTTTCCCTATCAAGTAGGCGGTTTGGAAGCAGGACTAATAATTGGGTTGGTAGACCTCGCCCGTCAAAGTATCATAAGCCACATTCCGACGCTGATCCCAAACCAACTAATCAGCATGTGAGCATCTCGATTATAATCCAGTCATTCTGCTATTACCATGCAACCTCGGCACCCTTTCTTCGTGTTAAATAAAAAATCGACCAGGGTCGTGGCGATTAGTCCATGCGTGGTACAAGATGAAGCACCAATCAGCCACTTTCGCGTGTGGCAAATCCCGCCTAGGGATCGCGATGAGGCTCATTTGGGCATCAGCATTCGCGATTGACTCACGGAAATTATGCTTTTTACAAGCATTTGGGTCGTGAAACAAAGCGATTGGTGCGTACCTAATGATCTTGCAAGGTGCTCCACTGAAGATGTGGGCGTACTAAAAAAGTGCCCTGGCGATGACATCACGCACGCAATTCTTCACTTTCCCATGGTCGAGCGACAAAACGCATAAATGATCTACAACCTCAGCTTATGTCTCAAATAACAATCGGTCTGCATTCAATTGACTGCAAGTGCCTCGAAATTTGACACAGAAAAGTCAGTATGTCGCAACCGCAACCAGATGGTCCAGGTACACTTTCCCAACTCTCCACTAGCCACTTACCATATTTGGCTCTTCCATTGCCACCAAAATTCATTGATATAAACCATTCTGACTAATCTTAGCCGAACAAAACAATGGCACCAATCAACAGCCACCCAATAACTCTATGGCTGGGCGAAGACAGCAAACTACGACGGATTTCAGGCCACCAAGGCTATATCACAACTCTTCGACTGCATCAAGCATGGGACGGTACGCCAACGCGCGCGTAGTGGAGTCGAATCAATCGCGGCCTGGACCTGAGCGTAGCCATACCGCTCGCACCAACTTCACCAATCAGACGGACATGACTGAAGACCCAAACCATAGAGCTGAGAGGAAACCGGAACAAACTGTTGATGTCGAGAATGAGTACTTCGCACTCAATCCTTGGTACAATCAACAGAAGGACAAGCCTGTTTTTGGTTTAGCTGCGCCACTCCCGCGAACCGTTCGCCGGGGCATGTGGCGGGGAAAGGGAGATTTGCGCAAATCACTGTATAAAGTCGAAGAAGATCAAGACAACGATGGCGTTGCCAGAAACGACGGACTAGACTTTGAGAAGAACCAAGGTCAGTGTGCATCGATCTTACATTATGTGCCTATCGATCAAATCTAATCATCATGCTAAAGTAGATTTTAACGAAGATACGGATCATCTTCAGGTCCCACTGGGACACGAAAACGAAACCTCACCTCATGGACCGCAAGACCCAGACAACTTTCGGACCACAATTCGAGGCCGCAACGTCAACGTTCGACGAGTACCTACCGATGAAGCAGACCATGTGCTCTACCATCGGGGCATTGGTCGCGACGGCGGAGAACGCGGAGAAGGTGGAGATCGTGCGCCAGTGAACGAGCGTGGTTTGTCGTATTCTGGCCAACAGGGACAAACGCAACACTTTGGAATGCAAGATGGTCTTCCTCCGCTCAAGGAACTTGCGTCCCACGAAACGAGTCAAACCCAAAAGGACAAGGCGGAAGTACAGCACCGCGAACATGAGGCGCAACAGGAATCTTACAACCAGTATCGCAATCCTATCGCTAGGCTGCGTGCAAAGTATCCCCAAGCGCCCGCGGAGTTTCTGGCAGTAAGTATACCGTCACATCCGCATAAGGCTGTTCTAACACTCGCAGACTTTCGTCTATCTCTTGATCGGTATTTGCGTGAATCTTTCTGTGGCTACTTCTGAAAAGGCAACCGGTAGCTTCGAGACGCAGGCATGGGGATGGGGGTTCGCAGTTATGATCGGCATTTATTTGGGTGGTGGTGTCTCTGGCTCTCATCTCAGCCCTACCATCTCGATATCCCTTTCGATATATCGTGGCTTCCCGTGGAAAATGGCCGCTATTTACATCTGCATGCAGATGCTAGCAGGCCTGTGTGCCGGAGCGCTAGCCTACGCGTAAGTGCTCTCGAACTGCCGCAATCCGCCGGACTCTACTGACCCTTCACAGTCTGTATCGCGATGCCATCTTGGCGGTTGATCCTGGGCTGACACTCGATAAGACGGGCAAAGCGCTTTTCCCAAAAGGACCTTCGTTCACAACGGTTGGGGGGTTCTTCAATGACTTTGTGTACATGGCGGTGTATGTGTGCATCACGTTCGCACTGGGTGACGACCAGAACTCGCCACCTGGTCAAGGAATGACAGCCCTCATCATCGGTTTTACGGGCTTTGTCACTATGATTGCACTAGGGTACAACACAGGGCTGGGCATATCGCCTGCGCGTGATCTCGGTCCTCGACTTGTCGCGCTGTGGGCGGGCTATCCCGACGCATTCAAAGGTGGCTACTGGGCATATGGCTCCTGGGGGGCATCAATCAGCGGTGCGTTTTTTGGCGGACTTATCTATGATCTTTTCATCTTCGCGGGAGGAGAGTCGCCGGTCAATTATAGATGGCCGCAGCCTGGGGACATCAAGTGGAAGGTGAAGGAGAAAAGGCAGCAGACAAAAGATAAGATTCAGCGCATAGCCTGAAAAAAAATAATACAATGAAACAGGGGGAAATGTTTTTTCGAGATAACAAGGATCTGGACCTCTCTCATTATCGCGTGTGGTGGTGTTATGCATCATAAGTGGTGCGCCTCGGGACTACCTAATTATAGGATAAGGGTCCGTCCGTCCCGGGAATAGCGCAGCCGGAATTTATTCAACATACACTGGAACCCGCTCGTCATCGCTGATTGTCTTCCGACCTCACTAAATCTCAAATTCGAGAACCAACCAAAAACACGAGCTTGACGTAAGCTTCACAAGATAACGCACAGAAAATTCCAGACCCACTATTTTATAACGTGTTTTCCAAAGTACGGGCCGGGCCTTTCGACGACTTTTCCTTTTTATCAATTTCTCGTCGCCCAACATGTTTCGTACATTACATTATAAGTTGTCCCGAAAAGAGCCCAGCCAGGGCATCTCAACGATTACTTCCTTCTTTACTACGGAATGAATACTAATAACAATATACTACGATTGAATGTTGGCGATGGCTCAACGCCCACTCTTGCAGAGAGCGAGTATGAGGAGGAGGAGAAGTACAATGAGAAAGTCGGTCTACGCCTGAGACTGAAGCACTTCACATGGGCATGGTTTCTCTCGTCGATGGGCACCGGGGGCCTCTCCATCGCTATCGGAGTGACGCCGCATAGATTCAATGGTACGTCTAGTCTATCGTTACCTACTTCCTCCCCAATACTCTGGAGAATCCTGGCATACTAACGTCCTTAGGTCTTTACTACATCGGCCTGGTCATTTTCCTCCTCGATATCGCTCTTTTCAGCGTCCTATGCGCCTGCACGATAACCCGGGCAATCCTGTACCCCACACACTTCAAACGCTCCTTCACGCACCCGCAAGAATCCTTCTTCTTCGGCGCCTTCTGGCTCAGCATCAGTGTCATAATCAGTAACATCCAAGTCTATGGCGTCACGCAGGGCCCTGCATACCCCTGGCTTATCGATACCATATACGTGCTCTACTGGATGTATGCGGCGTGTTCACTGGTGAACAGCGTGTTTCAGTACTGGGTACTCATCCAGTGGAGTATCGTGCGCCCCATTCCATACTTACCGAGTATCTTTCTCGCGGGCTACTCAGCTATGCTGACGGGTACCATCGCCTCCTTGATTGCGGGCTCACAGCCACCACATCGCGCGGTGGCGATCATCGTGTCCGGGTGTGCATATCAGGGCTTTGGGTGGTTGAAGTCCTGCGTTGCTATTGTGGGGTACATCAGAAATATCTTGGATCAAGGGCTACCGGCTCCATCGAAGCGGCCTGCCATGTTCATTCCCGTTGGCGCATGTGCGTTTACCACTGTGGCGCTCATGGGCCAGGCAAAAGCTATCCCTTCGTACGGGTACTTTGCAGAACATCCTTCCGCTGCGGAGATGCTTCAAGTTTTGACGCTGTTCATTGGCATTTTCTTATGGATCTTTGCGTTCTGGCTATTCTGCCTCGCAGTCCTCGGGAATATCAGTGTGGTAGGCAAGATGCCTTTCTCATTAGCCTGGTGGGCCTTTGTCTTCCCGAATGTTGGCTTCATGGCTGCTACCTCGATGATTGCGAAGGAACTAGGGAGTGAGGCGATTAAATGGGTTGCAAGTGTAATGACGATAATTCTGGTAGCTATGTGGCTAATGGTTACGGTTGCGTGTATCAGAGCGGTTTGGCAAAAGAAGATTGCATGGCCTGGACAGGATGAGGACAAGGATAGGTGAAGCTATTGGAAAAAAGCTCCAAGGTCCCATCGCATGAACGACACGAAGTTTCCCTACGATCAGCCACACCCATCTCGAAGCCAGTGATGGAAAGCCCAGTCTCTCCTTCTCCAGGGCTTCATCATCCACCAAACGTCCACACGGCAAAACATCCCTCTTCACGTTACACGGAAGCGCCATCGACACCACGATATGTAAATGCGCGACGTAAGCGTTTCCCACGCTGTCGGGACAGTGCATGCTACGACATTCACAGCTTAGCATCGACTACCCCGCTTTTATCCAGCTACTGGCACTTTAACCGGCGGGTCGGGGCGGGCCAAGCTAAGACTAGATATCGTTGGAGCATAGCTTTTAGATCTACCCCGCGCTAGATTGTTGCTTGTTGGTTCTTTATCGCACTGGGCTGGAACGCAGAGCATCAGGAGAACATTGTTGGGGTCAGCGGTGGACGCTAGCGGTCCTTGTTTTTTCTGTCAAGATGACAAGAGCTCGACATGGCAGGAAGGAATGATTCGATGTAGCTTTAGGAGTTGAGAATTAAACGAGTTACAGGTTTTCAGCAAGTTATACCAAGCATTCAACGTCTGATTGTGTACGGCAACTATATCCACTACCGAGAGAAGCGCATCCGTGCTGGCGGGTAGACAAATCACTATACCAGTTGCTAACAAGTCTTGCCCTTTTGGTAACGCCGCACGTTCTCGGCTCGTTCGACCTGCAACCCCATGTTTCCAAGTGCTCGACTAGAGGACTATGCCCGCAACGCTTCGTCCTTCCGAGCCAGTCAAAATCTAAGGAATTGGCAAAGAAAAGCCCTTTTGTCGGCCACCGCAATCAGCCAGTAGGAGGATAGCTATGGACGTAGGAGGCATAAGCGCTATGCATCTCGAACTGCAAAGGAGTCATTGGAGATAAGAACGGCCCAGCAGCGCATGGAGAAGAAGCCTCCTGCTGCCGTTGGAGAAAAAGCGTACCTAATAGTGCGGAGAAACTTTACGACATGTAATGCAGCCTGCCAATCTGTTCTTGCTCAGCTGGACGAGTCAGATAACTTCTACCGTCGCACTTCATACTTCAACCCTTGGTCTTTACCCCTAACTCGTCTTAATTACCAGTAACCTGCACAAAAACAACCATGTTGAACAAAATCCTCCTCGCTACAGCTGCCCTTCAGGCCCATGTCTTGGCCCAAAGCTGCCCCTCCCTCACAGCGCAGTACCCAGCTCCGTCCGTAGCAAGCGACTATGAGGCCAGGCTCGTAGCACAGAACTTGGACAAGCCGCGAGGTCTCATCTTCGATAACAACAATAACCTGCTGGTTGTGGAGAGGGAGGTTGGCGTCACTGCGTTCAAAGTCGAGGGTGCTGGGTCATGCGTAACATTGAAGGATAAGAAGACTGTTGTTAGCGATGGCACTGTATATCAGTCCTCCTTGATGACTAGAAGAATAGTAAAAACAATGCTGATGCTTTATAGCTCAACCACGGCATCGAGCTCTCCGAGGACGGCAAAACGCTCTACGCTTCTAGCCGCGAATCCGTCCTCAAGTACAATTACGACTCGACCAAACTGTCTGTATCCGACAACGGCCAAGTCATCGTGAAAGGCATGACGACAGACGGCCAAGTCACTCGCACTCTCTTATTGTCTCGCAAGTCAAAGAATACGCTTCTCGTTTCCCGCGGGAGTGACGAGAATATTGATCTCAGCACTGTCGACGTGAACAGCGGACAGTCCCAAATTCGCATCTTCGACCCCTCAAAGAACGATATCTCCTACACTACCGGTACCACACTAGGCTGGGGTCTCCGCAATGCCGTCGGCCTAGCTGAGAACCCCACGGACGGCGGTATATGGAGCGCAGAGAACAATGCAGACAACATCGAGCGCGACGGTTTCTCCATCCACGAGAATAACCCCGCCGAAGAGCTGAACTACCACGGCAAGCTTGAGGATGCAAAGAACTCCCTCCTAGATGCAAACTACGGATACCCCCTCTGTTACGGTGCATGGAACATTTCTGAGATCTCATCAGCGGGCCAACTTCAAATCGGCGACCAGTTCGCCATTGCAGAGGAGAATGCTACGCGACAGGATGCATTTTGTAACGACGCGAGGCAAAAGCCTAGACTGGTCTTTCAACCGCACACTTCGCCGATTGATATAAAGTTCGACACGAAGGGCGAGAACCTCTACGTCAGCCTGAGAGGAAGCTGGTATGTCGTCGTCGTCGTCTCTAACCCTCCTTGTCAATTCGTTGTAATTGCAAACTATCCACTAACGCGTTTGTCACCCTGCAGGAACCGCAACGACCCCGTCGGCTACTCTGTATCAGTAATTTCCTTCAGCGCGAACGGCGAGCCCACGAAGCCATCGTCCAGCACCACGGCCCTAACACCCATCTTCTCCAACAGCAACACGACCGCGTGTCCGGGCAACTGCTTTCGACCCGCAGGATTGGCGTGGGACCGTAATGGTAGGTTGTATGTGTCGAGCGATGCGACGGGAGAGATTTACGTTATTACAAAGTCTGGTGGCGATGCGCTGGATGCGACGAGGCCGAAGGCTAGTGCTGCGTCGAAGAGTCCAGTTTCCGGTGTGGTGGGTGTAGTGGTTGCGGCTTTGGCGATGGCGTTTGCGTACTTGTTGTGAGTGATCTACGGAGTTGCTCGAAATATGTTGAGCGGAGGTTATTATCCACCGGTGCTCAGATGATGATGCTTATGATGATGGCTTCGATGACGATAATGATATTAATGGCTGGTGACTTTTCAATAACTTACACCGCGCAGACTCACTTAATGTCTAACGGAAGAAGAGTCAAGTAAAGACTATGATAGACGTGAGAAATCGAGTCTACCTACAAAACGCGAATGGAGTATTCGATCTATGAACAGTGAGGAGAAATGGTATACCTCAAGCCAAACAACAAAAAGCCTATCTACAACACAATGAATACCTTCCTCAGCCCGGAAGACATGGTGGGATCTCTGTACCGTGCAATTAGCAACAGCGCATGTCATGGCCACCAACGACATTCTACACTCCCTTCGCCTCACACAATCTCCCACTCTTACTCAACACCGTGCCCAACCCCTTGTGTACTTCGGCCTGGAAACCCTCAAACGGCACCTTCTCCCCATCAATACTGATATACCCATCCTTCTGCCCCTTTGGAATAATCCTGTATGCGCTCACCTTTTGATAGTCTACATGTTCCATGTCAAAGAATGTGTGGTTCTCAATGGCCAATAGTGTTTTGATGGCTGTGTGTCTGGGGATGTCGCCACGGATACGGATGAGGTCGAGACAGCCGTCGGAGGGGAGGGCGGCAGGGAAGAAATTTGCGTCGGGGGACATGTAGGACATGTTTCCGGCATAAAAGTTCCCGAGTTTGTCATGGGGGATAAGCTGCCATTCGGAGGGGAGAGGGTCGTTTATGGTGCCATATTTGAGGGTTGGTAGGCCTTCGTCGGTGGGAGGCAGTGCGCGGTCGTCGTTGCTTCGTGGTGGCTTGGAGGCCTCAGCACGGTAGGCTTCTCGCACCGCTGGCTTATTGTCGAATTCGACCTTTACGGCGATGTCGGCAGGATAGATAGTCTTGCCCATGAGTCGCACCAGAAAGCCCCATGTGAAGCGCGCGCTTCCCATCCAGCGCATATGTTCAGTCCCAAGATCTGTCTCGGCGACTATACCGACAGACTGCGAGAGAAAAGAGAGGGTGCGACGGTCGCCTTGCGTGACGGATATCAGGTCCAGAGGTGTACGTAGCCCTTTGACAACAGCAAGTGCCGCCAGACTCGGGCTATCCGTCCCATTGAAGTTCAGACTCATCGCATTTCCTGAGCCACAGGGGAGTTGTGCAATAGCCATCTTGACCAGAGCCCTTGCCGCGTCTGGTCTCTTCCCTAGTCCGTTCCAAACTTCGTGCGCTACACCATCGCCTGAGCAGCAAGCGACTATATCGTAGGCCTCAATATCCATGTTTTGTCCAATTTCCACACCATGACCTTGATGCTGCGTCTTCTCCACATCCAGCTCGCACCGCGCAGCCGCGAAGATGGGCGCGATGGACTTGTGGTAGATCTTCACAGCAGTACCCAGTCCCCCAAAAGGGTTTATGAGCACCTTGACGCGTTTCTGGCGCTGCGATGCTCCGTATGCGCGGTCGAGCAGCTTCTCCGTCCAAGGTTCTGCTAGTCCACTATCCGGTTTATCTAAAGTGTAACTGATGATGGCGGGCCGGACGGCTTTGTTTGATACGGTTTGCGCGTACTGGATGGTGACTTGGCCGTCGTCCGAGTGCTCAGCCCAGAGGATGTTGTAGAAGGGTATTGAACGAGTGGATTTGTTCTCTGTCTTTGTGAGCGGCTGACGGGCACAAACGAAGGGAACATAGCTTACTGCCAGCAAGAGACAGGCCGCAGCAGTTTCCGCTTTTGCTTTCCAACAGCGCCTCATCTGTCACATGTGAGCGAGAGCATCGTGTGCGGCCTAGGCGAGGCGTGTACCCAATACTATCAGAGAGTCTGTCCCCAGCGTCAGCGAGGCATTTCTGCCCACAGCGAGCGTGTCGGGAACATTCGCATGATCCCTCGTATCGTCGGTCGAGTGCGGAGGTTGCGGCAGAGTAGCAGGGGCAAGCGAAGGGTCTCTAAAAGGATTGTCGTCACCCGCAGTCGAAGCCATGGTTATCGCAGGAAGTCACGAGGCCTGGCGAGCATGCTGGAGTCTACGAGGAAGAGAAGGCAGGAAAGCAACCTAAGCAACGAGGTCAAGTAAGTAAGCTGTCGCTAAGGAACAGCTGGGGCGGCTGCTGACGGACAAACACGAACAACGTCCGCGTTTGGACCCTGCCGAGGCATCCGAGTTTGGGGAAAATGATACATGTCAATCAACACGAACATTACGCGTCATAAACAACCTTTGTGTCATTTGGGAATAATCCAATGCTACAGTACCATCTGCCGTGCCTTCTACGACTTTTGATTCCCAAACGGCGTTGCATGCGCATTTGTCCATGGACTGACCGTGAAAGTTTGCAACCTTCCTCTTGCGTACACTTCTCTCGAATAACTCCCTGGCGCGGCCTCCACATGCAAAGCAATCCTTGTCAATAGTCCCCTCATGCCACGCCAACCTTGTTCAGACCTTTCAACGACCCTAAACTCAACGCCAACCCCTGTGATCGACTACGAATGCGCACAAATCCTGTAATGGGGCCGTTCTCCCCCTCCTTTTCTATGCTCAAGTTGGCAAGAGCGTCCTCGCCTAATACGGATTAGCAAATGACACATCAAACCACATGGGTGAGGAGACATACCAAAGACACTCCGAGCGTACAAGTTCGCAGACAAGAATTGACAGTCGCCTTTCATCGACGCTTCCGGGGTAAGACAGCTCATGTTTGTGCAAGCCATGAGCTGCTTCAGGAATTCGCGTAGAGTCTTGGCCTTCGAGTTGATGTTGACCTTGTTTTCCCATTCGAATTCGGTCCACATGGTGCGGAACTGTGTTTCTGTGCATTGTGCTGGCTTGATGTAGTCCATAATGTCCACGTGCACGTCATTGAGTATAACCACATTAGAGTCAACTCCTTTCTCACTATGTCATCGTTAGCAGCTGCTGGATATTGATTTGTCACGAGGTACATACCCCTCGTATATTATGTTACCAAAAATGACGCCAGTATCGGTCGAGGAAACTATACTAGTAAGCATATGCATTGGTGGTCCTGGAAAAGAGTGATTTACCCTTGATAGTCGCTTGAATATTAACAAAGTCATGAGGACCAACGTTCTGCGTTGAAGGGCGTTCGACAACCTTGAGGTCGCCAAGAGTCGCAAACTCGATGGTAAGGTTTTGTAACGTCTCGGTCGTTTGGTTGACGAGGAGCACATCGAGTACAATATCGAATTGGTGAACCTTGTGACGATTAGCAGATACTCTGAGCGGGCTGTGAGACTTCATACCTTTACGTAAGCCTCAGCGTATACCGAATCGGAGAACCCAGTAAGCTGAACAACACGGCTCAGTTTCGAACTCATGTCCTCGGTTGCACTGTCGCCACCAGTAGCCCTCTCCAAATCTTGTTCGATCTCGTCACTACCGTCTGCGTCCTTCTTCTTGAGCTGGCGGATGTTGAACGCATCGTCAACGTTGACAGCTGACTTGGCCCTGTCCAAAGCCTCCTTGGCTATTCGCTTTTTCTCTTCTGTTTGTACCATAGCCTTGAATGACTTGCGCGTGTCTTCGAGGAAAACTGTCTGGAGCTCCTTCCTTTGTGCAAATTCTGAGAGTGACCGGACACATGACATGATACGGTCCACCGAGTCTTCGTCTATGAAAGTCTTGACGAACTGAGATTGGCCAACGCGAATGATTGAAATCATAATGAGCATCGCCTCGGCACGCAGCGCGTTTGTACGCGCTGGGTCCTCTGATAGATCTGCGTGTCGCATGACAAGTTTAGTCAAAGTGCTGGAGAGAACCGTAGCCAGGTAGTAATCGCCGTCGAGGACGAGCTGACGTAGTGGTGGTTTTTGGGAGTTCTTGACCGCTTCCAGTTTCGCTTTAGCAGCCGCCGAAGAGGTGAGCGCACTCTCCGTAGCATATGTACCATCTGCGAGAACCTTTCGTGACCCTGACGGAGCTGCCGGCTTTGCGTGCCCGTTGACCTGTTCGGTGCTCTCTTTACCGTCCGATGCTTCATCAAGCAATCTCTGCTCGGATGCCAGGATAGGGATCTCACCCAGTGATGATCGAATTCCCTTCCACGCGTCCCGGATATCCTTGGCATCGAGAGAGAATTCGCCGATAATCCACAGTACGCCGCGGTAGACCTTGCCAGCGCGAACTTCCCCGAGAGTCGATACGAGACGCGAAATGATCGAGGCTCGCAGATCTGGGAATCGCTCGACGACTTCCTTCACGAAGGAGATGACATCAACTGCAGAAGCGTTGCTGCTAACATCGGAGATGAAGTCCATGAGAGATCCGACGACGCTTGCGGCAACCTCTGGAAACTTGATGGCGGCCGAGTGAATTGCCGAAATGAGGAGCGACCTGTATTCGGAGTTCTTCTCGTACTGTTCATCAACGGTCTTCATCAATTCTTTCTTTAGAAGGAGAACAACCTCTTCCACGTTCCTGCTTGAGATCATCTCCATGGCAATGTTGAGCGACTTCTTGCGTACGTCTAGATCAGTGCTCGACAAGACACGGAGGACTTCCATTGTCAAGTCATCCAGTACGCCTTCGTGCTTGTGCCGTAATTGGTCTACCCGCTCCAGAACGATCAGCTTTACATTGTTATCAGGCTCCTTGATTGCCAATTCTACAAACTTCCCGGCGGCAGCCTTGACGGCGACTGGATTACTCGTAAGAGTAGTCAAAGCATGTGCGGCTTCGTAGATGACGGTTGACACCTGCGATTCGAGGAGGTCAAATATCAGTCGAAGGTATCTTGCCTTGTTGGTTGGGTTCACAATGGCGTCCTTGCGGATGAATTCGAGCTCCGCGAGTAGCAAAAGTTCTTCGTGGTTCGGAATAGAATCGAAGACGGTGCTGAGGTATTCCAGAGCCTTCTCGTGGCTCACAGACACAAGCGCAGCAAACGCGTTACGCTTGCAGGTGGGGTCGTTCTCGTCCTCCAGGAATGTGGTTAAAAGGTCAGGCGCATCTGGCATGAGCTCGGGAAGATGGGTGAAGATCGCGGCGATGGCGAAGGTTGCGTTCTTTCGAACGTACGCATGTCGGTGCGTAAGGCATTGGCGCACCGGTTCTTCCACGATTGTTAGCACGAAGCAAGAATACCAGTTCTTGGTCAGGCTTACGTAGTAGTGGCTCCACAAGCTCAGCATCCCGTAGCTTCGTTCTATACATGGATTAACAGTGGTCAGACAGCTGAGGTTGGGTGTCGTACACGAAGCGCAGCGTATTTCCGCGCACATATTCGTTTGGTGCCTGCAAGTCGAAGCGAATCGCATTGCTATGCAGTCGTCAATTTCCGCCTTTCCAATTATCGCGTATAAGTTGACGTACCAGACCAATATCCATTCCTGTCGCAGCTTTCCCTGTGCGTCGTGCTTCGGGCACACCTCGAAGAAAAAGTACATGAGCTTCTTGAGCGGTTTCGACTTGCTAGGCATGACGAATCGTATGATGTGCATGAGGAGGCCTGCTTGTGGATCGCCGTTGAGCATTATCGAGAGGACTTTCTTCTACAAGCTTGTCAGACAGCCAACTCTAGCAGGGCGGGGCAGTCGCAATTGGAAGGGCGCACCATGGTCTCGATCTTCTGCTCATCATTGCCCTTCTCCAGAGATTGCTTGAGCTCATTTTGAGCCGGGACGTCGGCCGCATTGTCCTGGTGTACCTATTGCCCTTCAGTCAGCCCTCCGGAGTCCCCTACTGCTAGATTGCCAGGTGTTCGGTACCAGACTATACGAGTTCTCGAGAAACGTCGCCATTTTGTCGATCGGGCTGTCTATTCGATGCTGTCAGGCAAAAGTGTGTCCAGCTGCAATGGCTGTGGCTCCCGCGGCGGCCGTCAGCCCTCAATGCCCTTGCTCTCCAGAATAAGTGGGATGCTACGTGTATGGATCGAGAGCTCGGTGCTGGGGGGTTTGGGGTTCCGGTATAGCGGTGGCCTTCTAGTAAGGTGGTTGAAAGGACACGATTGCCCTGCGCAGATAGTGACTGGTTCGAATCGGAGGTGCAGCGCTTCACTTGACGATGTTTACGCTCCAGGTGTCTGTTCACGAAATGGTTGTCCACCTGCCTTTGCCAAGACTCGCTAAACAGGGGTCCGCGCCGAGGATCGCGAGAACTTCCAGCGACTGAAGGCAACCCCAGGCTACGAAGCGACATCGAAATCTGGCCAAATCGACCTATACTCACTAAATTTGTGCATAGGAGAGACCACAATGGCAATCACAAACGAACCGTTCTATCTCAGATACTAGTAGGCTCTCTCCCTCCTTCAGTGCACGTGTTTGATCCTCATATTTTCACAGCTCAGGTCACCAAGGTCGATTCGGCCATGAATTCTTAGGTCAGTAGTGCCTGATCAACTCGCTCAATCATAAGCTCACATGGGGGCAGAATTCGACTTTCGTGTGCTCGGAGATGGCCGGAGCGCATCTGCACGTTATGCAAACAACTCCAACTACCGCAACGATTCCCTCATTCGAAAAGAGAGTACGCTTCACCGAACTCCTAACCCAGCTTCTCGCTAACCCTTTAAGTGTGTGTCAGTGATGCGTTGGTGGCCGAGATCAAGCGCATTGTCAAGGACAGCGAAATCTTAAAGTATGTCCTAAGCTAGTAGCTTACGAACTTACAACTAATGCACATATAGGGAAGATGACACGAAGTGGCCCCAAAAGAACAAGGACGGTCGACAAGAACTCGAGATCCGACTGGGTAGCGAGCATATTTCCTTTGAGGTATGTAGACATTGTTCGCCGAACGTGTAGACATTCTAACAACTTTAGACTGCGAAAATCGGCTCGCTCCAGGATGTACAGGACTCATCAGACCCAGAAGGCCTACGTGTTTTCTACTATCTCGCCCAAGACCTGAAAGCCTTGGTCTTCTCGTTAATCTCGCTACACTTCAAGGTAGGTCTGGATTGTATAGTATCTCCGTGCTGTACTAACACATTCCCAGATCAAGCCAATCTAAGTCTCTCCCCTGAGCGGGTAGCGTTGAGTTACTCTTTTGCTGGGGGCCATGTCATTGTGATCAAATTACAAACGCACCATGGACCATGACATGGACCAATCTGCGGGGTATGGCGTATGGAGTCTGCTGCTGGGTCTTGCTCACGGCTGTCACGCCTTGCAGGGCCTGTGAAACTATTGAGGAACAAGCATGGCGGCAGCCAGGAAGTGTGATTGAAGGGTTCTGAGCAATTATGGGGGCCAGGAGGCCAGGAGGCATTCAGTGTATCACTCTTCGAGAGCAACTCGTAGAGGATACAACACGGTCAAAGCTACACTCTTCATGTCCATTAATTCGAACATGTCGTTGTCGTTGTCGATATCGTTCTCGCTATAGCCCACATCTACCAAAGGGTTCCCCATGAGGCTAGCGCGCTTCCTTCCCCGCGAACTGCAGGCCAGCCCTCGGACCCACCTGCACTCACCGTCCAGACACTCCTTCGAGTCCCTAGCCAACATGCACACCACACCCATCGCCACGCCTTTTGATCCTTGACTATCCTATTTTGTAATCGCCTTCCCATCTTCGTTTCGTCCCATGTGTAATCTATACCTTCCTTGCCAGTGAATTCCCCCATCGTACTCCCGGATGCCGACGCCCGATGGTGCGATGGTCTCGCCAGTGGAGCACGAGAGCATCGCTGGCCGCACAACCTGCCCAGAAGAGTCGCGCATCATCACTGCCCACGGATTGAATGAAGAACTCGATCTTGGTGTCGCCAGCAATGCCGAATCGGCGACCCATGTCCCAATGCAACAGCCCACTCCTCCGCCGCAAGACTCTCCTGGCCATGCGCAAACGCCTACAGAAGCCCACTCCAAGCCCGCGAACACAGACATAGAAGTCCCAAGCAGAGACATCCCAACGCCCATGACTGCAACAGATGACGGTGGGGAGGAGCAGCGCGCCTCCCAAGCCTCACCGCTTTCCGCAAACACACCACTGCCAGTCTCGCTGTTCGCCAGCCAACTGTCGTCGCCATTTCCTGCGCACAGGGTATGTGCCACCGAGCCCATACAACAAGCAGCAATTTTAGGGGGGGGTCATGCTGACGTATAGTGTAGTTCCTCCCGAACACGTCCTCCTCCCTCCTCCGCCCCGGGAGCCGCTTCAAAGGCAGCCAGACATCCGATCGCCAGCAGTACGAAGTGGAAGTAGAGATAAAGCATGTCGACATGCGTGAGTCGTTCATGTGCGGATACCTACGCATCAAAGGTATGCAGTCTTGCGTTGTGGCTGGAATGGATATTTGGGCTAATGCACCGACAGGGTTAACGGAAGACCATCCAAGCTTGACTACATACTTCGAAAGCGAAGTCATTGGAAGCAAGTATACGTTCATCACACAGCACCCGGAGTGGGGGTCGAACGAGAAGGTGGACCGACAACACTGGGCTCGTTTTCCAGCGTACAAGCCACTCTCGAAATATTCGTCGCGACAAGAGCTAGTCACAAAGGATTGGATGCAGAAGGAGCATTTGTTCATGCGCTGGAAAGAATACTTTTTGGTGCCAGATCACCGCGTCCGGACGATCAGCGGCGCAAGCTTCGAGGGATTCTATTATATATGCTTCAACCAGGTCTCGGGCAGCATTGAGGGCATCTACTTCCATGCCAAGAGCGAGAAGTATGTACCTACACTCCGAGCAGCTGTATTTGGTGCTAACACGTCCTAGGTTCCAGAAGCTGCAATTGGAACATGTAGAAGATCATGGGTGTCAAGGCGCAATGGAGTTCCGATGATCACGACTGAACGAATTTGCATATGATTGGGATTAGCATTTGGGCGTATTTTCTGGGGTTGCCTTCTTGTATCCTACTTCACTCTCACGGCTTCCAGGCAGCACGCGATGGACGCCGTGGGGTTCCTACATTGTCTAGAATCGGTTGGAGATATTCAGACGTTGCCTTACGACGTCATGCTTGATATGCAATTGTGGATCGTTTTGCGATCGCCTCCACCTTAGGTCTGGTGTACTTGTGGGTGATCAGAGACCCTTGAGCTAGCAGAAAAGCTTGGCTCGCTTCCCGAGGTCGTGATGCCCGACCAATCCACTTTCGCCTTGCCTAAACTTCAGTCTCGTGTCCAGCACTTCCAAGTACCCTCCAGGGAAGATATATCCAGGTGTCGACGATGCCCGGTGAACCAGCGAAGCGCACAAGGCGCGAAGAGTACAAAAAGTCGCTCCTAACCGACGAGCAACATGGGGCGTTACCAAAGAAGAAATTCTACAGGCAACGCGCACACGCCAACCCTTTTTCAGATCATTCTTTGACATAGTACTGCACCCTTGCCGTTTGAGTAGTAACTTTGCTGATTATTACAGTCCAAATAGCCCTGCGGATATGGACTGGGCGAGCTTGTATCCCACATACGCCGTCAAGAAGCAGGAGCAAGAGATGGAAGACGCGCAGAACGAGTCACATGACGCGAACGAGAAAACCCAACGGGCAGTAAAGGCAATATCGAAAAATGTTGAGATTGCAGACATTGGGTGCGGCTTCGGTGGATTACTATTTGCGCTGGCGCCCAAATTCCCGGATACACTGATACTTGGTGGGTTCCCTGCCCACAACAAGAATAACAGTCAATCAAGCCTCGTCACTAACACTTGCCTAGGTATGGAAATCCGAACTTCGGTCACAGAATACGTTCATGAAAAAGTACGCGCGCTGCGGGTCCAAAATGCTTCAACAAACGGCTATCAAAACGTGTCGTGCATCCGCGCCAACACCATGAAATTCTTACCCAACTTCTTCCAGAAGCACCAACTATCGAAGATTTTTCTCTGTTTCCCGGATCCCCATTTCAAGCAACGCAAACACAAAGCGCGTATTGTATCCTACACACTAAACTCGGAGTATGCATACGTTCTGCGGCCTGGCGGCGTGGTCTACACCATCACGGATGTGCAAGACTTGCACGAGTGGATGAAGGGGCATTTTGAGAAGCATCCTAGTTTCGAGAGGGTGGAGAAAGTGTTCGAAGAGGGGGAAGGGGAGGATGGAGCGGGTATGGATGAATGCGTGAGGGCGATGCGGGTCGAGACGGAAGAGGGCAAGAAGGTGGAGAGGAATCAGGGATTGAAGTTTGTGGCTTGTTTCCGGAGGATTGAGGTTCCACCTTGGCCTTGACGTGTAGCTGATTTGTGAGATTTTTTGAGGTAAAATTGATAGAGAAGAGTGCCATATGGTTAACTAGGTGCTCGTATGCCCAGAAAATAGACTGCCTGCCTGAGAACGACGAAATCCAGGTTTAGTGTATGCTAATGCGATGCATTTAAGGACACTAATCCATGCACCCAGTGTGTTGCAAGGTTCTAAGTGTGACAAGAATTGCTTTTTGGTTTGTGGGCGTCCACTACTGCAGTTCAGATCACAGACCTCAACCTGCCCCGCGCTCGTACAACACCACAACACCACAACACCATAACATCACAACACCATAACATCACAATACAGCAACCCTCCATTCCCCGTCAGCGCATACTTCAAATCACATAACAAGGTCCTGTTCGACTATCCGCGCGACTTTCAACAATCTCTCGCAAGCAATGTCCCAACCATCCGCATCCCCATTACTTAGTCTTCCAGAGGAACTGCAGCTTGGGATCCTCGAACACGTAGGTCACAGGCCAATCCTTCCAAACAAATACACTGACCTGAGCAGATCATCACACGCACTGACCTCAAAGCACTATGTCTGACCTCGAAAGCGCTACGCTTCCATGCCATTCCCCGTCTTTATGAGCGCATCGACATCCGATTGTGGAGCAGCCACGATACGGACCGATTCCTTCAATGCGACGTAGCTTGGGCCGGAAACCATCTTCGCCACACCAGAGAGCTCGTAGTGGAGGACGAGCGTATCACTGAAGAGATTGAGTCTGTCCATACCGGTCCCATCAAACTACCCCAGAGCTACCCCCACAGCGAGGAAAAACAATATCCGCCTGAAGATCGAGACGATTTTCTGTATGAAATCTTGCAGATGTTTCCTGACCACGTTCTGCATCGGTTCTGGTAATTTTGAAAGCTAGCCCTGTATATACATAACATGCTAACTTACTTAGCTTCCTTTCACGGCGGCATTTAAACCCCCTGTTGAACGGACATCTTTGCAGCTATCAAAACGCAATCCAAGACCTTCAAATGAGCTTGCATGCCGAGCCCAGTCAACCTGAGCATTTGCCGCAGTTGTTTTATGGCTCAAAGTCCCTTGACCTCTATATCATCGAACATTGGAACATAGACCTCTTGCTTCACAACATCATGTTCATTGGCCATAGTTTGCAGCAATTATCCTTAAGCACAGAGCGTAGCCAAGATCTTCCTCGGCAAATCACCGAGTCGGTGTTGAAAGGGAACGTCACTCAGCATACACCCAATCTAAAACAGCTCAAATTGTCCGGAATGGAGATAGGAAACCTTTTTCATCCACTTTCTCAATTTGTAAACTTTCCTGCCCTGACTCATATCGAGCTTTCGGCATGTCACAGAGTTGACCAGTTCCTCACGGACCTAGGCAACAGTGCTCAAGAAGATGGACTCTGTCTCGAGAACATAGCTGTTGATGTAGTAAGCCCTCCGAGCGACGAACAACAAAGCTTGGACAGCTGTTTTAAGAAGATCTTCAAAGCGTGTCGTTCTATCCGGAGCTTGCACGTAGGTTTCGACGTTTGTCCTGAGCCGCCTCAAATCATCATGGATCAAATACTTTCCAAGGGGCGAGACCTTCGGCTCTTAAGTTTGCATTCTTCGATGGGAGTTAATGTGTTCGCAGAAGACGATTTGGATAAAATTTGCAGTGTATGCCCCAATCTGCAACAATTGGGATATGAAATTGAGGAGGTAGCACTAATAGTCCTTAAATCAGATAGTTCCTATAAACAATTCATAGTAAGTCAAACTGGGCGCAGTCTGGCTTTTGTACAGGGCATGGGCTCACAGATTCTAGGAGGCCGTTCGTCATTTGAGAGAGCTCCGCTTGCTCCACGTCCGCATACCTGATATAGGACATTTGGGGCGACTTGGAACGAATTCTGCCAATATGAGAGTCCTTGACATGCAGATGCAGAGAGCTGCCAACCAAATTTTTGGAGATCTACACCGAGGGCAAGATTACAAATTAGACGCTCTTGTCATCGGGCATCTGACAACTTTGGGGGAACCAGACGAAGAAAGGCTCCCACAATACTGTTTCATCAAGGGCCAACAAACCGACTCCCTCAATCGTACCGTCGCTGTCGGCGTACCCGTCACAAGGGTCATGCTGCGTCGGACGCATCCCTACACGGATATTTTGGATCTTGACCCTGGAGTTTCTGTATGGGAACATTGGGTAGGGCGAGCCATGTAGGAGGTACAGTGATCACCCTTTCCAGTCTTATCTCCTTGACACAACCAGAGGCGTTCACGAGCCATAAACAATATGGGGAGTAGTGTAATCTCGCCCTGTATCTAAGAGCGAAGCGAAGCTGCATGTAGCCTTTGGGTAAATCTCGGTCATCATTCTGCTCTGTCAAGCCCTTGCGGGGTTTTAGAATACCTCGACAAATCTGCCTAGCAGCAATCACCGAAACCGCTACTTCTATAGAGTAACCATCAGGTGGTCATGAAGAGTTCGTCTATATGTGCTTCGTGTGTCTATCTGTCTACTATGCACTAACAGCTTTACATATCGTCTTGCCATCGCTGATAAACTCATGTATGTTAGCTCCCTCATAGCTTGGGAAACCGAACTCTCAGGAACTGGTTCGGCCATGCGACATCGAGGCCTAACTGCCAGGCAACTCTCAAAACCCATTCCGGCTCACGCATAAATTGTCTTGCGACCAGAATCACATCAGCCAGCGGCTCTTTCCCTGCCTTTGCCTCCGTGACCGTGACGGCAGCTTGAGCTTCTTTGGCAATTTCAGCATCACCGTTCTTGAGAATGGCCGCCCCACCCTCCTCAACAATATCTCTCGCCTGCTCCGCTTCCGTAATGAGACCTACGGCACCAATTAAGAGACTCAGATTCTCCTTTTTGAGCTCAGCGCGGATCCGAGCGGCGATGCGGATTTGGTAGTCTTTTGAGTCGAACATGTTGATCTGCTGCGCTGGGTAGTTGCCTCCACTGCTTACGTCCAGCAAATCCACACCCAAACCCGGGAGTAACTTTGCGAGCCGAAGCGAGCTCTCAATGTCCCAGCTGCCGTGCTTCTTGCCAACGTCGGTCTCCTCCAACCACTCGGTCGAGCTGATGCGCAAGTAGAGCGGCATCGAATCTGGAATGACCTTGCGAATCGCTTCGATGATCTCGATCAAGAGCCGCGTGCGATTCTCGAATGAACCACCATAACTATCCGTCCGCTGATTCGAAACCGGGCTCAGAAATTGATGAACCAGATAGCCATGCGCACCATGAATCTCAATCACGTCAATTCCTGCCTTGACAGCCCTTGCCGCGGCACTCGCCCAGTCCTGCACGAGCTCACCGATTTCCTTCTCGCTCAATGCCCGCGGCGCCCAGTACCCTCCACTCTCATCATCGAGCTTCTTCCCGTCCCACGTCCACTCCTCTCCGCCCATGGGACCCACGACGTCCGTCGGCCACCCACCAGCATCGAGATCAGCCTTGACGCTCACCTTCCTCTTTCCACCCTGCGTCTTCTGCTCACCGGCAATCCAGGGCGCGCAAGTACTCGCTTTGCGCCCCGCGTGCGCTAATTGAATCCCGCTCAAGCTCCCCTGGCTCTTGATGAAATCGCTCACTCGTCTCAACGCGGGGATCTGCGCATCCGTCCATAGTCCAGGGCAATTTGGAGAAATGCGGCCGTTGGCTTGGACGCCGGTTGCTTCGATGAAGACGAGTCCCGCGCCTTTCAAGGCGTAGTGGCCTAGTGTGGCGATGTGGTAGTCTGTTAGTGCGCCCGTGGAGGGGCCATGCGAGGCTGTGCTGTATTGACACATAGGTGCTACCAGGATACGGTTCCGAAGAGTGGTGGAGCGGATTGTTAGTGGGGTGAAGAGTGTTGGTGTGGGGGTAGTGGATTGGCTGGAGGGAAAAGGAGTGCCTGGATCCACGAGGTGTTGAGGCGTGAAGTATTCAAGGCCTGGGACTCCTCGGTTCAAGTCTTGTGGTGCCATGTTGGGTGTTGCGGCTTAGGGTGAAGTCGATGTTATTTCAGCGGTGTTCTGGGTTGTGAGATAGGAATTGATAGTCCTGAAAGTGACCGCGGAGGTTTTCGTAGACACTTGGGAATCTACGACAAGTCTCTGTCTTTGAGCTGCTTATCGGAGGTACCAATTGAAGCTTTAAAGATTTGCTTGTTTGAGCACGCGATAGGCTTGATTTGTAAGTTACAAGGTACCGCTCGTTTATTGCCGAGGCTCTTCGCGCACGCTTGCCCGTGTTGGAAACTTTATCATCACGATAACTACTGGTCGTCAAAAGTATACTGACGCTAAAAAGGATGAATTTCAGGTTATTCTCTTTCTAAGGATTCATCGGCTTGGCACAATCACCAATAGAATTTGCTTAGAAATCGAAGTGTGGCCTTAAGGCCCCCAGAGAGGTCGTGCGGACACCCTCGAAACTAAACTCAAGCTTTGAAGAGTAGATAGGATAGCGATTAGCTATGCGAACTACAGTAGTACACTGAAACGTAGTAGAGAGTCAGGAAGGGTCCAAAAGTCACACCTGCGCGTAAACGCGTATCCATGTGATGTCTTTCCATATTATAGTGACGTCACTGACTCAATGCAGCAGTTTAGATTCAAAGTGCCACCAAACTCCAGAAACTACTACCTACACAAGCAAGCTATAATTCTTATACTAGACTCTAATACCATCAAACCCATCAACTGTCGACATGTCGTCCAACAACCAGAACCAGCCCGGCCTTGTCGCCAGCCATGCTCAATACGCCAAGGGCGCTGCTGAGGTATACTTCAACGACCCCTCGACATCAGGCAACTCGTAACCCATATTACTTACTAATGCTATTACCGTAGGAGACTATTGGCAACGTGACCGGCAACCAGGCGTGGAAGGCTTCAGGCGCGCAAGACAAGTCTCAAGCTGTTGACGCCATGAAGTCGGCTGCACAAAACCGAGACGCGAGCCAGGGCTACGGCGGCGTAGAAGAGAAAGCTGGTAGCTTAGTTGGATGCGAGGGTATGCAAAAGGAGGGTGCGGGGAGCAAGAAGGATTGAGGGTGTGTGTATGTTTGATGGGGTGGTGTAGGATTTTGATGACGACCGTTAGTGTTACGACTTACTACGACCACCAAGTAGGATGAAACGATGTCTTGCGCTTTATCCTAGATATTTTATTAGTTGTAGTTGTCCATATGTGGAAACATACTACACTTGGGTGAATGCTCGCTGTTAAGTCTTGGCATCAGGAACAACCGGTGTGACATTTTGTTAGGCGGATAGGACTCGGAACTTCTGCGGGTCAACCACCTGAGACAGGCGTAGAAAGCCCTAAACCACTTTATTAGGCTCGAGTCAAGATCTACAAAATAGTTGAGGTTAACTAAGCTACATTCTTCGCTGCCACGTTTGTGCACATTTGTGGGAACTCCCGCGTCGAAGCTTGGAGCTTGCAACCCTCTTCCACTCCAACCCTCATTCATCGCACGTCGATCAATTCGACTTGCGACCCGGATCTCGACATGGCGCCGCCGACACGCGCTCGGTCTCTTGCCAAACCATCCTTCTCGCCCGCGTTTTCCAAGCTCAAAACATCCGCCTACCTTGACAGCCTGCGCCCTGGAGCTGTCTCGTCTTCACACTACATCCGCACCATATCATGGAACGCTTCCGGCACCTTTATTGCAACTGGCGCCGCAGACAAGACGCTGCGGATCTGGAACCCCGAGAAGACCAACGTCAAGAACTCGACAGAGCTGCGCACGCCAGGCGCAACTGCTCTTACTTCCCTAGAACGCGTCTCCTTCCACCCGATCAATGAAAACGAGCTCGCTAGCTGCAGTACAGATGGCATGGTCAGGTTCTGGGATATACGGTCCAAAGCTAGCGTTGGCGAGGTCAAGGTTGGCGAGCAGCCGTTCACATTGGCGTGGACACCGGATGGGACTGAGATTGTCGCAGGAAGGAAGGTCAGCATGTCCACACGTTGGGCACGACCGCGATATGCTGACTGAACTCAGGACAATGTCTTAGTATCAATTGACCGAGCAGGCCTCCGCGTCCTCTCGGAGCACCGCCAGCCTCTGCAAACCAACCAGTGTGTTTTCGACTGGTCAGGCACGCATCTCTACATGACTGGCGGCGACGGCTGCGTCAAGATCCATCGCTACCCTTCGTTCGATCACGCCCTTACACTCAACGCGCATACTTCGGCATGTTACGCCCTATCCATGTCGCCAAGCGGCGAGTTCCTGGCTGCCGGCGGCGGTGACGCGCTGGTCTCGCTTTGGGATACACAGGAGTGGATATGCGTTCGCACGCTCGAGCTTACCGGAGGGCTCGTCAAGACGGTAGACTTTTCATTCGATGGGAGCTACATCACGGCTGGCTCAGACGACAAGGAAGAGAAGAGGATCCAGATCGCGCATGTCGAGACGGGGGAAGTCATACATACAATCAATGTCACGACTCCAGCGGCGCATGTCGCATGGCATCCGTGTCGATATGTCCTCGCATACTCGGCTGACCAACAGGGACTCAAGATTGTGGGAGGCATCAGTTAAGCGGAGGTTGTTGTTGTCAAGAGAGTGGAAAGATATGGCGGTTTTACGGTTGCAAGGCTCGCACGATACCCTTTCGTATTCGATATTCACACATCAGATGATCAAAAGCGAACTCTTTGGTCGCTCTATCAAAACTCTCCCCGCGGCCTCGTTCCGCCTGTGACGCAAATCCTACGATCGTAGCTTCGGCATAGCAAGCACCGATGGCGACATTTACTCCGTGGTTACATGTGGCCCTGAAGCATACCAGGCCTTCCAGAGTCTCCTACCACACGCACCCACGATCTGATCATGGATGTTACCGCGCCATTAAAACCAGCAGACCTTTTCTCTGCCAAAGGACTGGTGGTAGTCATCACTGGAGGTGGCAGTGGTACGTTGGAACTACCCCACTATGCCCCACGCTTCGTCATATCAACTCGCCAAGTCCTCTACTAAATACTGACATTCACAGGCATCGGTCTTGCCATTGCTTCAGCCCTATACCAGAATGAAGCGGCGAAGATCTACCTCCTTGGCCGCCGTCTCAATGTCCTCCAAGATGCCGTCCGAACACTCGAATCTTCACCTTCAGCGCCCAAGTCCTCCGTTTCCACCCTCACAGCTATATCCTGCGACGTCACCGACCTTGAGTCCGTAAAGGCCGCTGTGTCGCATATTGAGAAAGAGGTTGGCTACGTCGACGTTCTCGTCAACAACGCGGGCGTCATTGGGCCCAAAAGCGGGCAACCAATCTACAAAGCAGAGTCAATTGAGCAGCTACGAGATGCCATGGTCACAGAATATGACGGCTGGACCAGCACATTGGCAATCAATACGCAGTCCGTCATTGGCGTGTCTGCGTCTTTCCTGCCGTTGCTTGAGGCAGCCAACATACGACGTGGCTGGGCACCGGGCAAAGTTACGGGCGATGGGAACCCTCGCGCACGCGACGAATCCAAGCTCCAAGGCATAGGCGCGGACGCAGATGACGACCGACTGGCCCACATCATCACCGTGGCCAGCATCGCCTCGTACATGCGCTGGGTCGCGGCCGGACTAGCCTACAACGCAAGCAAGTCGGCAGCAGCGCACTTGGCCAAAATGATGAGCACCTTCCTGTCTGAATGGGGCATCAGGAGCAACATCGTCTGCCCTGGCCCGTATCCGAGCGACATGACTGCCGGTATCAATCCGAAATTCGGGACTAGTCAGGTACCCCAAGGACGCATGGGCAATGCCAATGATGTTGCGGGACTGCTGCTTTTCCTTGTTGGCAAGGGAGGCGCCTATGTCAATGGTACGACGCATCTCACTGACGGCGGAAGGGTGGGTGTGTATCCTGCTACATATTAGATTCAGACAGAATATACATATCTTGACGTCAGATCAATTCACTTTCTATTTGAATAATCAGGAAGTTGCATGGTGAACGTGAGACTGATATTTGATCTCTTTTTGTTCAGATGAGCTGTATTATGTTGTTCGAGCTTGTCGGATGACATGCTTGCTCTGCAGCTAATCTCTACACATCATGCCTACCTGCGAGGCCAACGTAAGAACTATCAAAGCTGGGATACCGTCAGCTTAACGCCGTGAATACCCCTTTTCAACCCATGCATCATGATCATGATCATCACTTCTTTACTGTGTGTCCCTTCCCTTGTTTGTGAGGGCGACGTGCACGATCACCCTACAACCGGCCCAGAACGCCCCTCACGCTACCATCAACAACAATGTTGCCCTTGACGCTCAGCTCGCCAATGCCCGTCTCGCCGCCCGATCCCTCGTTCAGCCAGCGCTGCAGCAGAGCATTGCTTTCCATGGGCTTGATCTGCTGCGACGCCGTACCGACAGTGACGTGTGCTACTGGATTCACCGACTCGAATACAAGCTCTTCAGTCGTAGAGCCCGACTCGCTGTCAATTTGAAGCCTGCTTGAGCCATTCAGACGTACAACGAAGCACATGATGCGGTCGTCCCAGATCAAGCGCTCTATCTGCACGCCGCACTGGCCGAGCTCGGGCTCCCATGTTCCAGTGTTGGCGTTGGTCTTCTGCGAAGCTTCGTGAAGCTTGGTAAGCTTCTCCCAATATGCCGGATTTTGTGACGCCGAGGCACGGTGCATGAGCGTAACGTGGAACTCGTTCTGGACGCGACGTGACTGCTTTAATTGGTTGTAAAAGCGCGCGGTAGTAGCATCCTTGTCGCTAAACAAGGTTTCGAGAACTGAGCTGATGCGCGAAGGGTCCAGACGGACTGAAAAGTATTCCATGCGCGGCGCCTTCTTGGGCTTGGCCTCCTGTTGGGACTGCTTTCGTCCGTTTTGGCCCTCGGCTCGTTGCATGTTCTGAAGGATTTGGGTGTTGTTGAGGTTATGCTTACTCTTGTTGCCATTACCGCCCTTCGATAGGTCCATCTTGAAGTCCGGCTTGTAGTCAGTCATAGCCCACGCGATGGCAGCATCCATATCGGTATCGGTAGGCATATCCTTGCCTTCAAACAAGGCGGGGTATGTCTCGAACATTTTGCCAATGATGACTTCAAGATTCTCACGCGAGTCGACAGTAGGATCGATGTCAATGACTAAATCAAAAAGATCATCGGGAGCCCCTGAAGGATCGACGGGCTGGAAGCGGTGCATGAAGCCTTCCATGATTTCAATGATCTCGCTCGAACCTTTTGAGCCTGCCTGGATAGTCTGGTGGTTATCGCCGCGGTCGAGAACGCGCTTCCGCGTTGCGGCACGAATGTTGTCGTAGTTAGATCGGTCATGGACGTAGTGTAGTGCAACGAAACGAGCGTCGGGTACGGTCCGTGAAATGTCTGTGATAATCTGATCTCGCTCGCGCTTCTGATGATTGTTTCGGTCTGCGATGGCGACGGGGTTGGTGATGAGCAGTGACGAGATAGTGTCAGCAAAGATCTGGCCCCTACCCTTCTTTGCCTTGACATTGTCGTTCTGAAAATGACCCCATCCGAACAGCTTTAGCAACGCAAGCGCCAGTGTCGTCTTTCCACATCCGATGGTCGCGATCGGGACAAGAACGATATTGCGGTTGGCCTTCCTACTCTCGACAGGCCCAGTCTCCAACTCTTCTCGAATAATTTCCGCACCAGTAGTTCCACGGAACTGCAAAAACTCATCACGCAGCTTGATGATTCCATGGTTTAGGTTGTATGCCTTGGCAAGCCCAGGGTTCTGGATAAACTTCTTCCGGGCAAAGTCGAGGTACTCCCTGGTGATGGCTTCGTGCTTCTTGTATCGCGGGGGCTTGCCTCCGATCAAAGCCTTTGTGCACTCACGCCACTGTCGATACATGAGATACGGCTCCTCGAACTTGTACTTGAAGAACCAGTCCACGTACGGAGCGCCCTCGGTCTCGCGTGTCTGGCAGCGGATAACAAAGCCTTCTGTGTCCCGTCCCTCATAGTTGCCTGTCTCCGCCACCTTGTCCAAGAAGGCCTTGACCTTTGTTATATCATCCTCCATAACGTACGTGACCTTCTTCATACCCCAATCATCGGCGAATTTGTCGACGAGGTGTCCAGGGTATGTCGCAAACTCAGGTAGGTTCAGATTGAGCCCGTGAACGTACAGGCCGGCCTGCTCGGGTGTGTATGCAAGGACGTGCTCCTCGAAGTCGTCGTCACATAGCTCGCCCACAAGCGTTGCGTTCATGGCTCGTAGCGTCCGCGCCAGATCCTCCTTCGTCTTGCCAACTGTCGCGATGTGCCTCTCGACCCACCGCTCGCCTGCACAGGCATGACTGAGCTCTGAATCGCCCCGCGCGCCCGTTGAATGTTTGCTGCAGACTAATAGTGTGCCGTCGTCGAGACCAGATATGAAGATGATGCAGCCGTTCTCTTTCACACTCAGCTCATATGGACCCCGTGTGTCGCGCACCACGTTCTTCCACTCCGTCTTTCTGACCTCGCCGTGGTTGAAGAACTTGTCGTATCCCCTGACAGCAATCTCCGAGTTTCCATTCAAGTTCTGGTACGTGAACAATCCTCGTGCGTATGTGGGGAGGTTTGCCTTCTTGTAGTCCCAGTCGTTCATCTTCCATGAGTCGACTGTCCGGCCATTAGGCAGCGGGAATGTGTGTTTCTTGACCGAGAAGCCGCCCTTGCCATTCTTGCCCTTGTGCGCTTCCAGCGACTGGATCAGGGCCGAGATCTCATTGGGGTCTTGTGCTGCGTACGGCGCCGTGTTGCGGGACGCCATAATGGCGATAGGCGGGAGTGTTGTTTGATAAGTACAAGACGATCGAATGTGTGTCTTGGATGACCTAAAAGAAAGCCAGGGTAAGCAAAAAGTCGCTGGTGATGGAGTTGCAGAGTGAGAGAGCGGGGAGAAATGTTTTAAATATGCTGCCATACAGGCAACAGCAAAGGCAAAGAAGGTGCAATGGGCTAATGACTCAAACAGCGCAGGACGGATGCTTACCGCGTCTTAGCTCATAGTAGCAAACATTAAAAGGGCGCAGTGGTGTTAAGGGCAGTTCGGAGTCATGGCTCGTATTGTTTGGGTTTGGCGATGAGATCACAGCACAGCCCTGTGGCTGAAATCCGCGCGGGGTCTTTTCATCCCACTTCGCTCGGGATCTCAATGAATCTATCTCCCAAATATGCCGCAAACCAATCTTGAATGAATAAGAAACTTCAAAAATATATACTAGTCACTTAAGAAGACATTGGTAACTACAGGGTCGATTTTTTTTACACTGAACGCTCATATTGTGCCCTAAAACTCCAAGTCAGATCTGGCCATGGGCTAAGATGATTCCATTCTACGTCTCAACCAGACTGCACTCCTATTGTATGTCCCAAGACATGCTGGCACCCAACAGAGCTTGATTGGTAGTGCCAAACGCTTAGACAGCTTGCCGCGGGCTATGGTCAGACTTGCATGTCTTCAGTTCACCGCGCCACAGCAAGACCACTTCGAGAACTAACGACCGTTCACGCCGAGCTTCTTTACGCCCTCAGCCAATATCTTCTCGACTTCGTCTTTGTGGGTTGAGAAGTTGTCGACAAGATTGTCCCTGCAATCGTGTTAGTCCGCTCGCCCTGATCTGTGCAAACGCGTCTACTTACCACATCTTGGGATCGTGCTCGTGCTTCTTCTTGCTGTTCCACGCCCAGTCCGTGATCGTGAACATTCTTGAGCTCTCCATCATGAAAGCGATAGCGCCCTTGGAGATCTGCATCTCCGGAGGTGGCTGTGCACTGGCGGCTTTGAACTGTAGACCTGTCAGCACCAGCCCTTCAAAAACTCTTTTGACAAAATGTACCTCTTCATAGGCAACTCCATGTGGAACGAAACCACATTCAAAGCTCACGCCACCAGGCTGGAACTCGTCAGAGCGGCCCGCGTATTCGCCGTAGATCAGGCCCATGAGCTCTGAAGCTCCGTTGCGATGGTAGTACGGTGGGCGATAAGCTAGGTTCATATTAGCGTTCTACTCCTACTCGACCGAGTTCAGCGGACGTACTGTGAGAAGCAACATCCCAGCGCGGGCTGAAGATTAAGAAATCTGCGAGCGGTGCAGACGGATCGCGAGATGGCGCCGTCAGGACACAGAAGATAGACGGATCGATATGATCGACTGAGATTGACCCAACGTTTACAAACTTCGTCAAGTCGTACTTGTACGGGACGTAGTTGCCATGCCATGCTACGACATCGAATGGGGAGTGATTCTGCGTGCTCTTGAAGAACTTTCCGCCCAGCTTGTAAACGATCTCCCACGGCTCTTGCTCGATTTGGTATTTTGCGACTGGGTGTAAGAAGTCTCGAGCGTTGGCAAGTCCGTTCGCTCCTAATGGTCCGAGTCCGGGTAGCTCGAAATTTGAACCCCAGATTTCTAGTTTGTGTCAGTATTGAGCCTGACCTGTTCAAAAGTATCTCGTACCCAAGATGTAACCCCTCGTCGGTCCCTCAACGTTGACCTTGAACCGCTGCCCTCTCTGGATTACACATATCTCACCAGGCTGTACGTAAAGCGGTCCAAACTCGGTCTGGATATCTAATGCTCCCTGTTGAGGAACAATCAGGAAGTCGCCATCTGAATTTACCGTCGCCCTCTTCTTCATGCTCGCATTCGCGAGGAAGGTGTGGACGGCTAGTCCTTCTCGGAGCGTTGGATCTCCGGACCCAGCGATACTCTTGAGCCCTGAGATGAAGTCGATTTCTCCATCTGTTGGAACGTCGAAAGGAAGCCAGGCGAGCTGTGTGGGGGACACGTGGACACGCTTGTTGATGGGGAGGAAGTTTGCCTCGGTATCCTCGTTATCCGGTAGATCCGTCTATGAGTATACGTATTAGCGCATGACATGGCTCTTCATTGATTATGGTCTTGAGGTATACGATTTTTGGGCCGCAGCAGTCTCTTTTTGCGTATTTTTATTGGCCATGGGTGCTGATGAAGGTGAGACGAAAGTAAAAGAGTGGAGGCTCTTACGAATCCTTGATGGGCAACCGCTGGTCTCGCCCTATACAACCATGCCTGGGCATGCGTCAGCGTCATGTTTTTTCATGCAGGCGTCTCATCACTTACCTTTTTGTTCAAGTGTCTTGGTGCGACGAAAGCAGTACCCGTCATCTGCTCGGCATAGAGACCGAATCTCACGTTTCTCGGGTTATTCTGTCCTCTTGGGATGGTCCCTGCGGCCCACGCGGCTTCGGTCAGATTCGTGAACGGAAACGATTTTAGAGGTGTTCTCACCCGGCACCGCCTCTGATTCAAAGCTGTTGTTGAATCCGGATTGATACTGCGAGGAGCTAATGTTAGCGGGAGGCCTCGGCATGCAGGCTTTGGGTAAGGTCAGCTCACCTCATACGGATCATTCTTTCGAGTCCCAAAGGATGGTATACTGCCATCTTTCTGCGTCTCCGCCCAATGAAAGATGTTCTGGTACTCTTTAGGATTTTCGAGTTGGGTGGGCATGTTGAAATCAGTTATGATTGACTAGGTGTATGCAGCGAAAGTAAATCGCAGTGAATAGTCAAAATAACGTATAGATTGTGTCAAGAAAGAGGAAGCTGGAGAATATGGGGTCCGCGTAGTTGAAGTACATCATCTCCAACTGACCCCACACTCGTCGACCCCACAACCTTGCAGGATCTCACCGAGCACTGCATCATTCGCTTCTGAACATCCCCTCTCTTAGACCTCGTCTGCCATTGACCAATCGATGATGAAACCGATTGAAACTGAATGCCCTACAATTGCGCAGCCCACGGTTAGGAGAAGGCGGATATGCAACTGCCGAAGAGCTCCAAGAGGGGTAGCTCCACCGAGCTTGCAGCATCGGGCAAGAGCGGACTTCAAGCGATGCCTATTCGCCCATGAGCATTTATATGTGACAACAACGGACCGAGAAGAGGGCGGATGTAAATGTTTGTCACCGAGTAGTCAGCGGTTGCGCATTTCGAAGATGTCGGTGCTTCGGGGCGGGAGGTCCGACCGTACCGTAGCCTTTTTATACCAGTTTCAACGTTCGGCTCGGCTGTTGGTGTACATCCATATTGTAATTTCATTTATTTTCTCCTAACAGGGGAAGATTGACTCGCCGCTTCCAGTCGTTCATCATGGCTGCAATCACGCGAGCTGTAGGCCAATCAGGTCGTCGCTATGTCGTTGAACGACTTTTACAAGACAAACCAGGACCGCTTGGACGCGTGTATCTTGCTTCGTAATTCTACCAAATCAAAACTCTACAATCTACTAATGTCTAGTCTGTAGAGCCGGTAACCAGCAGTACGTCTTAAAGAGTGTCCCAAAGACCGACTTCAAGTATTTTGAAGACATGTACAGCAATCTTCAAAAGTCCCCCTACATTCGCGTCGCCAATGACGCAATTCTCGACCAATCCATGTTTGCCTACAGATACTTCAAGGACCATCTACTTTTTTTCGTTCAGAAGGAAGACCCAGTCTCACTTCCCTTGATGAAACGAATAATAAGAGACTCGCTCCGAGGCATTGCTGCATTGCACGAGAAAGGCATCGTGCATACAGATATAAAAGCGAACAATATCCTAGTAGACTGGAACAAGGTGGATGGCCATACTGTCGTTGGTCAGGTGCAGATCGCCGATATAGAAGACGCTGCGTATATTCCAGACGGTGACTTTGCCATCGTTGGAAGGCAGGTAGGGAACTGGATGTGGCGAAGCCCTGAGGCTCACGCATCTGGCAAGGTTCATAAGCCATCCGATATCTTCTCTTTTGGGATTGTCGTAAGTTTCGTGCGACTAAACATGTATACAGGCTGACTGGAATACAGTGCATCTATGCCCTGACCAAACGTGTCATTTTCGCCGTCGCCGACGAAGAACTCGAGGAAGGCGTGGACAAGCTGGCTATTGTTCTTGAAAGGCAGTTATCCTACTTCTCCGATTTCGAGAGTTTTGTCGGCCTACTACAGCATCTGGGGGACAGCCCGTGGGCCCAGATATTTACTGTGATTGCAGAGGGTTTCAACGAAGACCTGCCACGGGCGCCATTCGCGTTGTGGAAAGGCATTGATCCGGATTTTAAGGATTTGGTCGGAAAGATGACGAATATTGACCCGAAGAGGCGAATCACAGCCCATGAAGCTTTAGCACATCCGTGGTTTAGAGATGTTGCGTAATAGAGTCTTGGGGCAGAGCGATAGCGTCTCTAGGAGTACTTTGATACTTTCATTCTTTTCAAGGTAAGGTAGTGCTACTCAGCACGAAGTACGAGCTTTGATCTCCGCAACTAGCGCGCATGCAAGAACAAGAGGGATAATGAGTCCCTCGCTACACTTGTGCCTGAATTGGTGAGAGTGCGATTGCCCAAACAAACTCTGTGTATATACAAGTCACAACTTATTTGGACTTGAATAAGGTACGTATACTTGAGTGAGGAAGATAAGCTAAAAAGTACCAAGGGAAGTTTGTTGTGAGAGACCAAAGCGATCATAGATATTCATCAGATAATAGCTATCTAAACAACCATTCGAATCACCAGCTCAAAGAAAGGAAAAGACTCACCCCTTCTCATGTGTGCAAGCACCAACGGCCCGTACTAAAAGCAACGACTCCCACGTTTCGAAGTCGTCCAAACCTAGAAGGCTCTTGCCCGTCACATACGATTTTGTAAAATGCAAGCAAACCTCTTCGCCAAATCCATCCATCTGATCACAACACCGTCCCAATCAGTAAAAGTCCAACCCGCCACACAACACCACCAACGCCACAATCAATGAACCAGCATTCTCCACCGTCTCAGCCCCAGCACATCGCTCGCTCTCTCTCTCTCTCTCTCTGACTCTCGCGTACCAAACCTAAACCCACTCTCAGCTTCCAAGCGCGGACTTCGCCTATATCGCGTGTGTGCGTGCGTGCGACGCTGACCTCGTCCCCGTCACACAAGACCACCACCATCTCGCATAAAACGCATGAAAGAAAAAAACAGGGCCTTTCTCAACGCGTGGCGTGCCTGATGCTTGCGGGTACGGGCGGGAAGTGCAGTGCAGTGTAGTGCAAGTGTAGATACGATCTTGTGTAGCACCAGCCGTCTCGATAAGACGTTTATTGAGGCACAGGATAGATTGGCATCGGCATTGGCAGCGTATAGTGCATAGTGCATTGCTTCCCGAAATAGAAACACACGCATGTGTCGAAAAAGGGTAAGCAGGTTTAATCGGTCTGATTCCCAATCTGGTAGTCACTTGCCCCAGAGTATGAGGAAACAGAGCGGTCTGGCCGCCATTTGGCGAGAGTGTGTATGTGTATTGCAGTGCGTACTGTATAGGTGGTGGGTAGATGCAGTGGAGGGATAGGGAACGCGTAACGCCCGCCGCCCTCGCCCTCACCCTCACACCCACCCCCCAACATCGCAAGACAGCCAAACTCGACCTAACCTTAGGTCCATGGGAATTCAAGATTATTGTTTGCGCGGAAGGAGAGAAGAACCGAGGGCCGAAACGGCGACGGCGGCGGCGCGTTCGGATATCAGCGCCGTCGATGCTTGCATGATAGATGGTTTTCAAATCAGGAAATCTTACACCCTCCTTCGGCGTCAAGCACCGCTCACTCACGTCTCCACTCCACACTTGCTTATCGTATTGATATCGAACAAAAACGTCGTGTCGTCATCAACCGCCCTGCTCGAAATGCACCGGTACGTACCAGTACCCTAAACGGTCGAATCTTTGATATCAAGCGCGCTTCCCGTACTAGTGTCCGTCACGATAAGTCCTGAGCGCATCAATGTCGATTGTCTCTCCCTTCACCGCCTTCTCACAACTCCATGACTCCCCCAACCCAGACGACGGCGCCTTTGGTGGCTAGAGCGCCGCCATGTATGCAACCCACCACACTGCACACGTTGTGGCGTGCGTAAGCGCCCACCTTTCGCGAGAGTGCGGAGTGCGGGGAAGATGCAATCCTGCCCACGACGCATCATCCCTGCCCACAACACCATCTCCGACTCTCTCGACGTGCAGATCATGAGGTCTCGATGCCCCATGCAAAGTGATGGGGTGTGTGTGCTTTGACCCTGGTCTGCTTGTACTTGTAGGGCTGAAGGGGTGCGATTAGTAAAGATAGAAGGTTAGATTAAATCACATTAGAATCGAAGCCGCGACTTGCGCGAACGGGCTTTGCATGATTAGAAATGGCGCGAGGTAAGTAATAATAAGCTGTGCATTCGAGCTTGTTCGCAATAACGCTAGGCCGCTGAAAGCCGTTCGCAGGCCGTTCTCGACGGTGCGTCCGGGACCCTGTCTGGATCGTCAAGCCCTGCTTTAGAGTATTGACCCTGCGCTGATCGGTGGCAGCTTCACTCCAGTGAATGACGTATGGTCCAGCACGAGGCTGGTGTGGAAGAGAGCATGCCAAGCTGAATGTAAGACATGGAGCCATGGATGCGACAGCCATCACGGATGCGACCGGAAACTTGAAAGTGCCATATCAACTTGACTTGGGCACCTTGGTTTCAGAGCTAAAGCTGCGGCGAAATGGGCCGAGCTTTAGGACGATGAAACGAAGTGTGGTGAGGAAGTGGATAGCGCGGACGAGGTAGCTCGGAAGCTAAGGGTCGGATGCTTTTTGGTGTGCCACATCTCCTAGTGTTGCATGTGAGTAAAGCTGCCTACCGATCAATCAGGTGTCAGGAGTGGGCGGCGTGGAAGAGGCAGTGTGCGTGACAATGCGACGTGATTGCCCCAATAAATCCTGGTCGAATCAGTGTTTGCTCCAAAGAGCAGGATTATTGTAACGGTCTTGGTGCCATTGTTTGTCCGAGACGCGTCGCGTCCACCTACTTCGAGTATATTTACACCGCAGCTTCGAAGTCCACCGCAGCAACCGCAGTGGCACGTAGCCTGAGCTCAATCATTCATCCAGGCTGCGACACGGTTTCCTCCAAAACGAGCAGCAAACCGTAGGCCTGTTGAGCCCATGGGGAAGTAGGAGACGATGTACCAAAGAAGGCAAACTAGCTGTGCAATGGCCGCGACAAAGGTGAGGATGGTGCTGTGGAGCTAGTCACGCGGACATTTGTCAGTAAACACGAGCTTGGTGACGACAGTCGAAAAGGCCAGACGTGGGGAGGGCGACAAGGGTCTGGTGTGGGATGGGCAAGGTTTTATGCTTTGCAAGGATGGGAGTGCTAGGGTGACGGGCATTGACTTACACCGAGAGAGAAGTAGAGGGTGAGCGAAATGCTGCCAAAATAAGCAGCCGTGAACGGAAGTCTCGGTCCAGAAATGAGATGGTGGACTAAAAGCATTGTCAGAGACAGCGAGATGGAAGGTGTGTAGCCATAGTAGGAACGAGGCTTGCTTACAGTACTGAATGGGGCCCATCAAGACGCCCCATGCTCCCAGAAACAGAAGACTGCCCATGGACCATCTGTAATCAAAGCACTCTCGTTAGCGCTAAGGTGTATCAGGCGTCGTGCATGACGCTTGGCACTAGGTAGACAAATATTAGGTAGAGTCTTTCTGCAGCCTGCAGCGCGCCGAACCTCGGACCCGCATGATCGCTGTAGATCTTGCAGTGGCTAGAGAGGTCAAGTGGCACATGGACTTTATTCGTCGGACGCTAGTACCCGCAGTCGGTGAGCGGAGGCATGCCAAATCCTTGAAGGAGTTGCATGAGTTCGCATAGCCGTGCCGGGGAGACAAAAGTGGTATGTGCCACTGCCTATCTGCCTGATACGAAGTTACCTAGAAAAAGGCTGGCTGCAGGGCATACTTTGACTGGACCGGAGTGAAAGAGCGCCGAGGACTTACAAGATGGCAAACTTGCGCGGTTTAACAATGAAGAGGGGGGTGAACATGAGTCCAATGCAGATAGCAAACATCGCCAAGGCTGCGATCAACAGCCCACCAAAGACGAGCAGTCGGTCCCACCGACTCACTGAATGTATTGGTTAGTGAAGATCAATAGAATGATAGTCAGGCAGAAGATGCAAGTTTCCTGTAACCGAGACGGTTCACGCAGGCACTCCCTTCTGTCACGTCGACCGCGTGCAGTACTACAGGACCAGATGACATGTCCTGGTTTCAGGATACAAGAGACCCACAAATTGATGGGTGTTCCTTTCAACATTGCCATGTAGTGAAATTCGCATAGAGACAAAGGCCCTTGGCTGTGCAAGTGAAACTAGCCTGGGAGTCATGTCTTTGAGTGACATCACGAGGCTCAAAAGTAGCTCGTATTGGCCCTAAAGGGCATCATATCAAACAGGTGGTGCTTTGCGAGGAGGGGGCTGTGAGGGGCTTTGCAGAATGAGGACGGACGCGTAAAGCATGGGAGCGTGTTTTGCCACTGGAGAGGAAATGTGCAGACTTACGCGCAAACCACCCTTCCTCTTCTTCTCTTCTGGTGGGTGCTGGTAGCGGGGCGCCCGGGTTCGTTTCTGTTATGGGGAGCCTGACATAGCCACCCTCTCCAAAGGGATTCATATTCTGAAGCCTGCCGAGCAACGAGGGCGACTCGGTGTTCACGGGGACATCTTGGTCTCTTCTGCTCCACCCCAGCGAGTTCATCGAGTCCCGGAAAGAGGCGGAAGCCATGTTGTGAAAGAAGCGTGTTCCGCGGCGGCGTAGAAATAGAGGGTGGGTAGGGACTAGTAGAAACGAGCCTGGCGGTTGCTGTGGTAGCAAAAGAAGCTTTGGGAGCAGCCGCAGCAGGCGACAGAGATATGCGGGGCCTGGGTAGGCTGGGCAGCGGGCGCAGAGGGCCGATGCTGGGGGGAGGGTGAGTGGCCTCGCCTCGCCTCTCAGGCTGGCTGGTCCCAGTCGCTATGTGTGGCTTGGGCGCGCCGTGGGAGTAGTGGGTGTGGGGTGGGCAGGATGACTGTCCACAGCGGCGGTTTGTTCGTTGCTGGTGGAACGCAGGACTGGTGGGCCAACGGACCGGAGGATTTCGTGCAGATGATGTCCCTGGAGGGTGTAGGAGGCGGCCGTCCAATAACCAAAGTCAGACGGGGTCTCAGACAAGACGACTGGTGCGCGAGGCTTGTGACGAGGCCGCAAAGGTGCGATGGGAGGGAAGGAGCAGTCGCGGAGGGCGGGAAGGTGCGATGGACGCGGCGAAGGAGGCCGGGGGGCGGGTGATTGGCAGAGCAGAGCAGAAAAGAGGGTTTCTGGAGGGGTGTGGGTGCGGGTGTGTGTGTGTGTGTGTGTGTGTGTGTGTGTGTGTGTGTGTGTGTGTGTGTGTGTGTGTGTGGGCGTATAGTGAGGGCTGATGGATGGGCCGGGGAGCGAGGGTGTCGTGAATTACCTAGGTAGACAGTCTACTAGCAGCTACCTACTAAGAAGCTTGGTATGGATCCATCGAGTATAGAGCTTTGGGGGTGCCAGTACCAGCATCCCTGAACCACCGACTACGCCTAGCGCAAATCGCCTCCCGCAGCATTTCGCAACCTACTAACCTCAACTGCGTACGCCAGCCATCCGGCCAGCCAGGCCAAGGCTGCCTGGGATCGGATAGGGTTGAATGAATGAATGAATGACTGCTGGATTATCGAGCAGCAGCGAGTTTGCTTGCTTGCTTGCTTGCCAGCTAGTGAGTGCGTGAGTCACATTGCGCGCCCTCTACACACACACACACACGCACACACACAGCACCACCTGGATTCTGCGACGCTGAGACACATCGGCCTCTGCAAATGACCATCTGAGGCCACCCTGCCCGGCAAGTGCCCGCAGGACCAGGGTGGGAGGCATCAAGGCGGGCGGGAATAGTAATGTAGCGGACGCGAAGAGAACAGGGCAGAGCCACAGTGCAGGTGGGTGGGTAGGTAGGTAATAGCAGTAGCAGTAGCAGCAGTAGTAGTAGTGAAAGGTAGGTCTGGCGGGCGCGGGTGAGATGGAGTGTAGAGCCGCGCTGGGCTGCGAATGTATATTATGCTGCGGCGCCCGCGTCGATTTGGGTCCATGAATCCTTCTACTCTATTCGCTCTTCTCACCATCTCTCGCCGTCGTCGTGCATCTATCCTCATATATTCTCATCGACCTCTCCATCTTTGCTACTACTTGACCACAACGGGCCGCCTCTCCATCAGCCTCTATCATATACATATCTATATATATACCTACGTCACTCCCATCGCGTCCTCGTCTCTCTAGTCGTGCACCACAGCCAGCAGCCCTCTCTTGCGCCATCGCCACACACAACCACCACGCCTCCAGCAGCTGCACGGCATACGGCATTGCATCGCCCAAGCCGTCATCGTCGTCGTCGTTTCTTTTTGCTGCCGTTTGGTGTTCGGCTCCCGCGATCCGCGCCAGACTGCCTGATTCGCCCTCGTCGCCTTTGGCTTCTTGGTAACCGAGCCTAGCGACAAGCTGCACACCCACCCTTCTTCTCCTCTGACCGCCTTCCGGCTTTGGGCGACCCTTCCACATCTCGCCCTCGCCCATTTCTCGCTTCACCTGCTGCTGTCCCCCTCTCTTGTCCCTGAGAGCTCCTCTCGCTGTGCGCTGCTCCTCAACGCGCTTCTTCTGCGGCACCGCGCCCACGACGTTTCCAAGAACATTGACACCCGGGCCCTCCGTCCCCACCCTTGAGCCTCTCCCCGCCATATACCCGACGATCTCCTCCGCATCCCACATCCAGTATTTCGCCCACTCCTGGTCGCACAAACTCCTCAAGGCGCACCCCTCCCGCGACTTGCGCTTCTGGACGCCGCTTGCGCCGCTTCCTCACCGACTCCCCAACATCGAGAACTTGGCTTGGCTCGCGCCGACATAAGAGGCAAATCTGGCCGCTCGAGCCCCCTGCACCACGCCCGCCATCGACAAGTTTGCTGCGCTTGAACCGCAGCAGCTGGCCGCAACCCGAGCAACTCTCTCGATTCTCAAACTCAGAACCCTCAACCGAGTGCTGCAAGCCCGGTCGCGATTGCCCTATCCCAAGTTACAAGGTGAGTCAACGCCCGGGCGCTCTTTCCCTCCTTCACCACCACCACCACCATCGCTTCAGCCTGGGCCGCAAAGCGTATCCAAAAGGATACGGCAGCACTGTGTGACTGTTTCGCTACTTTGGTCCTCTGTACCACCCTCTCCACAGTGCCGGGCTGCTGCACCGCTACTGTCCGGCGTCGCTCGCCTCGCTGGTTACCTACCTGTGCGCCACACTCATGCAACCAACCCTTCAACCGCTCGACCCTTTACGTCCGCGGACCGTGTGCTGACATAGCTCCCTCAGATTCCACCTCGGAACTCCAGCCACGAGCGCCCACCGCATTTCTCACCAAGAGTCCCGAAATAGCTCTCCTGCAACTCTCTCCTCCCTTTCACATCCGTCGATAGCCATCCCTTTGCATCTTGTCTCTACACACAGCACCGACTCGCTAGAGCAGTGGCGAGCATAGCCGACTGCGAGAATAGCCGTGTCCCGGTGAGCAACATCTCCCAGAGGGTCTCTTTTGTATATCAACAGCGCGTCTGACGCTTCTTATGCAGACAAACACTAGCCTACCTTAACAACCACAAGAGGCTTGCTAGCGAGTATCAGGCATCACAGGTGAAGCCGCTTAGCTTGCTCACCGTGTCCTTGTGCACACCAGATAACAATCGCCTGCCAGGACCCTTATAGGGTCACAGACCGTCTCGTGCTGCAATCATACTGCAAGCCATCCCTGGAGTGCATTCCTTAGTCACTTGCTCGGGTCGAAGACAAGATCGTTTCAGATCCCAGAGTTCGGGGACCCGCATCGGCCCTCGGCCTCACACATCCACATTCCTGGGTCACTGCAACCTCCAGTGATGCCAAAGCCAAGTAAGTACGCCTCTTGTCACATCACCCACCCTACACTGTCATGAGAACACCCCTTCAGTCTGCCCGCCTTTTCTTATATGGGAGTCTCCTGGTCCTCATCTTCATCTTCCTTGCGTATTTCTGCTCGTCATTTCCAACCGTCATCTCGATCATGTACTACGAGACCATACTGACTGTCCCCCAAGCGGACGCTCTCTTCACTCCTCCATCTTCCTACTCCCCTCAGAAGACCTTCCCAAGGCTGGACCTTGGATTGGACTCACCCTCTGACGACGTATTAGACGCTGATATTTTCGGTATGACTGGGACAGGATCGCCCCAGCCATTTATCAAAGAAGAGGTCGACGACATGGCCTTCAACTCCAACCGCTACCTAGGCCACAACGGATTCGATATGAATCAACAGTACAATAACCCCCAATACAGCTCCAATCATGACAACGTGAACGGTATCAACCCATCCGACCTCACCATGAGTGGAAGCATGATGAACAACCAATTCGGATCGACCAGCTACGTCCAAGGTGCTGCAGGTATCGCAGACGACGAGCTAGCTGATTCGTTGGGCAATTTCGATCAGCACCAAGGCTTCAACGGCTTCAGTCATGAGAACGTAAATCATCAAGACGTCTACCATGGCCACACCGCCAGCTCAAACATCAACCAGATGTATTCGAACACACCGGATGACCTACCCATTCATAGTCCCTTTGTCCACCCGTCAAACTTCGACTTCAACCAATACCAGTCGGCACCGCAGAGAACAGGGTTTCCTGCTAGCGTACCGACTGGCTCCATGCGGCAGCGCATCACTATGAGCAGAACTGGCTCCGATAACCGTGCCCCCATGTCGCCCAAGACGCCAGCCATAGCCGGGCTCCATCTTGGCACTCCCGACTCAGGAAACTTCACAACTCAGCCCATCATGACAAACATGCACCGGCACCAGAAGAGCGTTTCGGGCCAATGGGAAGGCACCCCTGGCAGCCAGCACTCCTGGATCGACTCACCAACAGCATCGCCTCACACCACCACGATGCATCACCAGCAGATTTCTGAAGTCTTGCACTCTGGCAAACACAATTCATTGCCAGCCAAGGTCGATATTGGACAAACCCAGGACGCCAAGAAGCGACGTCGTCGCGAGTCGCACAATTTGGTCGAGCGTCGCCGAAGGGATAACATTAATGAACGCATCCATGATCTGTCTCGGCTCGTGCCTCAACATCGTCTCGAAGATGAAAAGATCCGCAAACACATCAACAACAACGGCCCCATGTCGCCTACCATGACGGCTGGTGGCATGTCACCACCTCAAGCAACGTCACTTCTGGCTGGTGGTAGCGGGCGACGAGCTGCTGGTAACATTACACAAGGACTGCCGATCGAAGAGAAGGACAAAGGACCCAACAAAGGGGACATTCTCAACGGCGCCGTCAGCTGGACCCGTGATCTTATGTGGTTGTTGTACAAGAAGATCCAAGAGTGCGATGATTTGGCTGCACGCCTGCAACATGCCACCGGTGAAGAATGGTCCACCGAGCAGTCCGAAGACGAGAAGCGTATGAAGACTGAGATCATCGACGCCCTCGAGAAGAACGGCACCAGTACTTTCCGCTACTCACGAGGACCGGGCTCAGGCCTGCGGGTACCCAAGCACACCAACCTCTCTGGCGAGCCCCTCAACGGGCTCTCGCCACAAAGCCTTAGTCCGGGCATGCAAAGCACTGGCAGCGGCTCTGGATCCAACCAACAACAGTACTGGTCCAACCAGAGTCTGAAAGAAGAGGACGAGTATGGTATGGACATGGGTTGATGCCTGCCCGACCTTCTCGTTTTCTTGGTTTACTGTTCCCTTCCTCGTCGTCAGTTTTCTACATGTGATACCCCGCGATACCCCCCACCCCTGCTCTTGCATGCTGCTGATGCATATGCTGAAGCGGGATGTAGAGCGACTCAAGACAACCCATTCTCCGCTCACCTCTCACCCCCTCTCTTAGGCGGATATACATCATCGCCCCGACGCCCCACGCTTGGTTCGTACCGTCTCTGCTGGCCCAGGACGGATGGAGCCAGTCACTTGCGGCTTGCATCGGCAATACCCGTCTCTTTACATACATGTTTCCATCTCCATGGCATATCATCACCGGCGTCCCTGGAGTTTCCCATCAGCATGGTCTGTACCACGAAGCGCGAAGGCATTCGCTTGCTCCTGTGGTCAGACTGGGAGTTCATATACCACCTCCTTCATGTGTCACTATCTTTGCTTGCCTCCAAGTTGTGTCCGCAGTCTTGTGGAAGACACTGCAGCTCGTTTGCTTTTTGTTTCATTTCGTTGTCTTCATCTTTTTCGCATACACGAGACATGTATGGTGGCTCATTCATACAATGATGCACATCACCACTCTGCTTTTAATCATGGTTATTTAGGACAGCGCACAGTTGGCATGATTCGGCGCTTTGAGTAGCGGCGTTAAGGGACTCGACGCTAGGGGTGCTGGAATCAAGACTGTTAGATGGTTTGGTGGTCGTCGGATGATGGCACCAGGGTTAGGACGGATACAGGGACTTGCACTCTTTCGCATATTGCTTTACTGCTCATGGGCTTTACTTGTTCAGCTTCAATGTTAGTTTCAATTTAATTCCCTCATTAAACCATCGTCCTATTAATCTGCGTCCTTGACTGAGTGCCTTGTTGGTTTGATGTCAGTGCGTCAAACCCGCGCACAACGCCCTCTTCGTCATGGTAGTAGGCAACCGCCCTATGACTTGACCAAGCCAGCCACCACAGCCTTGCAGCCACGTAACTTTAATCCCGCAGGTGAAAATGTCTTTTGCCTCTTTGCTTCTTCTCAGTCTATTCCTGTCCGGGTCACCGCCAAGGCAAAAGAAAAAGGCTCAGGACACATCAAGGACACTTTTACCATGTCTCTCCCTCCCTCCTCCATCCCAGGCTTAAGCCTAGTCAATATCTATCTGAGACGAGGCATCCCACGCCCCGCAGACTGTGGGCTTTTCCAACCAATCCCTCACCATGTTATGACTACTGCCTAACTAGCTCCACATCTCGTACTGCGGTCCTGGCGAAACCAAGCCAAGGAGTGCTAGTACATGCCACTGCCTAGTAGGCAATTGAGTGAGTGATTATATGGGAGGGAGGGGGGCCTGAGCACAGTGCGTTACCTACCTACCCACCCTTCTAGCTTGTGTGGCTAGCTAGCTAGGTCCTGGGAGGAAAGGAATGGAATGGGGGATTAGGGGTTCGGAGTGGCAAGTCGAGTATAGCACAGCACAGATCTGAAGGCGACGGACAGCGGGGGAAACGGGGTGCGCTAGTGGGCTTTGAGTAGTAGGGGTAGACGGGTAGCAGTTGGATGTTTGACACTACTGCTGTGTGTGTGTTGCTTCATCTCGACCTCGACCGCTAAATTTCTACGTCTTTAGCTACAGCTACTTCTTGCCCTCAAGATTAAGTTCATCACAATTGCTTCTCGCATGTCTTCACGTCTTCAACACCCGATACACGCGCAACCTCGCGTGCACCGCCGGTTCAACCGCAGATGATAACATCCATCCCTCAAACAAGAGGTCATGCACCTTCCACCAAACAAGGAAGTGACAGCTGCCGTGTACGCTGAGCAACTGGTTACCTGGTTGACTTGCATTGCGCGCCCGCCGTGCCTCCCTCCCTCCCTCTCCCCCCTCATGGAAGGGCAAGGATGTCTCACGCCGTGTTAATCTAGCATGTCAGTGAGAAGTGTTGCGGCATTCAAGGTCTCATGGGAAGAGTGGGTCTGTGTCTGGGTTCTTTGTTCTGCTGCTGTGATGCGTTGTGTTATGGAAGGGGGGCGGGTGGGGAAGCGCAACGCAAGTGCTAAACTATTAGTCTGCTGTTGTATGTATGTAGGAGTTGCTGCTATATGATAGTCACTATAGTCTTCCATCTCGCGAGACATGATCAGTGTTTGAATGCGGTATTACCTATCGCAGGGGTCTTAGAATCGGTCCTCTACAACCGCTCTCTCACTCTCTTTGATAAACCTACCTTGGTTGCGATAGCCGTTTGAGCTAGTATTAGCTTCGTCATACTACTTCCCGCTATGCAGGTGTCCGAGACATTGGCTCAACGAGACCGGGTTCCCCTCGCTGCGGTACCAAGTTTGCCATTAGGGTGGACTTCGAACACCACTGCAAAGCCAATTGGTATCGCCAAAACGGTACTGACATCTGCGGCGTACCACACTGCACCCGCATAGCCGATCAAAGAATCGATAATGATAACGAACTATCATAGTATGTACTGATATGCTCTAGAGGTGTCTTTTTGTCCGCCCGTTGAGATCCTGTTAGCATCACGGCCATAACTCCCCCGCCCAGACCCAGCAATTCCATCGCTAAACCCCATGATGGATGCTAGTGTTCTAGAAGTCTATCGCGCACTCTGGCCTCCCTCGCACGACCCCAGATCCTCACCACGCCCACTAGCAAAAGCATCTGCCACACACGTCACCCTGTACCGAACATCAGATGCCACCATCTGTTTCAAGCTCGTCGTGCACACTGAGCGCAAATGCCATAGCGCCATCGTCGAAGCTCGGACGTCCAAGGTTGAGGGGTCATCGGCAGTGTCAGCGAGCCGGCTGTGCGACGTTGCACTCACCCGTCTACAGATCGGCAAGAGGCTTTCTAGATCTGGTCCGCGGGGATGAAAGGTGTCTCATTCGGGGTGGACGTGGCCATATCGTAGAGCGCGACAGTGCGGTTGCTGCGCTCGTTTGGTTGACAGATGTGGAGCAATGTGGCTGTGGAGTGTTGGCATATTGCTGTTGAGTAGCATATATTGGTACTGCTATGGGTGTGTGAAAGTCCGTTGCAGAGTCATTGTGGCTCAAGCAGATGCTGTGTTACCTACACTGCCTCGGACGACCTGCTCTTGCGTGATCGGGTACAACAGCTTCGTCGTCTACAGCATCTGTCAAGCTGTCACTTCTGAATGTCTTGCCCTAGCTCCTATCTTGGATCATCCCTTTCGTCCATATGCCAGCCTCATCAGTTCCAATTCCTCGTCCAGCCCTTGTCTCGTCTCATGCTTCTAAGCGGGATGCAAGCCGTCGTGATGTAACCTGTCAAATCTGCAGCTCGCCAGGAAAGGGCCGGAGGTTGTTTCCGCAGATGACGATTATGTCGGCTGATAACAAGAGCGTGCCACGGAAGAGTAGGCATCGCAAGGTCAGTGTGCGCTCGGTTGTTCGGATGCTGCCGAACCGCTGACCAGGAGACAAAGTACCCCTCATTCCCAAGATACATCGGGGTACCTAGGATCCGCGAGGCTTATCTTGCGCTTGGGGTTGCGATGGCTGGGTTGAGGTTGCAGTCGCAGCACTAGAACTATCGCCATCGCTACCGAAGCCTAGATTTTTGAATGAGTCAGGGGCCATGAGGTTCCTAAACATCCAAAATGGTTAGCAAAGTCCTTATCGAAATTCTATTCTGGGTAGCGATGAGCCCCGTTCGCTTGGTGCCGAGGCGGTGTGACGAGATGGGTCGGGAGAACTGGTATTGTAGCGACTACCTCGGAGAACCGATGTGCGGAAAGGGCTGAAGCTATGCCGATTTGATAACTCAGACGTTTCAGAACTTGACAAGACCTCAGGAATGAGAGATGAAGCATCTCTCCCTTGCCTCTACTCTAAAGTATCCCGAATACCTGGTCCATATCACTCTGACAGGTCGGTATCACAAGGCTCTCCCTCCCTTGCTTGCGTGGATTGAGACGAATGATAGATGTCGGGGAGCGTGTGGCTGGGCAACAAAGACATTTGGTGTAAAGATTCGTGATGTACGTACCGATCCATCCGGCAGGTGAGGTATGATTTGGAGAGGTTGCGGCACTCAGGGTCGTTCGTCCCACGGTGGGATTTGATGCATCGTAGGTATGAGAGCATAATACTCTTACATTCGCCTGGAATGCAAGGTCAGTCATCAGTGCTGTGCGGCGGACACGGATTGGGGAAACGCTGATGGTAGGTAAATGGTATTGCGAACGAGAGTGGGTAAGGATACCGTCATGGTCAAGTGGAAAGGAACCGCGCTCGGGCCTATTGACAGTCATAATTAGCAAATGAACTTTACAGTTGAATCAAATTGTGTGAAATCGGGTTATGGTTGCGACGCGTGTTGCTGAAGATTTGGGGTGTATCTTACGGATTCGGCTTGTAAACTTTCTGTCCCAGTCCTGCTCCTCCGAAGTTGCTCATTGCGCTTTGAGGTGCTCACAAAAGGTAGTGCACAAAGATTCGGGAGTCCGTCAAGGCGTGCTGAGGTACAATGGTCGGTGGTAGAGCTGGTGATGCGTTTCTGGTGGAGTGATGAAGTTGGGGTGATGTAAGTTGGCCTGTGCGCTATAGTTTTCCCCATCATCCCTGCCGTTTCGGGATGACGTGCATTGTGCATCTCCATCGCAGGCTCAACATCAATACGCAGAAGACAAGCACATAACGCACTTGAACCAATTAGCCGCCAAACAACAGCATGAAGAATACACCTCTCGAAATTCTCTAAATCGGCAACCTCGTGTGCAGCAAGATCTGAAAACCTTCCAAAATAACAAACAACTATACAAGTCACTAGGATTAGAAGTCGCGCATATGGAACGCCAAAGGATCTTGATATGTCCTCCCCGATATGAACAGCCAGAAGCCATCGGCCCAAGTAGGTAACACGCTGTCGCAGCCACATTGAGCTCGGCAACTTACCAACCTGGGCGGCATTAATCTAATGTGATCGCTGTACGGACTTGGCCTTAAACTATCAAGCTATTATAACCTCAGAGGGAAGTGTGGGTGACTAAGGACATTTACTCTACCTAAGGTCAGCCCTCTACAGCCGCGCCGTCACAGTACTGGCATGGATTATCTTTCGTCCCTTTCACTCTTGCGTGCACTGGGAGCTGCGACAGACTCAGCCATTCACTTTCTATCCAGAAGCAGCTCGCCCCCTTTAATGGCCAATCCATGCTTTTTGCTCCCACCAAAATAAACATCCCACTTTCCACCATGCCACACTCAACCTCACTTACGCCACGATCTAATTCTGGCTCCACACCAAGCGTAGATACCGCGCAAAGCTGTTCACTTGAAGCGTTCACCAAGCTCGCAGCATTCATTAGCGGGGCTCCATGGACAACCTTATCAGCAATCATGAGTGCTGGATCGGAGGACCAGCTCAAAGAGACTCTGGCGAGCGTTGACCTTTCAGACCCACAAATTCAACCCAGCACATCCGTCACCACAACATGTCAACTTATTCACAAGTGGCTAGAAAGATACGGCCAACGTTCAGCAGCTAGCAGGGACCTCATCCCGTTATCTCTGCTTCTTCTCCTCAAATTTGGAGTCCAGAATGGCGCCACAGGTGCACTGCTGAAGTGCAACGATAGCGTTCGGCTTGTCGTTGCTTTGAAGATCGCGTTTGGGAATACCTCCGATAGCTGGATGACGCTGAAGCCTTGGGAGAAACAGACTGGTGTTTTAGCCGAGCTTATCACGAAAGCTGAACCCTTATTCCTAGGGGTATTAGACTGGGGGACATGGGTGCAAAACGACGAGTTCACTGACTTCGTGGCGAGGTTGGACATGCTTTGGGCTATAGTATTCAATAAATACGAATCGTAGGAGACACGTGAACCAGAACCATTGTGCAGATGTGGAAATAAGGCATTCGTGTGTGAAGACTTAGCCTTGAGCTAAGGGTGACATTCAATCTAGCTATACATTGTTGTCGCCGTGTTCTGTTGGAATTCGTTAGTTGTTTCATCATTTTCATTCTATTACTCTACGATGCCTTGTTAGCTCACAATGTACGATTCTCCTCACATAACCGAGATTTCTATCTTTCACATTGTTCACTCCCGCCTCAATATAAACTCTCCTGCTCTCCTCCAACCTCACTATCTGTGTGCACCTCCTATACTGACGATCTCCGCCTCAACTCATACACAGCACCCTGGCTAACATGTCTCCGCGAGCAAAACTCACCATTCTCACGACTAATAAAGCCACTGCCAAGCCGCCTCAGCCCTACACAGCAGCCTTTCTCGCCCGCCTCAGCACATTCATCCTGCACGCCCCGCTTGACATTGTGAGCTCCATCTTCACATTGTCTTCGAAGTGTGATGGTGAGCCCCTGAGAATCGATCCGAACTGCATGGCATTACAACCTGATACACTAACGTCAGCAACCTGTCAACGCCTCCTCCGCATGCTAAACTTGCCTGTTGCCCACGCGAGTCCTTCTACCATCCCCTTAGCTCTTCATCTGTTGTTTCGCTTCCGCCTTGCTTCCCATGGTGAAGATGCAAGTGACGCTTCGAGTGATGGTATGGGTGACGGTGTGCTCGTTGCTGTCTCCATCTACATTGCGTACAAGTGGCTCATGGATGGTGGTGAAGAAAACACAAAGCGCTGGACGGAGGCACTGGGAATGAACAACGAGTATTTTGTCTATACAGAGATACAGCTCTTGGGTAGAATTGAGTATCGGGTCTGGGTACAAGATGAGGAGTATGTAGGGTTCAAAGGAAAAGCAGAGGAGCTGTGGGAGGGGGTATTCAAGAAGGCGGCACGGCCGACTGTTCCACCTTCTTTGAGAACTAAGGCTAGATTGTTAGCGGCGGCGGCAGAAGCTGCTGCTGTTGCTGCAGCAGCAAAGCTCAGGGCTTTGCCCCTGTAGGCCAATTCAAGGTGCTTTCCCGGTGCCTTGAGTGCCCAAGGACCAAGGAGAATTCATATCACGAACACTGTTCGCTGTATAATATGAAAGCGAATAGAGACATATGCTTGTGTGACCGATACTAGTCAAAACCTACAGATATCAAAAATCTAGTTGTGCGCATGAAGAATATCGTACCTGTCATGCCCCGGAATATAGGTCTTAAAACCCTACCCAAGCAGTAAAGATTAGTGAACATACCCCCATCAAGCAAAATTGAGATTAGAACTGCGTCATAGTTGTCGATGAATTGTCATGCTGGCAGCCCTCGGAAGTGCATGTCAATGTGGAGTGAAGGAGCCAGCTCTTTCGAGCTAGATTCTCCGCGTCCTCCGCAGCTCGCTTCTTTCCCCGCCATGAGCTGCACCTGCCCCATCCATCCCTCTTCCACCCAATTGGAATGGCCGTGCCACTACCACCGGCGTCCAACCTCCACGCCATCCTCCTCGTCACCAAATCGCGTTCTCTTGGCCCTCGACTCGTGTTCCATTATCCGCCGCTGTCGCCGTCGGCAGCCGCCCTTGCTGCGGCCAAGGATCCAGCCTGGTTCCGCAATGAAACATCAACGGCAAGCGTCGACTCGCGCAGCTCAGACAGCGAGTGGGACAGCAGCACAGATAGCGACGACGAATATGATATCGAATTGGGCAGTCGCACGAGCGGTGGCCGCGGATCGGGCAGGACATTGACAGGCTCAAACTACCGTGAGCGCGACAGATTGAAGCTTGGCACGGGAGCATGGGGCAAGCAAGAGACGATTGATGAGGAGGATGTTGATAATGATAATGGCGAAGAGCATCGTGTTCATGGACGGAAAGCAGGCGACCATGATTGGGAAACTGTACTTGGCTTCAAGACCGATGCACTAGAGAAGATGCTGAGCCCAAGCAAAGAGTTTAATAAGCGGAGGTTCGAGCTAGGTGTTGAGAGCATTGTTTTTGTTGGTGCGCCCATGTTTGTAAGAGACGACGGCTTGTGGAAGAAGCTCAAGCGAAAGAAGAAGAAACGGTCAGAGAAAGAGAAGCTTGAAGACGGTGATCTGGTGAAGAACCTGACCAGCTCAGAGGACGAGGATGCTAATTCACCCAAAGATCCTGTAAAGCCTGCCCCAGAACCTTTCATTTACCCTGCAGGGTTTGAGCCGGGCTATGGTCATGGGTCAATGTCCGGCGCAGCATCTGAAGCCGGTTCAGACACGCGCAGCAACTCGACCACCCAGGACAACAATCCAGACATGACCATGTTCAACGTCGTGTTTGTACTGAATCCACCTGTGCTGGAGTACCAGCAGCGCGTCAAAGAAATGTACGACAACGTCACGCGCAAATACGCCAAAGCGCTCAAGTACGAGGAAGCACGCCTCCAATACGTTTGGAAAGAGTCGAAACGCATCATTGATATCAAGCAGCGCGCGAAGGAAACCAATGAGTCCCTCACTGCGACCTGGCGCAAGATTGTTAGCACATCGCCGCTCGCCAAGTCCATCGCCATCATGTTCGATGCCATCTCTCATGACAAGATAGCGCACATCCACTTCGATGCCACTTTCAACACCTCTTTTCAGATACCACAAGCCGACTCGACGCCATATCTGCCCAACTCGTTGGAACCGCAGATGCCTGGCCTCTGGCTCACGACTTCAAACGTGGTGCTAGAGGATGACGAGGCACCCATGACACAGCACGCAACATTGCTACTACTCGAGGATACAGAAACCTTGATCAAGGACCTTGGCGGCGAGTCAACTGGTAATGCTGCAGCCATTGCGTTCTACATACGTAACATCATTCCTACCAAATCACTTTTGAAGATATCAAAACGACACAATATTCTAGCACAGGATATGGAATATATAGCGAGCCACCTGGTGTACTGGCGCCGCGCACGCCTCATCGCTCCGCTATCGCCACGAGACACTTATATCGTCAGCCCGAACGCAGACATGACCGTTCTACCTGCCGCCATCACAGTCTACGCTCAGCGCTTTCCAACCCTTCCCACGTTGCCAAAAGTGCTCAGTATGCTGTCCGGCACACCTCGACCATTCAGGAATTTCATACCTACTGCTGAGCACCGTGAAGCGTACATGGAGATTTTGGCGTGGCTCATGCGTGGAGGGTGGGTAACACAGTTACGAACATTTGCATGGGTGCGTGTTACGCCGGAGATCAAAGCACAAGTTGCTGCGGATATGGAGTCGGAAGAACGTATCAAGAAAGCAGAGGAAGCAAGGAAGGAATTACTAAGCGACAACGACTCGGCCGCTGAGATCATGATCCCGAACAAGCGCAATAGTTTACTATCCTTGGCTTCGGCGAGATCTACGACGCCGCTCCGACGCTCACGCAGAGATAAAGATATGAGCGCCGACGGGCAAGAAGACATGGAAAGCAGTAGGATCCTGAGCCCCAGACTCACAGCCTCTGCAGCAGTGAACTATCGCGGAATCCCAGCTCGACCTGGATCCGACACAGGAAGCGCCAGCAGCCAGCTTACAGCCATTGCGCTGAATTCGTCACAAAGACCTGAGTCGCCATTGCATCTTGGACTCAGAGACGCGAAGCCACATCGCTCTTCGCCACTCCATGTGAAGCACACATCCCCATCTCGCGAGTCAGTAGTTTCTTCCACCTCACCAGCAGACACACCTCCGCCTCCCAATCCTAAAGACTTCACACACTCTACTGTTCTTTCTCCCCAAAAGGCATCGTCTCTAGAAGCGCGGTGGCTCGAGAAGATTGGAGAAACTTTCGAAGACACCAACATCATCGCTACAAATCCTAGCCCGCCGAAGCACGGCGATGGTGGATTAGGGGTTACGGGCAAAGAGTTGAGAGAGAGCTGGTTAATGCTTTTGAGACATCTGGACGGCAAGCATGCGATTGAGGATGTATCCTCTAGAGAAGGTATAAAGAGGAAGAGAGTTGCTGTACTATTCAATGCAGTGAGAGAAAGGGGATGGCTAGTTATTACGAGGCACTGGTAGAGGCTAGTCTCGCCTACAGAGGAAAGAGATATTTGGGAAATGTTGAGGTTGGAGGTGCTACTTCGCCTACGCTTTTGCATTGCGCGTGCACTATTTTAATACCCAACTGAGGTTGAGGCGACTTGTTGTTCTAGGCGGCTTTGGTTCTCAATATCTCGCGAGTCGGTGTGGTGGTTAGTTTCACAACGTTATTTATCACATCGGCGGTGACAGTCTATGGATACGTAGAATGTTACTAATTAATAATGAAGGAGGTTTCGTACTTTATGGATATTTCCTAGGACTCTTAAATGTTTTTCTTCATCTGCCTCTCTTATACACCTTGAAGACGCAACGCCTACCCCAAAAACCATAGCACGACCTAACCCTAAATCTCCATCCCTATTAGCAAACGAAAACACCGGCAAAGGCATATGTTTTCTTGGCTGAGATAGCATTGTCTTCATCGCAAGAACATCAACATTCATGCCCCAGGCCCCGCCCCCGCCACGCACTCACGTGATGCTGTGTTGACAGGAGTGTTTTCACCAGCAAACCCCACCACCACCATCAGTTGGGTGTGATGGTATGCGTCCGTTCGTCGGCGGCAGCCTGTACGGGAATGCGACCGTCCTGTGCAGGCACCCGAGGCCCAGCGCGATTGGATCTTGGAAGAAACCTGAAACACGGGCAAGAATGTCCATGACGGAAGCGTCCAAACATGCAGCGGCTGGTTGGCCCACGACCCACGGCCATCGGTCAAGAAGAACACAGGCTCAGCTCATCTCCAGGCCTACCACGGCTGTAACCATGGTCTTTTGTAGAACCGCGCCCTGTCTTTTCCATCCCTACCACCGTCGTCTCCTCTAGTCCGCCTTAGACCCTCCGACTCTGCGACCATGTTGTCGTCGGCTGCGCACCGCTTGTTGCTCGCGCAGCTCTTCGCTTTAGCTGCTGCGGCACACCGAGATTGGTGGCTGCAGGGACTCCCCAGTTGCTGGCAGAGCTGTCTGAGCAGTACAGACCAAGGCTGCAGTTCGACCAAGTGTGAGTCGCAGCCCCAAACACCCAACGCTGACCGAGAGCGACGCTGACGAGCCGCACCCAGGCATCTGCAAGACAACCGACAACAGCGCTTCATACCTCCCCGATGCCGTCTCGTGCGCCGTGTCCCAGTGTGACGCAGACGAATGGGCCCTCGACCTGGTCCTCGGGCCCCTCCAGCTCTACTGCACCGCAATAGACTGTCCCATACCTGACCAGGTCATGGAGAGCGCGTCCGCAGCGGCTACCGAGACCAGGGAGCCAACCCAGACGACACCCAAAGCCCAAACTTCAACCAAGACGAAGAAAAGCACACATCAGACTACGAACCGAAGCGACAAAGGGCAAGACTTGACGAGCACAGTCAAAACAACAATTACAAGGACCACGACGGATGGCGACGGGAACACACTTCAAGTGATTGTGCCTATCGTTATGGGCCCAACAGGCATCAGCACGGGCAAGATGGTTACCTCTACTGTCGAAGGCCGGGCGAGCTCAACCAGAGCGCCTTCCTCAACACCAGCATCACCCAGCCCTACTACTGCTCAAGCTCCCAGTGTTGCATCTTCTTCGTCAGCACAAAGTTCGAGAGAAACGGAGCGTCCAGCGGGTGGGAACGGCAGCCCGTTCGAAAACATGCAGGCTGGAGCAGGCACATGGTCCGTCTCTGGACCACTCCTTGGCTTGGGAGCTCTTGCCGTACTGTTCGCGAGACTGTGATGGTTGGGATTACCAGCGAAGAGGTACATAATGATGACTTTAGTAATGGTACATATGATGCAAATGAGGGACGATACCAAGGTTTACACGTTGGCTATACTATAGCCGTAATGCGACTACTTCACAATACTAGCTCTCATCGCTGCATGTGAAGAGATGGCATTCCGAGCGACGCTTGTCAATCTGGCTTACTAGCTACTTCGGTCATCTCACGATCGTCTTTATCCTTGTTATTTTCGCCATATAGTCTAGCAGGACGTGGTGCATTAAGCAGTACAACGTGCCCAGTCGCATAGATGATGGATCCAAACAGCCCTGGCCAGTCACAACGCGCACGTTGCCAAGCCTCGTTGATCTCCGAAGGTGGTTCAGCAGGACCTCCCACAGCACAGCTCACTTCTAGTTTCTAGTTGCCCTCTCGCAAGCTGCACCCTTTTGAACATTGGCAACCTCTATTCGATCGGAGCTTTGCGAGGTCCAAATACTACTGTCGCACCCCCTGCCTCGGCCGACGAAACGACCCTCCGACCAGGTGGGGAGCCTCGGACGGCTACCTTACCCAAAGCAGAGTCAACAAATCAACGTTTGGAGAATTGGCTTCAAGCACCGAGGCATCTTTCTTACGAGCCTCAACGAGCCTCAGGTGGCCCCAGCGCATCAAGGAAGCTTCGTTCGGAGCACGCGAAACGGGGTTTGCTCGAGTTTCGGTGCGTCATTTAGTTGACGTGTCTTATCCGAGAGAAATTAGCAAAATGCTGATATGATATAGGTCGACGTCGTTGCCCTTAAGAGATTTACCTAGTCAATCGATACCTTCAACCACTTTGCTGATTCGTTCTTGTGCAATTTTTTCACTGGTTTTTCTTGGTTTATTACAAGCGACATGGAACTCGAAACGATACCCGGCCCTCCTGGCCTACCCATTGTAGGCAACATTGCAGACATTGATGCGCAGAACACAATTCTATCTCTCTGCAACTTGACATCAAAATATGGTAGGTGTCTCCTTCCACATCACGGGGAACAAAGATGGATCGCGAATCTCTTCAGAAAGCAGACGGCTGACCAATCCAGGACCACTATGGAAGTTCTATATCGGCAGCGCGGAGCGGATCGTGATCGGGTCACAAGCCCTGATGGACGAAGTGTGTGATGAAGAACGCTTCTCCAAGATCATAGCAGCCTCGCTCGGCCAAGTTCGGAACGGAGTCCATGATGGACTTTTCACGGCGACAGGGCCGCAAGAAAAGAACTGGGGCATTGCGCATCGTGTTCTTCTCCCCCAACTTGGCCCATTGGCCATTCGTAACATGTTCAGCGAGATGCACGATATCGCCTCCCAGCTTGTCATGAAGTGGGCAAGACATGGACCTAATCACACTATACAGGTCGTAGATGACTTCACGCGCTTGACGCTGGATACAATTGCACTGTGTGCCATGGATTACCGCTTCAATTCGTATTACACCCAGCGCATGCATCCATTCGTAGACGCAATGGCCGATTTCCTGAAGGTCAGTGGTGATCGAGCGAGGAGGGACGCAATCACACAGATGTTCTACCGTGCCGAATCACAAAAGTACTGGGATGACATCGAGTTATTGCGGAAAACGAGTCAGGATGTCATCAAGACAAGAAGAGAAAACCCCACCGAGAAGAAAGATCTGCTGAATGGCATGTTGAATGGAGTTGATCCAAAGACGGGTGAGAAGATGACTGTAAGTCCCATTTGCCCGCGATTCTACAACTCTCATGTTGACTTCAACAGGACGAAAGTGTGATTGACAATATGATCACATTTCTCATCGCTGGCCACGAAACGACTTCAGGTCTTTTATCATTCACCTTTTATTACCTTCTCAAGAACGCGTCTGCGTACAACACTGCACAGCAGGAGGTGGATGACGTGATTGGGAAGAGTCCTATCACTGTCGACCATCTCTCGAAACTTCCGTATTTGAACGCAGTGCTTCGTGAGAGCCTCCGTCTTTCGCCAACTGCGCCATCAATAGGCTTCACCGCGAACGAAGACACCGTCATGGGCGGAAAGTTTGCTGTTAAAGCTGGTACCCCTATCATCGCAGTCTTCCCAATGGTTCATCGTGATCCAATCGCATACGGCGAAGATGCAGAAGAGTTCCGACCGGAGCGTATGCTCGATGACGAGTTTGAGCGCCGGAACAAAGAGTTCCCGAACTGCTGGAAGCCTTTTGGTAACGGCATGCGAGCCTGTATTGGTAGACCGTTCGCGTGGCAAGAGGCGCTGCTCGTACTGGCTATGCTCTTGCAAAACTTCAACTTTACCATGGAGGACTCGTCGTATCAGCTGCAAATCAAGCAAACGCTCACCATCAAGCCGAAGGGCTTCTATATGCGCGCACACCTACGGAACCACGTCTCCGCTACAAGCCTTGAGCGAGCGCTGTCTTCCGCCACGATCACCGACCCGCCTCCGGCTAAGGGCACTCTGGGAGGTAGGAAAGCGAGGACAGTAACAGGCAAACCTATGGCCATCTACTACGGTTCAAATACTGGCACTTGCGAAGCCCTCGCAAACCGACTCGCCAGTGATGCTGCGAACCATGGCTTCAGGGCTGATGTCGTGGATACCTTAGACTCTGCACGAGAGAATCTGCCAACAGATAAGCCGATTGTCATCATCACAGCTTCTTACGAAGGGCAGCCTGCTGATAACGCGGCGCATTTTGTCAACTGGGTAAAGATCCTAACATACAAACTTCATAAGATACTCTGACTGACTTCGCCTTGTAGGTTGGTGCTCTCAAGGAGACAGAGCTGGACAATGTGTCTTACTCGGTATTCGGCTGCGGCCACCGTGACTGGGCCAAGACTTTCCACAAAGTACCAAAGTACCTCAACAGCACATTGGAGAGCCGCGGCGCTACGAGGTTAGTGGAGATGGGCTCTACTGATGCAGCGCAGGGTGACATCTTCACTGATTTCGAGACGTGGGAAGACAAGGTCTTCTGGCCCGCCATGCGGGAGAAGTACGGGTCGGCTGAGGCCGATGGTGATTCCCTTGAGACGACTCTCGACGTTGAAGTTTCATCACCGCGATCATCAACGCTGCGTCAAGATGTTCAAGAGGCTCGGGTTGAGGAAGTCGAAGTTCTCTCGGGTTCCGGCGTGGCGGAAAAGAGGCACATCGAGATCAGTCTTCCATCAGACATGACATACTCTGCTGGCGACTACCTCGCCATTCTTCCCCTTAACCCGAAAGAGAACATTCATCGCGCAATGAGATACTTTGGTCTGTCATGGGATAGCTCGCTCACCATATCCTCCGCCGGACCCACGACACTTCCCACAGATACACCCATCAGCGCCATGGATGTTCTTGGTGCTTATGTCGAGCTTGCCCAACCGGCGAGCAAGCGCAATCTTCTCGCTCTTCTGGAGGCAACGAGCGACGACGGCACTAAGAAGGAACTCGCACGCCTTGGCGACGAAGCCTTCACCGAAGAAATTACCACGAAACGTGTCTCTATCCTCGACCTCCTCGAGCGCTTTCCTTCCGTTCAGCTGCCACTCGGCGTCTTCCTTAAGATGCAGCCGCCCATGCGCGTCCGACAGTACAGTATTTCCTCGTCGCCGCTCTGGAATTCAAACAATGTCACCCTCACATACGCAGTCGTCGACCAACCTGCCTTGAGCGGGCAAGGCCGATATGTCGGCGTTGCGACTAATTATCTATCCAATCTCACACAAGGGGATAAGTTGCATGTCAGTGTGCGTGCGTCGCATCAAGCGTTCCATTTGCCAAAGGACGCGAAGAAAGTGCCGGTGATTATGATTGCTGCAGGAACTGGTAAGTCTAGTTTTATCCATCACATGCAAAATAACAGGAAGAGATTCGTCGTATTAACTTGACGATGCAGGTCTCGCCCCCTTCCGCGGCTTCATTCAAGAGCGCGCCGCCCAGCTCGCAGCTGGTCGTACCCTCGCACCGGCCATCCTCTTCTACGGCTGCCACGGGCCAGACAGCGACCTACTCTATCCCGACCTGCTCAAACGCTGGGAACAACTCGGCGCCGTATCTCTTCGCTACGCCTTTTCCCGCGCAGCAGAACAGTCCGAAGGCTGCAAGCACGTTCAAGACCGCCTTTACCACGACCGCGCCGACATCGTGGAGCAGTTCGAAGCTGGCGCCAAGTTATTTGTTTGCGGCAGTCGAGGCGTGGGCGAAAATGTGCAGGAGGTTTTGATTAAAATTGCCAAGGAGCGGGCGAGGGAAGTGCAGGGTAGGGAGGTGGATGATGCGAAGGCCAGGGAATGGTTTGAAGGGTTGCGGAATGAGAGGTATGTTGGAAACGATACGCATATTGAAAGATGCGATGAGCTAACGAAGATAGGTTTGCGACGGATGTGTTTGCATAAAGCATTATGAAGCAAGGACAGGATTAAGCCGCAACGGGACAATGCTCTTTTAGTCCTTCATCGACGCGGATTAAAACTGTTTTTGGTCAATGTTTTACTCGCATTCTTTGCCAGGCTCTAAATTGGGTGTTGCTACAGCACCTTGAACAATGGACCTGCGGCGCATACTGATAGTAGCAATGATATTCAAGAGGCATTTCAACTGTTTGCATTTTCACCTTTCCCTCATTCCTGCCGTTACTCGCTTCACGATGAGGTCTTTCAATTCACTGTTCACGTGAAATCCCTACTCACCCGGTCTGCGGAGACAATGAGGCTTGAATGTCGTGGAGATGATGCTGACTAATCATATGTCCTGTGGTGTAGGGTTGAGAGGAGTGTATACATGGGGGTAGGCGAGGCTATCTATCGTTTATGGCCTATAAGGCTAAGCGCATAGTGATGTCAATGTTAACAGAGAATCCGTGGCTTGCTGGCCTAATAGTAGCTGCGCGTCGACCTTGGGAGGTTGTTCATTGTTCCGCGCGTTAGGCTATCCATATCATTACTATGCGATCAACAACCAGCGAAGGCGAATTGCAAGTAGAACCCAAGTCGTTGAAGTTCAAGGAAATCCTGCGAGGTTTTAGATGGATCAGATAGGCAGATTGAACAGCGACATAATCACAAATCACAAATCACGCATTGCCTTGAAGCCTCAGTTGATTGATTGCGCAATAGTCTGTAATTCATCTTCATGTCATGTAAACTAGACTTTTTTTTTTCTCATGTGGAGTACTTCGTCGATTTAACATTAACCACATGTTCATCAACCCCCTTGTAATTCAGCGAATACAACAAAATCAACAATCCCTCCGCAAATTACCCAAATGTTCCTGAATAGTAATGAAAAAAAGAGACATAACCATCAACACTTAGCAACTTCCCACGTTACCACCCTTTTTAATATGTTCCAGACCTAGAGCAGTTACCGAAGCCCTTGTCACATCCAGTGCTGCACGACCAGGGATCAGTGGAGCATCGACCGCTCTGCTTGCAGCAGCACTCGATCGACTCGCCAAAGGGGTTCTTGTACCCGGCACAGGTTTGGCCGCCGTTGGCAGCTCCGCACTTGCCGTCCGTGCTGACCCTGGGAAGAGGTGTAGGTGCAGCAGTCGAGGTCTCACAAGGGGTGGAGCTGGGCTTTACAACGGTGGAGAAAGAGCTCGTGGCGTAGACTGGAATGGTATTGGAGCTCGAGGATGAAGTGGCGCTGGGCGTGGCGGCTGAGGAAGACAGGCTCGCGGAGGAGACTGCAATAGAGCTAGAGGTCGTATCCAGAGTGGAGCTAGGCTTCTCAGCAGAGGGGGTTGAGCTTGCAGAGTAGACTGAGAAGGAGCTGACGGTTGTGCCTGAAGTGGAGCTGGGCGTTACAGCGCTGTAGGAAGAGCTCGCGGGGTCGCTAGCTGAGCTACCGCTGGGGGAAACGGTGGAGGAGCCAGAGCTGAAGCCAGAGGGAGAAACAGTAGAAGTGCCCGATGGGTCAACGGTAGAGCTGACTGTTGGGTAAGCGACATCGGGGCCAGTCGGATAGCCGTCCTTGGTAACAGATACAGTGGTCGAGGCAGAGTAATCCCCAGTGGACGAAGCGTGGCTGGTAGAAGCGGAAGTAGATGAAACGACCGCGGAAGAGGAGACACTTGACGAAGGAGCAACAGAAGAGGTGGAGTCCTGCTTGCTGGAGACCGAGGAGACCGAAGCGGACGAGACCGAAGCCGAAGAAGAGGCCGAAGCCGATGAGGAGCCGGAGGCTGATGAGGAGATGGAAGCTGACGAGGATACGGAGGCCGATGGGGATACGGAGGCCGACGAAGAGACGGAAGCCGACGACGAGACAGAGGCCGATGAAGAGACAGAAGGGCACTTGCCGTAGACAGGGTTGCAGTCAGGACCGCAGTGGCCGGCGGACGAGCCGCACCATCCGTACGCAGAACAGCACTCAGAAAGCACACCTTCGATGGTCTGAAAGCCAACACAAGTGTAGCCCTTCTCACCACCGCAAGTTCCATCACGGGACGGTTCGCCGGAAGTGCTGGGGGTGGCAGACGGAGCAGTGGAGACGGAGCTGGCACTGGAGCTGACAACTACTGAAGAGCTAGAAACGATGGTGGAGCTCGAGATGACTGAAGACGAGGCGATCGAAGAGCTGGTACCGACTGAGGAGGAAACGGTAACACTGCTGGAGCTGGCTGAGGCTGAAGACGAGGCGCTCGAAGAGCTGGTGCCGACTGAGGAGGAAACAGTAACACTGCTGGAGCTGGTTGTGGCCGAAGTCGAAACGCTATCCACGATGACGCTGGAATGAATACCAGAAGGACCACAATTTCCAAAGCCGGCCTGGCATCCAGTCTCACAATGGCCTGGGGTATTTCCGCAAAAGCCGTACTGAGAGCAGCACTCGCTGGGGAATCCCTCGTTAACGAAACCAATGCAAGATTGGCTATTGCCGGTAGCACCGCAGCTGCCGTCAGTTGACGTAGGGCCAGTAGGAGTAGGAACAGGACCAGTGGAGGTAGCAGAGACAGAGGCTGAGGGAGTAGGAGAAGCGCTGGGCTGGGTTCCACACTTTCCGAAGCCCGCCTGGCATCCAGTTTGGCAATGACCCTCAGTGTTTCCGCAGAACCCGTACTGGGAGCAGCACTCACTCAGCAATCCCCCGTTAACGAAGCCAATGCAAGATTGGCCATTTCCGGAAACGCCACAGGCACCGTCAGTCGAGGTAGGACCAGTAGGGGTGGCAGTGGGGCCAGTGGAAGTTTGGGTGGAGCTAGTGCTAGGAGGAGCAGGCGTGGAGTCACGGTACCAGTTGGCCTTGGGGTCGTTCAAGCACTCGCCCATGGTGACAGCGGTAAGACCCTGGGAGTAGAGGTAGTCGAGCATGTAGGAAGTGAGGTTCGTAGCGCTCAGCTCGTGGATATCGTGAGCAATGGCAAGCCTGTCACCGTCATAGGGTTCCACGTTGCGGCTATCGATGCCCTTTTTGAAGTTATCCTTTGCGACTTGGATCGTTTCCGTAGTGAGCTGGTTGTAGTCTGTCTATTATTAGCGAATGTGTAGTTGAATGAGTGGCTTTGAGAATCGCACCATCGGTATCCAAGTCGAAGTACGAGACGACATAACCAAGTTGCTCGAGAATGCCCGGGCAAAGTCCAGTGCAAGAAGAGTAGGGTGGGCGCATGTAGGTAGGGTATTTGCCGATGATGTTACGGATGGCCATCTCGTTCTTGATCATCTGGTCGTACACTTGCTCCTGGGTAATCTTGCTTAGATCCTGGTGAGACCATGTGTGAGAGGCGACTTGATGACCTTCGTTGTACATTTTCTGGATGACGCCCGACCAGTTCTCATCGATCGCACCCTTTCCAATGTTGTTGCCGGTAATGAAGAACGTTGCCTTGGCATTCTTGGTCTTGAGGAGGTCGAGCAGGCCATCGGTGTAGAGGTATGGTCCATCATCGTAAGTAAGGGCAACGGTGCCGGGCTTTTCGCAGACATAGATACCACCGCCACCATATGGAATGCTCCCAAGCTGGGGGCGAAGGTCGTTGCGAGTGGACGTTCCAGCAGGTGTCTTGTTCGCATCACAAGCCGGGCCAAAGTCAAGCAAACAGTCAGGGGCCTGGCAGTGCAACTTTGAGGTACCACAATATCCCTTGAATCAATCAGTATATGGCGTTGCATAAGATCTGAGTCTTATACATACGGCACCGGAGCAGCATTCGTTCGCAGCGCAAACTTGATTTCCACCCTCGGGACCACAACGACCGTCGGTGCTGTCACGAGCATGGAGACCCCTGTAAGGCTGTGCATCACGAGGAGCCTCGTGAGTAGCGAAAGGGTTCCTAGCCCTCATATGCTTCGGTAGGCCGAAGACTTTCGGGGCTCCTTCAAGACCTCCATGAGCAGCGACGAGCGGTGCCACCAACGAGGCGGCGATGAAGTCCGAGAAACGCATATCTAGTGGAAACTGTAATGTAGGAGTATTAAATTCTTTGGTTTTAGAAACGACGATAAGGTTGATAGGTAGCGAATGTGTCGACAATGTCGATTAGAATTAAGGTGTAATACGAATAAACGAATGACGATCGCAGCGAACGTACGAAGACGAGCAAGACAAAGGAAGATCTAGAGAGAGGAAGGTAGGCGCTAATACTTATACCGACAATGCCAGCTTAGGGTGAGACGTGGCGCACCTGGGGGGAGGAATGGTCCCCGCTAACTCAGAGCAGTCATCACAATATACTCAGAGCCGAGAGCGCTAGTCTCGAGAAACTTCCTGGAATACGAGGAGATACTAGAAGCAGTACATGGCTTAGTGGGATCTGGAGTCTACAGTCAGTCGTTCAGACACAATATAGACCCTCTTGCCTTTTCTTTGTCTGATATCTGTGACTAGATGACCCCAACAAACAACAAAGACCTGAAGCTCCAACAATGCATGGGGATGTTATTCCATGACTGGCCAGGAAGGCGAACAGGGCTGATCCCGCTCTGGGTTAATGCTCGCGCGGACTAAAAATATGAGCCGAGACTTGGGGTCCTGACAAGGCATCCTCGCGTAGAGGAACTCGGGACAAAGACAGGACGATCGCCGCGGCCAAGTCGAAACAAAGCAGCCACAAATCAGGGGTGTATCTAGCTAGGGCTGAGGAAGGGGGAGGACAACAGGGATAGAGCGGGCTGGAGAGCGGCAGATAGTCGGCCCCAACGTCGAAAGGAGAAGCGCACTGTTGTTCTGGGCTCTTCGGCCAGGGCCGTTCGCGATACAGTGCCGTTTGTTTCCGATTTGCACATACATGCTATGATTAGTATACTAGTCCCGAAATCCGTGTCTCTTACTTGATGTTGACGTCCTGTCAGACGTTTTTGCGGCACATCGCTTCGCACCCCCAGATTCGCAACCCAATAATTCGCATTTGCCAATCATGACTCGCAACGTCACATCACACAGCGCGTGCAGAACACGAGGGCTGTAATGCGGGATTCCTGGCCGGATGAACATTGCTCGTTCCGTAAAAAGGACATTCGATAATAGGTGCAGCATCAAACATCGGCATCGGTTCAAGTATCTTCCACCGACGATGATTTGTTGCTAAAAACCCCTAATGGCCTTCATTTCCACATGTGGCGCTTGGCACCGAGTGCCAAGTTCAGGCGGAAGCGTGGCTTACCCTCCGATGTTCAGCCCATGTCATCCAATACTAAGTCGGGGGCGGCGCATGTTCCAAAATAAAAACGTTGAGGTTGCAGTTCGTACTGTTGCTCCGTGAAGATTGCAAAGCACCTTGAACAAAGTCATCGATGAATTGTGACTAGAGCACAAACCAAGCACCGGAACCACGGCGGATCGTGTCTTTAAGATAGTGACATGGAGTTGGATAGCTGCATGTTCTTCGTGCTATTGAAATATGGTCGCTAGAGACTGGGCGCACCACTCAACAACCTGGATGACGTGAAAACTGTGATAGCTAATAGAAAGTGGGTATCATTAAGTGTGTGGTTACATCGCTAAAAGGAACTGATAGGTACGTCATAACTGTTGTATCGCTCTTGCTAGGTCCATGAACGTTCCGTCCCACTATTTCTTTAATATTCGCAGTAGAGGTGTGATCCTCGCTCTTTTGCTCAGCCCTACCCGGTGTGGTACCTTGCCCTTGTTGTTTGGTGAATGGCTCACAAGTTCTGTTGATCTTTCTGGGGTTTGCGAGGCTGCAGTAGCGGGAGTAGTTTTCGGTGGTGATTTAGCAATGGGTGCTTTCTTTTGGTTTTCAGGCTCACTCCCTTGAGCGCCGTTTGGTTCGACAACGAGCTGAATCTCTGCAGATATTGTCGGAGGAGGAACGGGGTTTGATTCGACTGACGGAGGCACTTCAGCATGCTCTTCCCTCCCTATACTCTTTCCTGGCAATTCTATGATAGTGTCGGCCGACAGAGCAGTATTCGCTACTTTTTTGGGCCGACCTCGACCTCTCTTCTTCTCAGATGTGGCCTGGGGCACGGCCCGCTCCTCTACGAGAGGTTCCGCTTCTGGTTGGTCCAAGGTGGTCTTTCTGCGCTTCGGCTTCTTACTTGGAGTCTGTCCTAAGCCATGAGTTTGTGCATCATCAGGCTTGCGCCCTTGTTTGGGTATGACCACCTGCACCTTCGGGCTCTTGGTCTGAAGCGCCTTGGAGGGCTCATCTGTTTTTGAGGCGTTGATATCATCGTTTGCAGGTTGTTCCGGGATTATATCGCTTGTTGGCAGTGTCGATTTAACAGTCTCCTGCCGACCATCAGGATCCGGTCTGCGGTACTCGTTCAAGCCACGCATAATCACATGAATAGTGTCCTGGTCCACTGACGGAGTTTTGTGGTTTACTTTCGATACTAGTTTCTTTTTGGGTGTATTATGTGGTGCGAGTTCGTCATCACTAATGCCGTTGTTGACTAGCCAGTCCACAGTTTGTGTGACGTCACCGCTGTTCTGCTCCAGAGCCCTCTCTGTCGTGGAAGGTGTGAAGCCCATATCACAGATCTGCTGGATCTTTTGAGGTGTTGTGATTACGCTTGCATCACTTGTTACGGCTGTCGTCTTGCGCCTTTTGGAGACCCTCTTAGCCAGCTCAGGCCTAACCGAGTCTTCAATCGGCTGTTCGATACCAGCCCTAAGAGACCTGGAGCGACTAGGACGTGGCTTGTACTGTTCTTCGGGAAGGCCAACGGCAGCGAGATCATCGTCAGAGTTAGACATCAATATGACCTCGCTCTTTCGTGGACGAGATGAGTTTCTGGCCTCTTGTTGTATATTTCGATGCGATTCCGAGGATGCTGTCCAGATCTCTGAGCGTTGGACAGAGGTTGCTTCCCAATGCGGCGCCATGACTTCCTCCGGGTTGATCTCGTCACGTTGTATTGTGTTTCTCAGTTGACTGCCTCGCAGACGAACCGATGAGCCCCGCCTGCTACGTTGTGATACGGAAGATTGGTGTGTCTGCCGTGGGGTTTCAAGTCGAGCAGCTGTTGTGATATTCGAAGGAGTAGGCTCTTGATTTATCAAATCGAACTCTTCACTAGTGTTCGTAGGTGAGAATTTCATCATGTCTGACCATGGTACTGAGGGCTCAGGTGGGAGCTGGTATGGCGATGTTTCAGCTCCAGAGTCTCCTAGCATCGCTGGAGCCGTAACACCCTCCAGCACGCGTTGTTGGGTGAGAGTGGCATTCGGGACGGTACTAGATGGCTCTGGGAATAACATCATAGGATCGTGAGTGACATAGTTGTCGCGCATGGTGCCTTCCAAACTCCAAATTGCTGGGTTAAAAGGTGACATCTCGGCTGTTGCATCCTTGGGCAAATGATCATGTACCGGTTCTGTGGACGCACTGAAGACGGACTTGGATCTCTTGCTGTAGGTAATGGATCCGTTGCCCTTTGGTGAAATAAAGTCTGGCGATTTGCGCGGATTGGCATTAGCCGCCGTCTTCCGTCTCTTGCTTGGATGCTCGGGTAGCGACACTGACGATTGCGGCTCATTTTGACTCGGTTGAGACTGGAGATGGGCACGGTGCGCTTGCTCAATTGCTCTCTTCAACGATTCTGAGGTCACATGTTTAGCTCGTCGAATGCATGAAGGATCGGTGACTAAACCTACCAGTGGAGCCCGTGCCGGATTGGGAGGTCTGCTGTTCTGGCGCGCCTGGTTGTTTCGCCGCCGGCATGTCAGCCTCAAGATCATCGTCGAGGTCATCGTCAGAGTCCTGGATCACCCGCATCTTCGTACTTCATAGTCAGAGTACTGGTTGTCCGGAAGAGTTTTGAGGCGAAGTTGCTTGGTGTGGGGTGCTCTCGTTCTATCCATGTCGCGTCCGGGCATTTCGCGCTAAGCACGCAGTCCCGTGATGGATCTTGCCGTTTCCGGCGGGCCGTCACTCCAACTCTCCGCCTCATCTCTTCACCCACAATTGTTGTATGGACCATGGACAAATTCGCGCCCAACTCAAGCGACCGGTCTAGTGAAACACCGACGAATTCGCGCTTCACAGCGCAGGCGGCAACGGCGGAAGATCTGCTCAAGGCGCATACCGTTGGCCTGGTGAACCTCAATGACTATCGCAAGCGACGCGCCGAAGCTCTTGATCGCAAGGAGCGAGGTGATTCTACCGTCAGTTCAGGCAACACTACGCCATTAGATGGGTATGAATCTCGGCACAATCGCATTCACGTCGCAAGCTAATTGACCAAGTACAGAGCATCGACGCCAAAACCCGTCTTCAAGAAGAAGCGCAAGGTAGCCAGCAAAGGGAAGTTGTCCTTTGGCGTAGAAGACGACGAGGAGACCAACTCGGATGTTTCGAAAGCCCCTACTCCTCGCGAAAGCACTCCAACCGATTCGTTCTCCATCATTTCAGACGCAGATGGCAAAATCGTCAAAAAGAAACTCGGCGCGAGCTCGAGTATCGGACTCAAGCCCCGGGTCATGACCAAGACTGCATTGCAGCGTGAAGCACAACAGGCAGAGCTTGCACGGCAGGATTTTGTGGTCATGCGCGAGGCTGTCAAGGCGACCGAGGTGGTGATACCGTTTGTATTCTACGACGGCACCAATGTCCCCGGCGGGCGTTGCAGAATGAAGAAGGGCGAACAGATCTGGTTGTTCCTTGACAAAGCCAGGAAAGTAGGGGCTAAGTTGAGTGTTGGTGGCGAGAGGAGTCGAAGCGATTGGGCTCGGGTCAGTGTCGATGACCTCATGCTTGTCAGAGGGGAAGTCATCTTGCCGCATGTAAGACGAAACATAAGAACTCATCTTCGACATTGACTGACGTCTATTGCAGCATTATGAAATCTATCACTTCGTCTTCAACAGGGTGACGGGGTTCCATGGCCCTCTATTTGATTATTCCGCGCAACCCACCAAAGCAACCCCAGTCCCAGCAGACGCGGAGGCGGAAGATTACCCCGCTACCTACGATCCACTGAATCAATCTCGAAAGAACAAGAGCAAGGAATCGACGATGCTGGACAACGAACTCGAAGGATTTGGTGACGACCCGGCAATGACCAAGGTCGTGGACAGACGGTGGTACGAACGAAACAAGCACATTTTCCCCGCAAGTGCCTGGGCAGAATACGCTCCTGATAAGGATCTCTCGAAGCTCCAGCGAAAGGACACTGAGGGGAACGCATTCTTCTTTACCTAAGCCGCTCAGCCTAATCATGATACGATGCAGTCCGAAGTTGTTCTAGACTGGAGACGCAGATGGCGAGCTGGTGCTGGGTGCTCCGCGGATTCTAGGCTTAGCGAAGTGTGCCTTCGTAGGGAGCTCACGGCGGGAGACTTTCCATGGCAGAGCATGTAGCATACACTGCAGAGTAGTACAGAAAAGGAAATGAACATCGCGGTTGCAGGCCAGTAACCAATAATGTCAAGCTGACTCGACCATGCACATCATCGGTGCTGCGTGATATTCAGGGTCTGGAGCGGTGTGACCCAGGCTGATGCATCTACCATCCGCCGTCCAACAGGGTCCTGCCACTACACCTGCGATCTGTTAGTTGCCAAAACTGTGGCAAGAAGTCGTGTGAGAATGATCACGCTGCTGGAGGTCGGTAGGACGCTGTGGGTGCTGCAAGGCATCGCCACTTGCACCTGATTGACAGCTCCCGCCCGCTCATGCACCATCACTCAAAGAGACGTCGCGAAGCCGAGAAGATGGCTGCCACGCCGTGATGCTGCGAGAAGATGTGCAAGGATTCGCCGAGCTTTGACAATGCTGGAGAAAACGGGTATATAAACGGAAATTTCTACACTTGTTGTGCTCCTTTTTTTCAGTGGAGCGGACAAAGAGGCTCTCTGTCGTCATTGGGCCTTTTCGCAACGCACCAACCACCGTCTTCGTGTCTTAACATCGATAACTCCAGACTCTCCAACACCACGCCGATAGCACTGACAAGCGACCATTCCGCTCCAGTGTGCTCCCCCTTGCCTACAGCAGCATCTTCCCCTCTATATGACAGTCCATTTAACCATGTTGCAGGCGCGCATTTATCAAGCCCCGTCTCATCCAATGAGAATGGGCGACTGGACCACACCCTAAAGAGTCGACCTCAACGCGCTGATTACACTGGTCGCATGGGATTCACTCGGACTCAATTCACTCGCTTGGAATTGACCCTCCCTCCCTTCCATCTTTCCATTGCTATATATCTTTGCTTTTGGCGCATACGCCTGTGCAAGGTGCATAGAGCTCATTATCTTTCTACATTCGGCATAACAGCATCTCCACCAACGATCATACGTCATGAAATTTGGGCACAACCTACCCAGGAATCAGGTTCCGGAGTGGGCATCGTCGTACATCAACTACAAGGGCCTTAAAAAGCTTGTCAAGACTGCCGCTGAAGCTCCGAAGAAGGGCTCGGATTTAGATCTAGCAGGTAAGCTCTATCAGCCTCCAATCCACGGCCCTAGCAAGGACAAGTTTGTGGGGCTTGTGGGCTATATCGATACGATGGATGCGATAGGCAGACATTCTGACAATACCCAACAGAGTTCTTCTTCTCTCTCGATCGTAATCTCGAAGACGTCGATAGCTTCTACAATAAGAAGTACGCAGAATGCGCTCGACGACTCAGGCTTTTGCATGGCCGCTATGGACGGGTCACACAGGTACCAGAGGGTATCGATAAGGATGAGGCACAAGACTTGATGGGCGCGCTGCTCGAGCTGCGCAGTCAAATGCGGAAGCTGCAATGGTACGGCGAGGTCAATCGCCGAGGGTTCATCAAGATCACAAAGAAGCTGGACAAAAAGGTACAGACCGTGTGCCTACAGGAACGCTATTTGACCTCGAAAGTCAACCCTAAACCGTTCGCACATAATCTACCTCTGAATCAAGATATGAAGGCAGTCAACGAGTGGCTTTCGGGCCTCGGCGACGTTAAAACCTTCGACGATAGCGGTTCCACTCATTCTTCGGCTTCTCTGGGCAGGGTCCCGGGTCGCTCGCTGCACCTTCCTTCCGGCCTTCTGGACGCAGTGGATCTGGCAATACGTGGCGACAAAGTCAATGACCTCAACCAACACCTTGATGAGGCTTCTGCAAGTAATGGCGTAGCCAGCTCTTCGTACCAGCAGATACTCCTCAACTTCCTTCAACGCGCCATATCATGCCGATCTAGATTGTGCATAGATAGGCTGCTGGAGGACATTGAATCTCTTGACGAGGAGGACGACATCAACAAGCGTAATTGCATACATCGTTTAGTCATCAATATTGGCCGGTCAAAGAGCGGTGGAACGCTTGGAGCTGACGGTGCTCTACTACAAAGTTCTGGGGAAGCCCGTAGCTTCATAATACCTGCGACTGATCCAAATCGCCAACCTCGACCATGTACGACTACCGAGGAAGAGTCGACCAAGCTCTTGAGTGCGAACGATGACTCAGTGCGTCTACTCGTATATCTGCTTGATAAGCTTCGGCCAAATCAGCGCATGGCGCTTCAGTCTCGCGATTCATACCAACGGTTACCGTTGCACTACGCTGCCCAATACGGATTTCTCGTTATCTGTCAGGTCGTCATCAAGCATATGCAGGACTGGGGCCAATTTGATGTCTCCCAGGGCATCGACTCGTCAGACTGGCAGGATAACGAGGGCTACGCCCCGCTTCATCTCAGCGTAGTTGGAGGCCACGCACTCACAACGAGAGCTCTTCTGGAGGCAGAAAACTGGCAGGGATCGAGCAAGAAGAAGCTCACGTCGAGGAAGACCATTTCTCAGTCAGGAGCAGCCCTGGCGCTTGCGACCCGGTCAAACTTCGTGGCTATCGTCAAGCTTCTGGTCGAGGCTGGTGTGAACGTTAACTACCAGGATGAAGGAGGTGAGACAGCTCTCCACATGGCTGCACGGTATGGTTACGATGAATGCGCGAAAGTCCTGCTAGAAAGTCCCCGCACCAACCAGACAGAAGTCGACATTCCCGAGAACACTTTTGCGTGGACTCCACTATTCATTGCCTGTGTCGATAACCACCTCCCGATCATCGAGATTCTGGTCGCGGCTGGAGCCGATCTGCAGAGGTGCGACAACTCTGGCTGGACGGCTAAGGAGCATGCCGCACTTCGGGGACACATGGATATTGCAACCAGACTTGATGAGCTGGCCCCCGCAACAGGCTCGCCACGTGCAGCACCCACGGACACAAGAATCGCTCGAGCAGGATCCCCTCCGCAATCGTCGCTTGATGAACGCAGATCCAAGAACTTGAACCGTGAGAACGGCAACGTTTTGCAGAAAGTGCCGGAACCCGTCAAGACGTTTGGCCATCGCTACCTACAAAAGGAAACGATGGTTTTAGTCAGCCTTGGTTCCATGGACATCAGAAAAGACATACCAGCTGTCAAACTCGACGATATCCCTCTTGCTGATGCTCACGCGACCCAGCTCGACACTGCGCTGTCAGTAGTTGTGTCGGCTTCGGGTGCTAATGGCGAACCCACTCTCATTGACCTACCAGTGCAGGATAACATCGCCACCGAGCCCATAACCTTCATGACCACCGATGTTTCTAAAGTCAAACTTCTATTCGACATCGTCCCAACGTATGCAGGGTCGCACGATCGCGTTGTGGGGCGGGGCGTGGCCCTGTTATCCACCATCAAGACTAGCATCGGCTCTAAGCGCATCTCGCTACAAGGTGATATGAAGGTGCCAATTGTCGCAGCTTCCACTTTGGACGTTATTGGCGCAGTAAATTTCAACTTCCTAATCATCACCCCTTTCGATCATCCAAACATGTCTGTTACCGAGCAGCATACCTACTGGAAAAAGATGGCGTCCACCATGGTTATTGGGCATCGCGGCCTTGGCAAAAACACCGCTTCGCGTACATCATTGCAACTGGGCGAAAACACCATCCAGTCTTTCATCTCCGCCGCCAATCTGGGAGCAGAGTACGTCGAGTTTGATGTACAGTTGACTAAAGACCATGTGCCCGTCATCTACCACGACTTCCTGGTCAGTGAAACGGGTATCGACGCACCAGTGCATACGCTCACCTTGGACCAATTCCTGCACATCGGTGAAGGCCAAAAGCCACGACAATCTCGCCCAAGTTCTCCAGAGCCGTTGCCAGTCCTTAATGGCACCAACGGCACGGACGATCGCCCGAACCCGCGAAGATTACGATCTTACTCCGTGGATAACTCAAAGCAGCGCAACATCCACATGGACCGCCAATTCGAGCTCACGGAGCGGATGAAGTACACACGGGACTTCAAGAAAAAGGGCTTCAAGGGGAACACCCGAGGTACCTCGATTCAATCGTCTTTCACCACGCTCGAAATGATGTTCAATCAACTACCCGAATCAGTGGGTTTCAACATCGAAATGAAATACCCCATGCTTCATGAGTCGGAAGAAGAAGAGATGGATCAGTACGCTGTCGAGCTGAACTCCTTTGTCGACACAGTATTGCAGAAAGTGTACGACAAGATGGGAGGGCGCAACGTCATCTTCTCGTCGTTCAATCCCGACATTTGCCTCATGCTGTCGTTCAAACAGCCCTCGATTGCAGTCCTATTTCTCACCGATGCGGGCACGTCGCCTGTGGGTGATGTGCGCGCTTCGAGTCTACAAGAGGCGATCCGTTTCGCGAGCCGATGGAACTTGCTCGGTGTCGTGAGTGCTGCTGAGCCGCTTGTGATGTGTCCAAGATTAGTCAAGGTGGTCAAGGAGAGTGGACTGGTCTGTGTTAGTTACGGGACGTTGAACAACGATCCTATTAATGTTATGGTAAGCGCCGCGAAAACACTATAATCTTGAGAACCACCCACTAAATCACCTCGCAGTTGCAAAGGAATGAAGGAATCGACGCCGTTATCGTGGACAGCGTCCTCAAAGTCCGGCAAGGTCTCCAAGCGCCGGGCCAAGCTATAGCTGCTGGTCATACCAATGGCGCGACGTTGGTTGTACCCTCGACTTCTATTCCTACCATCAACGAAGCCGGCGAGGCGTTGCAGGGAGGCCAGCAGTCAATCTGAATTGGGAACGGCAAATCGGAACCCATATTGTTATCATAATCTTAAGGGGTGTTTGGAAACCATGCACATATTGGAAGACGGGAACGGTTTTGGAATTCGGCAGTAGAGTGCTACAGGAGCTTTTCAATAGGCGTGTTTGATACAGAGATCGATCTACTAGAATTTGGTTTGACGCGATATGGTTGTCCACATGCGGTTCGCCCCTTGGCGATTTTTGATATGTGCCATACTATGATGCGCGTGCTCACATGACGACGCGATATTGGCCAGACTCGCGCGTGAAGCCGTACGAGAGAAATCTTAACTCATCAATCTAGCTTCTGAGTATTCCTGATAAGATTGAATATACATTCAGGACTTAGTCGGGTCGCAAGAAGCATAGCACACGAAAGTATGTATATGTTTTTGTTCGTTCATTCATTCAAGTCGTATATTCAAACTTGCGCTGCACGCTTGAAATTGAACCGGTCCATTCATGGCCCATGTCCTACCTCGTTTCCAAGGCCACGTTCAACTCATGTAGTCGCGTCCATTTACACATCGTCATTTACACATAGTCTCTCTCCGCACAGCTCTGGATCATGCCCTTGGTAGTAGCCTCATACTCGACCAACTCTACCTTGCCATCCTTCTCCACCGTGTTCGCCTGCACAAAGACCTTCCTCGGCGTCTTCTGTTTGAGCACCGCCGGCCGGACGAAATTCTCGTAGAAAGGCTCTACATCTGTGATTTCATCATACATCCTCTTAGCAGCCTTGACATCAGCGGTAGCCTTGTAAATGTGCAGTTTTTGAAGGTAGTCATCAACGGCGGGTCGGCCCAGATCGAGGATACGATCGCGTTCCAGACGAATGGTAAGGTCGGAAAGATCATCCTTCTCCCACTCGAGCTGGCAAAACTCGACGCCGGCGTTGAGGAAGGTGCGGAGGATGGAAAATCGGGCCTGCATATGCGCTTGACCCCACTTTCTGCTCTTGGGGTCCCAGAATTCGAGCGCAGCAATACCCGCGCGTGCCATCTGGAGATATGCTGTGAATAGCACATCGCCCGCCTCGCTGTTGACATCGGCTGTGCCATCACCGAAGCCAAAGAGTTTCAGGATAGGGAACTCGCAGGAAAGTGCCATGGCTACACATTCAGCACGGCATTCCTCGTACGAGGCGGCGATGGTGCCAAAAGTTGACCCCCAAGTTTGACCAGGCTTGTACCAGGTGGTGATAGGCTTGCCGGACAAAGGGGAGATGGGAGGATTCTCTTTGTCGAAATTGAAGACGTTGGGTTCAGTCTCTTGGAGAAGCTTGCCGCAGCCATGGCCGAGGAGCTCGTGTAGGCCGACCTGGACTTCGAAGGCAGGGTCGCGGTACTTCTGGTAGGTTGCGAGGTCCTTCTCCTTAATGAAGGGGATAGCCTCATTCGGTGCTTTGGCGGAGAGGATGTTACCGAGGGAGACGTTCTTGAAGCCAAAGTTTTGTCGAATGTCGTCATAATTGGGGATGTTAATACCGGCCGGGATGCTGTTTAGCGTTATTAGAGGAGCATAGGCGAGGAAGACAATTCAAGCACTTACCCACTGCCAGCGAATGTGAGAACCTCCAGAGAGGTGAAATCTGGGCTGAGAAACTTGTCCTTTTCGAAAGACTTATCCCAGGGCAATAAAGGAATGTACTTTGGCGCGGTTTCTACCAGCTTCCCAAAAGCTTTCGTCCGCTCCTTGTTCACCATGGCAACGAAGCCTTCCCACTCGCCTCGAATGCCGTGTGGATCGCGGTATGTCTCGATGAAGCCAATGTCCGACTCGACTTCGGGTCCCTTATCTTGAACCCAGGCCATCTGGCTCTTCTTGAAAGCTTGTAATGAGCCAGTCCTGAAGCTTTTCGCGTACTCTTCCATCATTTCGACCTCGTGGTCGTTTGCAGCATGCTTTTTCGCTTGCTCAATATGGTGTGCAATTGTGTCCATCTCTTTCGAATAGTCGCCAAAGACGAGCTTTACCTTCTTGCCGTCGTCTAGCGTCCATTCACTCTCCTTTAGGTCCCGCTGTTCGGATGATGGGCTGTCTAAAGCTGAAGCGATGAGGACGTCGAAGCCATCACCTGTCTTCTTGACTCTTGTGTTCTCTGGTAGCAGACCCTTGCTTTCGAGGAAGTCGCTTACACGCGCAATCTCCTCCTTTGTAATGTCCGGGCTGTCAGGGTAGTATGTCGATACATGGCCTGCGCCGGGGTAGCCCAGGTGCAGCTTGGCTACATCCGTGCCGGCGTATATGGCATCTTTGAACTTGTCGTATAGGCCTAGCGTCTCCTTGGACACGGTTGCCAGCGCCTTCAGCTGCCGAGGGTCTAGACGGGGGACGAACTTGGAGTCTCCGAAGGACTTGTAGTTGCCGTTGTTTCCTAGAAACTGCGCCGCGTAGTCGAGGTATGCATTAATCTCGTCCTGCGCGAGACCTGCTTCTTTGGCAAGTGCCGCGTAGTCAGCGTTGGCATGCCTATGTAGCGCGACTATGAAGTCATAGATGTGTTCGGATTCGGGTGAGACCTGGCGCAGGACGATGCGAGTACCCGCAAAGCAGGCTCTGAAGCTGGGTTAGCAGGCGAAGACGGTCGAAGGTATAGAGATCATGGTACCTCGAGATGTGGTGGGCGTAGAGCTTCTCCTTGTCGGATAGGGCGTCGAAGTGGGGTTTGATGGCGAGGGGGACGACGGTGGGTGGGCTGTCTGCCAAATACTGCTTGAGGGTTTCGGAATCTATATTGGCAGACATGTTGGCTGTACAGTGTTACGCTGTGTCTTGAGGATGGAGGGAGACTGATGGAGCTGGAGCGCGGGGAAGCACCCTGTCTGGACTGACGCACTGCCCCGCCAGCCCTCCAAGCGCGCGCCGAACTTGACGCGTTGACAGCACATGAATTTCGTCCAATCCGAGAACGAAGATTGGACCTTTTGCTCCCTAAGAGGCCTTGAACAGTTCAGAGGTCTTTTCCGCGGCAAAACACTGCACTATAACCATTCGGTGGACGGCGAACATGTCATAACGGAGTATGTGGAGTTTACAAGCAGGCCTAGTAGCCGCCGCACAGCGTATAGCATACTGGACGATTGGGAACGGGGATACTGAGCCTCTTTGCAGCCATGTACGCGACTGGATCCTTGGATCGTGTTCTAGGCGGTAGTTTCAAGAAATAGTCTGGCTTGTCTGAATGACGGGAAGTAAAGTAGTATAAACACTTCGTAACCCCACGTCAAAACACACCTCACAGGAGGATGATCAAGATGGGGATACGTATATCAATCGGTATGGGGAATAGACAAAGTCACGGCCATGAATGCGCCAATCGCTTAATGCAGTCAATTAAAATAACGATACAAGACAGGTTTTCACAGTAGGTACGTAGTCTTACAACCCAACCGCAGCACCCATGGACACAAGTCCCACAACCCCAACCAACAACGTCCACGATACGCCCTTGCCAGCAGCACCAGCAGCACTACTCGTGACATTGGAGACCACCTCCGGTGTACCCACCTTGGCGACGCCATCAATCTTACACACAGTCTGACACGGCTTTTCCGAGCTCTTGCGTCCAAACAACGACTTCTCAGCATCCCTCTTATCCTCCTTCTGGCTCCCCGTATAAGGCCCGCTCGTGTTAAACGTCATCTCAATCCACTGAATCTGAAACTCGGCCGAGTGGCCCTCGCTCATATTGCCGCTCCACTCGCCGCCATCGCTCCACATGTTGAGCACGAGGTAGCTCGACCTGCGGGGAACAGAGTAGGAATTGGCCGCGACCTGCTTGTCGTTGAGGAACCAGTAGCTGTTCTTGGGCAGCCAGTCGATGCGGTGCGTCTGCCAGTCGTCCCAGCGGGGCAGGTTGGTCGGCCCCACGGACGCGGCTTGGATTTCGTTGCCGGACTTGTCGACCGAGGGCTGGTTGGTGTAGCGGATTTGGTCCTTGGGATCGCGCGTCAGAATCTCCACGTCCGACTCGTTGGAGTCGTCGAAGAAGGTGAAGAAGCCTGCTACCGCGCCCTTGTCGCCTTTTACGCGGCCGTACATGCGCATGGAAACGTGCATGAGGTTCTTCTGGTGGTTCTCGATTTCGGCGGATGTCTGGTATGATTCTTCTCGCGAGGTGCGTAGCGAGAGGAACGAGACGTCTTTTTCTTGCCCGAGGTAGACGTTGGCGAGCGAGTTGTTCATGGGGACGGGGAAGTCATCTGTCGCTTTCTTGCTCCAGTTTTGGATGCCCCAGTCGGTATTCCATGCATCGCTGTTGAATACATTCGGCTGCCATGTGGGCTCCATACCAGCGACCTGTGTGCTGTTGATAAGCGGTGGTGCCTCGGTCATGGCACCTTGGATGTTCCGGAAGTCGTAGAAGCGGTAGTATTGGAAGTATTCGGGGGTTTGTGAGTTGGCACCCGACTGGACGACATAGCAGCTGCAGTTCGGACTGTTGTCCTTGGGCAACTCGTTGTTGGTGGTGGTATAGGCGTTGGCGGCGAGGGCAGGCTGGAGAAGAGCCGTAAGAGGCAGAAGCAAGGCGCCGAGCGGCGGAAGAAACGACATGGCGGTATTTAATCGATCGCTTGCTGACTTTGCTAATATGGAGGGGAAAGTAATGACGGACGAATTAATAAGGAATTATAGACAGATAACGAGGGTTTGCAGAAGAAAGGGACGATCGACGGCTAGTAGATGAGAGAAAGCGAGTGTCACCTAGCCATGAAAGAAACAACAACCACAACAAGAATAATGGCACAGTATAGAACCAAAACGGAGAGACTGCCCAGGACAAGGAAAACGTGGGATCAATAAGCTCATATACTCGCGCCGACAAGCCACCACCACCCGCTTACACGGCACCCAGTCACGAAGGCCGGAAGAGGCGTGCGCTGTTACAAACGGAATCTTCCTCTAGCCTGACAATGTCGTTTCGTTTCGTTTCGCCCTTCTCCAGCTTCAGCCCTCCCCCAACTTTTTTGCTCGCATAGCCACAACGAGTCTGGACTCGGGACTAAACTCCACGGCCTACAGGCCCTACAGGGCTGGTAGGTGACGATCTAACCCCCTGGCTTAGCTGCATCGGGGGGTGCGTAGCGTGATTTGCACGGGCGGGAGGGCCAGCGTATCGCCAAGGGGCTTTGTACGAATCTCACTATTGAGATGGAAGACGGAGGTATACGAGCGTCGAAGCACATTCTGCTGAGCTTGGAGAAGCTTGTCGACAACGGGGAGGACGACGAGTATGCAAGTTGAAGAGATGAGGAGGACGAGATGCAGGGGGTTGCACACACACCGTCTCCAGCCACAGCACACGCGGCGCGGACAATGCAGCTAACGCCCCAAAATAGCCAGGCCAATATTTCATAGACTGCGCGCCAGTGCCCAAGGGTTGGTGAGACGATATATGCCGTCATGGCCAGTCTCACTCACTCACCCGAGTGGAGCGTTTGTTGCTCGCTTTGCAGGTGCTAGAGAGCTACCTCCTGACTACCCACGACACGGAACACCGGCAACAAACTTACAACCTAAATGTTCAGCCCCATGGCATCTCACAGATGATCCCCAATATTCCTAGCTAGTAGTGGAAACAATAACCTGCGTGGTTGAAACGTTAACGCCACAGTGACAGTTCAGCTCAAGGGGCCCAACTGCGACAATGACTAATAAATGAACTTGCTTGCCTGTAGCTCCAGATGCTAGTAAAATAACATGTGATATCGTATTCATACATTGGGGTACCACTAACGCGTCAATGCACTATCGTACAGCTGTCATGATGCAATCCGTATCCATTCCATCCGTCCCTGGGTATTCACTTCTCCGCCTGGTAAAGAATGCTTGTCCCAGCATATACACGCCGATTCAACCGGACAACCACCTCTCCATCCTCACACACTGCTAGCCTGTCATACAACTCCTGACGAAACGTATTGTTGTTGCTTCGAGTGGCTCTTCATCTGGCCCTCGTTCGACTCGTCTACATCGTAACTCAATTATCAAGCTTCGCCCACTACAGGAAGTACTCTCCTCGGCCACCCCTACCAGCAGGAACAGCACGCTTGTGATCGGGCACGGCTGAGAAAATCTGGAACTCGGGTTTGAGATCTTCGCCGAGGTTCATAATAGACGCTACATTACCGCAGCGGTAACAGTAGTTGGGTGCAGACCAGACGGTGACTACGTCCTTGTCCTTGAAATGGTACTTGTAGCCTTCGTTGACTAACTGATGGGCTCGCGCAATGAGCTGCAGACCGTTCACGTGGTTGAACTGTTGCGAGTTTTAGCAGGTAGGGACGAGGGGAGATGGGGTGGCATATACCTCTGAAGACACCTTATCTCCGAACAACCAGCCAGCGCCTCGAGGCGAAACAGCCCATGTGTCGACGTCCTCGGGATCACTCCACACCAAATCGCAAAAGGCTCCTTCGTGCGGAATCTCCTGGGCTCGCGCAACAACGCGAATCTGATCCAGTGTACGAATCTCCGGGCTCAAACCACCATGTACACAAAGCACCTTTCCGTCTACAATGGCGGCTAGGGCTAGAAAGTCGAACACTTGGCAACAAGCCTTCCAGACGGATGCGTTGCCGTACTTTGTTTGGCACTCTTCGTAGAAGCCGTAGACCTGGGTAATCTGTCTGGACTCGTGATTTCCGCGTACCAAGGTAACGCGATCTGGAAATCTGGGTTGGTCAGTTTGCAGCTTCTTGCGATGCGAGTGGCGGAAACGTACTTTGCCTTTAGGCACATGAGCAAGGTGAAGGTCTCTAAGCTAAAGTACCCCCGGTCTACAAAATCGCCCAGGAAGATGAAGTTTTGCTGCCCATTGCCACCCACTGTATTCTTGGTCGAGTCGGCATCCGAGGAGCCAAAACTCCCTCTATCTTGAATACTTCTACTGCGGCCCCGCTCTTCCTCCTCTTCGTCTCCCCCGTCATCTTCCCCGTCGCCCCCAGGGGGACTGACTGGCCCTGTGTAGTTGGGGTCGCGCTGGAATCTCCGCTTCATCTTGCGCTTGACCTTGGGATCTGTTATGCTTGAGGGAGGCTCGAGGTCTGCAGCGTTGATGGTGCTGGGTAATGTAACTGGGGGAGATAAGGGTGCGGTGGGGGCGTCATTGGGCATTCCTCCAGCAACGCGGAAGAGCTCGAGCAGGTCGTAAAATTGACCGTGGATGTCGCCGCATACGGTGACGGGGGTTCGGACGGGTTGTATGTTGGATTCTGGGGTGATTTGTCAGAACATGTACAGTACCTAGAGTTGTGCTTTGTTTGAATGGTAATGGGTATGCCATGTCCTCGGTCTTGCTCAGGTGTTGTTGCTTCTCAGACTCACCTTCCATAAGACACTCCTTGACTATCTCACAAAGGCGCTTCATATCAGCTTCGGGCAGGTATTTGCACTGCTTTGCCTGCTCCAGCCATTCGTCGGGGCCTGCACCTTTTGCGAGGCGCGCGGGCCCTGGCTGCGGAACATCGCTGTCTTTTGGCATATTGCAAACGAGCGTCTGTCGACGAGGGCAAGGAAAGGCGCAAACTAGGGGGGACCAGCACTACGAGGGCAGCAATGGCGGTGGAAGGGCAGTCGGTCGTGTGACGGTGGGGGGTCCAAGGCGTGACGATGCGGTGCACTGGGGTATCATGGGTCGCTAGCGCTGGCAGAGAAAGAAGAATACGATGAATGAGGGAGAGATGGCGTCCTGAGCAGCCGCAGCAAGCGAATATGCACGATGCGTTGGGGTTGGAGAGGGCCGACTTGGTTGTATAGAGAGAGAGGTTCCCGTGGGGCGGCGGCGGCGGCGGCTGCATGGCCTGGGCGCTGGCAGACAAGGGTGACCTTCACTCTCGCATCCCACCAACAGGGCGCGCCTTCTAGCTGCGTCATTGTCTGAGCTTCTTCATTTTACAAAAGTACCCCCAGGTAGCTTCTTCGCTTCCAGTCTTTTGATCACCTCTTGGGGCAGTCGCACCTTGGCCGCTATTTCTGCCCTTCGACCTTGGTTCAATGTACCGTCCTACCAATCGCCCCTCTACCCTCCATCTCGCTCCCTCAACGCCACTCTCAGACGCCCTATAGACCTGGACAAGGTTTCACAGTGACGTGAACGGCGGCAGTGCTTTCTTTCAACGCCCTCGATATTCCGACACCCTCGATCCACCGACACGGACACGATAAATGGCACCCCCGGCTGGCGTCAACGGCGTCTTGCCCGTCAGCGTCCTCCAGAAGAATGCTCCCCCACAGGCGCCTCGCGGGCCCAAAGCTGCCCAGCCACGCCTGAAGCTCATCTGTCGGCGACTGCCTCCAGGCTTGACCAAGGCTGAGTTCGAGAGCCTACTGGGCGCCGAGTGGAAGTTGGGAGCTGGCAAGATTGACTGGATGAATTATAAGAAAGGGAACATCTCCACAGAGTATGCATGGCCCTCTCACTTCTCGTCACACTCCTTCTAACCCTGCTACAGTGCCGCCAAACCCTCTAGGCCGGCCCGGGCATACCTACATGTCACAAAGCAGGAGCACGTCAGAGTCCTCGGGGACCAGATCCGCGCCGCTACTTTCAACGACGCCGCAAAGTCATGGCAGGATGGCGCCCTCATCGGCCCTCCTACGCTCGAGTACGCCCCGTACCCCAAGATGCCAGGCGGACGCCGCAGGAACGACAACCGACAGGCCACCATCGACCAGGACCAGGAGTTCAAAGACTTCCTCGAGAGCCTGACAAATCCCATCACGAAGCCCGCTGCCCCCGAGAACGAGGCCCAGAAGGAGAAGGTCAAGACGACACCCCTAATCGAAGCGCTACGAGAGAAGAAGGCGAACAGGGACAAGCCAAATACAAAGGCCAACCGATCAGGTCGTGGAGACGGCAAAGACGACACTGCAGATCGCGCTGAGAAGAAGATCATGGCCAAGCCAGGCAAAGAGAATGCGCTCAACGCAGGAGATAAGAACCGCCGACTCACAAAGGCTGACAAGGCTCAAGCCACCAAGGAAGCAGTCAAAATCCTGAACAAGGAGGCGTCCTCTTCCAAGACGAATGCTTCGACTGACAAGGCTTCCGCTAGCCCAGCTCCAGAGCGCAAGCGCGCCAATGTTGCGCTTGCTAAATCGATGCTCCAACGCGATCTCGGCGTTGGACCAGCTCCTAACCGTCGACGCGGAACAAAGCGCGAGGTTGCCTCTGCTGTGTCAGACAGCGTAGCTCCGGCCAAAGATGCAGTCACAGCAGACCAGAAGGCGAAGGAAGCATCTGCCACCCATACTGCTGCAGCTTCCACCTCCGACCAGACGGCACAGGCACACAAGAAGGAGCGACCAACCCGCGCCGAACGACGTGCATTCAAGGCTGGTTTGACAGACAAGTCGAACAACAAGACTGGTGCCGAGGATGCAAAGGCGACGCCAACCAAGGCCCCGGCCCCTCAGATCCTAAAGAAACCCCAAACTGCACCTGCTACAACTGCACCCAAGGGCCCCGCTGCTTCGCGAGCTCCACCCACCGAACCTGCCTCTGCCAGGAACACTCTACCTTCAAAGCAGCCAACAACTCCAGCGAAGACAGAAGCAACACCAACCGCGCCCGCCGGCGTTACTGCGAAGGCAGCGCCAGCTCCACCAACTCCTTCCCCCACAAGCAAACAAGCGTTCCTCAAACATGCGAATCCATCCCAAGGTATCACCGAGCCACTCATTGAGGAGGCCTTGAAAACCTTCGGGGGCATCGAGAAAGTCGAGATCGACAAGCGCAAGGGCTTCGCGTATGTCGATTTTGCCGAGCCCGAAGGTCTACAGAAGGCAATGGCTGCCAGCCCCATACAGATTGCTCAAGGTGCTGTCCAAGTCCTCGAACGCAAAGAGAAGGTAGCCAGGAACGCGAACCCTCGCTTCAATGGCCCTCCGACAGGACCAGCCCGGGGCGGTAGGGGTGGATTTGCATCTCGTGGACGCGGCGGTCGAGGAGGCGCCAGGGGCGGGGGTCATATCGTTAGCGGTCCGGCTACAGGGGCTGGTGGCACGACGCCTGCTTCGCCAGCTGCTGCTGCTGCTCCTCCGGCTCCTACACCCGTTACCAGTGCTGATGCCGCAACATGAGGCTCGCCTTGACATCGTCACAGACTGGCGAAACACGAACTCAACACCATTGCTATGATTCGTCATCCAAGCTGTAGTTCTGATGGTACACTACTAGTAACATCTCCAACGCCCTTGCTATATGGACTACGAAGACATACGGAAGAGTCGGTCCATGTCTTGAATAGCTCCGTATCAGCTTATTTGTGGATTGAGCATCATCAACAAGTATACTGACCAGGCATGTTATCACACCGCGTGGGAAACCCGGCATGCTGAGGGCCGGTATTGACAGAGAGCATGCAATATGAGGAATGACAGCACGGCACATTATGGCGGTTTAAGACAGACTATGTAGTAGCTCAGTACGATGCAAGTTAGATAGATAGCGAATAGTCAACGAGATATGAATAGGAGACTTTATCTTGCCAGTCTTGTCCCTTCATTGTTTGACATACTATATTCTGTAAAGAGTGTATCGAATTGCACTAGATCAAAACTAAACACTAAACACTAAGCTAAAC